AAAATTATTTTTAGTTGCGGGAGTCAATTACAAACATTTTTGCTCGGTACATATACCACCGAAATCATACGCATTTTCGAGAAAAAAATTCATTACCGAAAATATAATGTCTGATCATGAATGAATGATTCCCCTGAAATTTCACGTGTTTCGTATCGTTTTGAAAAAATTATTTTCGGTTACGGGGGTCAATTACAATCATTTTTGGTGAATATATACACCTTCGAAATCCTTCACACTCTCGAGAAAAAATTTCAGGAAGGTGGACAATTTTTTCGACAAAATTAAAAAATTTCAAATCGTTCTGGAAAAATTATTTTTGGTTGCGGGTATCAATTATAATCATTTTTGGTCATTACACATACCCCCGAAATCCAACGCATTTTCGAGAAAAAAATTCCGTACCAAAAATCTAATGTGTGGTTAGAAATGGTACCCCGAAATTCCAAGCAAATCTTTAAAACATCATAACTCCTGAACGGATTGGACGATTTTAATGTTTCAAAATGCAAACGACGCATATTTTAGTGAAGAATATGTTGAAATTTCAAAAATGATCGAAACGCTGACCCTTGACCTCGCAAAATAAGAAGAAACCCGATAAAAATGGTCCAATTTTCAAACAGCCATAACTCCTACAATAGTGAATATATTTCAATGAAACTTTTTTCTGGAGTGGAGCTCAAAGGTATCTACAAAAAAGTATTAGACAACTTTTCTATAGGACGACAAACAAAATTACTGAAAATCAAAAACTAATTTTTAAGAAAAATCGACAGTGCCTAAATTATTCGACGTAAAAAAAAATTTCAAATCGTTTTGGAAAAATTATTTTTAGGTCCTACGATCAAATAGAACTATTTTTGGTTGATAGACATACCCCCGAAATCTTACCCAGTTTCAAGAAAAAAATTCGTTATCGAAAATACAATGTCTGATCATGAATGAATGATTCCCCTGAAATTTCACGTGTTTCGTATCGTTTTGAAAAAATTATTTTCGGTTACGGGGGTCAATTACAATCATTTTTGGTGAATATATACACCTTCGAAATCTTTCACACTCTCGAGAAAAAATTTCAGGAAGGTGGACAATTTTTTCGACAAAATTAAAAAATTTCAAATCGTTCTGGAAAAATTATTTTTGGTTGCGGGTGTCAATTATAATCATTTTTGGTCATTACACATACCCCCGAAATCCAACGCATTTTCGAGAAAAAAATTCCTTACCAAAAATCTAATGTGTGGTTAGAAATGGTACCCCGAAATTTCAAGCAAATCTTTAAAACATCATAACTCCTGAACGGATACAACGATTTTAATGTTTCAAAATGCAAACGACGCGTATTTTAGTGAAGAATATGTAGAAATTCCAAAAATTATCGAAACGTTGATTCTTGACCTCGCAAAATAAGAGGAAACCCATAAAAATGGTCCAATTTTCAAACAGCCATAACTCCTACAATAGTGAATATATTTCAATGAAACTTTTTTCTGGAGTGGAGCTCAAAGGTATCTACAAAAAAGTATTAGACAACTTTTCTATAGGACGACAAACAAAATTACTGAAAATCAAAAACTAATTTTTAAGAAAAATCGACAGTGCCTAAATTATTCGACGTAAAAAAAAATTTCAAATCGTTTTGGAAAAATTATTTTTAGGTCCTACGATCAAATAGAACTATTTTTGGTTGATAGACATACCCCCGAAATCTTACCCAGTTTCAAGAAAAAAATTCGTTATCGAAAATACAATGTCTGATCATGAATGAATGATTCCCCTGAAATTTCACGTGTTTCGTATCGTTTTGAAAAAATTATTTTCGGTTACGGGGGTCAATTACAATCATTTTTGGTGAATATATACACCTTCGAAATCCTTCACACTCTCGAGAAAAAATTTCAGGAAGGTGGACAATTTTTTCGACAAAATTAAAAAATTTCAAATCGTTCTGGAAAAATTATTTTTGGTTGCGGGTGTCAATTATAATCATTTTTGGTCATTACACATACCCCCGAAATCCAACGCATTTTCGAGAAAAAAATTCCTTACCGAAAATCTAATGTGTGGTTAGAAATGGTACCCCGAAATTTCAAGCAAATCTTTAAAACATCATAACTCCTGAACGGATACAACGATTTTAATGTTTCAAAATGCAAACGACGCGTATTTTAGTGAAGAATACGTAGAAATTCTAACAATATTGAAAAATTTATTCATTGATCCCGTAAAATGAGAAAAACCCAATGAAAATGGTCCAATTTTCAAACAGCCATAACTCCTACAATAGTAAAGGTATCGCATTGAAATTTTTTTCTAAAACAGAGCCCATGAGTACCTACAAAAAACTATTAGACAACTTTTCTGTAGAGCGTGAAACAAATTTATTAAAAATGAAAAAGGAATTTAGGTGCCTAAATTTTTCAACGAAAAAAAAAATTTCAAATCATTCTGGAAAAATTATTTTCGGTTGTGGGGGCGAATTACAATAATTTTTAGTGAATAGGCCTACCCCCGAAATCCTACCCACTTTCTAGAAAAAAATTCAATACGGGGGAAACTTTAAACGTTAATAACTTTTTAACGATGCCTCAATCAACAAATTGGTATTCTTAATTTTCGTCTTATTTTGGCCTCTAGAATCTCCCATTAAAATTTTTCCCAGGGGTTGCCGAACAATACATATGTAGTTCATATTACGTACACGAAAAAATAATTCTGAGAAATTTCGAACAACAAAATCGTCAAATATAATGTCGACGCTATTCGGGCACTAGCACACACACACACACACACACACACACATACGGAACAAGAATCAGGCACATCTACGAAATGCAGCAATGCAGGACGCAGGGTCGAAGATTGCAGCTCGCAGAGGAACGTTGACTACGTCAGCGTGGGTGGCAAAGAACAACTACAAAAATTTCTTCCTCGTGGTAATGTTGCAAGTAAACTATTGTTTACTTTTCTAAACAATATTCCTCGCGCCCCAAATATTTTACTCATTTTCTAGAATCGTCCTTGAATGTTACTCCCCCGTTATCCTGAATCATACGTTTCATTAGTTCCTTGCTATTTGAAAATAGAATTTCGAAAACAGAGCCACCGTTTTAAAAATAAACTTCGACACTTGGTATTTAATAATAGAAACGATCGGGTTCAAGTTCCAAGAGCGCTGCAAAATTTTCGTTTTAAAAACTGGGGAACGGATACTTGTCTAAGTCACAGAGATTCTTTCGAGATAAAATAGGGGACACGTAAAGATGATTGGATAAGCACATACGTTAGCATACCGCTGTCTCGAAAACACAGTATTCTTCACGATCAATATTTTGCAATTCCATCCGACACACATTGCCTCGCTTAATGGAAAAAGATCCAAAAAATTCAGTATTCTTTTTTTACGATGTAACATTTTGCATAGAAAAAATTTAAAAGTAAACAACAAAAGTCTGCAAACACTGAGAAAAAAGGTTACTATAGTTTATTTACTTATATCTATTGCGATCGTTAAAATTTTTAAGTCAGATACAAAGTAATTCTTCAATGAATCGTGTAATTTTCATTTTTTATTTATTGTAAATTTTATATCAAGTTAAATTAAAATTGTACGTTTCTTCGACTTTAATTTATCTCGAAAATGGTGTAACATCGTATCTTGAGATTTCTGTGGAAAATTATTTTCAAAATATTTCCCAATAGTACTATAAAAAAATTTACTTGCCCAAAAATCCCCAAAAGTCTAATTAATTTTAGTTATATTTCTTTTTAGGAGCACATCCAACATTTATTTAAATTAAACGAAGAAAAAAGATGTTTATAACAATTTAGAGAAATATTGCGACCTTTCATGTGTGGATTTAATTTAAAGAAATGGCTGAAACAGGGACCACAATCGTTTTTCAGTTAATCAACAAAAATGGCTGAATCTGCCATGTGTTACTTGTTAAAAACAATAAATGAAAAAAAAAGAACCGAACTACTAAGCCCACCACAACGTTCTTTCTAATTTTTAAAAAATCTTGGCCGAAGTTATATAAAAAAATAATAAACAACTTATAAAAAATAACTTGTAATCACCTGAATATCGTTTATAAAATATTTTTGTTTGCGTCGGTCAATGAATCCTTTCGTTCTCTTTAAGAAAGTATTAAAGGTATTAAAGACCACTGTAAAAATTTAAAATAAAGCGTTTTTTTAAGCGATTATTTTTGGATGGATGATAATGATATTCGAGAATGTTATTAACCAGGTCGTTAAGTGTTAAAAAAAAAATATTACTAAATAATGACGCTGGAGCCATTCTCATGAGGCGTGTTTTGATTTTGAGACGCTCTGGCGCAAATTCGTATCTGGAAAAAAAACAAAAAATTTTCCCTTAATCTACACGAGTATAGCTAGAGTAATACGTAGGGGATTTTTGAAACATTAATTTTTGCGTGATTGGCGAGCATTTGATGTAGAAGGTTCAATTTTGTACAAAAAAAGGGGCAATCGTTTGTCAATAAATAATGTTAAAATTAACTCATCGAAGATCCCCTACGTATTTCTCTAGCTATACTCATGTAGATTAAGAGAAAATTTTTTGTTTTTTTTTCAGCGTCAGAGCGCCTAAAATTCAAAACACGCCCCGCGAGAATGGCTCCAGCGTCGTTATTTTCCACTATTTTTGAATAAATATTTTTTTTTAACACTTAACGACACTTCAATATTATTATTCTCTTACTTGAAAAAAAAAATCGCAAAAAAATGCTTTGTTTCAGGTTTTTGCAGTGGTGTTGCCCCTCGAGTCGAAAATCGAGTAGTCTAGAAGTTATTAATTCCGGGAATGCCTGTGTACTCGTCGCACTGAACTTAAATCTCGGCCCCGATATCGACGAAAAAGAATAGCTGGAAAGTAAAAAAAAAAAAGGAGATATCCGATGAACCCAGCATGTTTCGGTTTGCGAGCAGAATCGACCAAGCGGAATCAAGCCACGATCGTGCCGAAAACCTACCCCAGGTGATGTCGTTGAACCAAAATTGCGGAGTTCCGGTGGTATCGTCTATCAAAGAGGGCATGGGGGCTGCGGTATCCAGCGGCGGGTTACACGGTCCGTGTACACGGCACGTACCAGTTCCTATGGCACGATTGCTCGTCGCGTACTTGATCTCCGTCGCGACGACTTCGTCAACGTCGACGTCGGACGTATCGTCGATCCCCTTGTCGCATAGGATCTTCATTCTGGACGAGGATCGTGCCTGGACGAATATATCGTCGTGGGGGCTGTTGTTGGGGGACTCGGCGCGGATCCCGGCGATCGGTTGCTCGTACTCGGCGGAGTCGCTGCTAGGAGAAGGCGGATAAACGCTGGTGCTCGTTTTCATCGTACGATCCCTGGATAATACTTGAACGCCCGTGGAGGAAGTGGAGGGTCCCTCGATGGCAGGAGGCACTCTGCGAGCAACGGCGGCGGCGGCAGCAGCGGCGGCCGTGGCCGCTGAATAAGAATAGAAGGAACCACCCTGTATCATCATACTGCAGGGTGGTTCCTCGAGCGCGGCACTGGGACCGGTACTAGGACCGCCGCAGACGGAGGAGGAGGTGCTCACACCCAGCTCGCCTTGTACCTGCTGTACGCCGTACAGCCCCTGCTGCTGCGTAACGCCTGTGTCGCTCTGGTGGTATTGTTGTTGTTGCTGATGCAAACTCTGATGCTGTTGTTTATCCTTTTCACGACGGGGTGACCGACCCCGATCGCTGACCGAAGTTGCGCTCCAGTAACCCCACGCCATTTCGCGACCAATTCTCACCCGTATTTATCTCTCACCTTCCTCTATCCCGGCTGCCTAATATCGTCCGCCAACAGCCGTACACCACTGGCTCCCGTCTCTCGCTCGCTATCACCCTCCGACCCCCACCCCGACACCTTTTCCCTACTTTACTTCCTACGCTACGTGCTGCGCGCGCTCTACGTATCTCCGTCTCCCTCTCTCTCTTCCCGCCTCGTTGTCTTTCCCTTCCTCTCCTTCTTTCGCCTACCGCTGTCCTCGGTCCTCCGTCCCTTCCTACCGTCGCCCCGACCTCTTGCAGGAGCCCGGCTGAGAATGCGACGAGTCAGCACGATCGATGCTGGTTTATCGCCACTTTTCCAACCTCTCCGCCAACAACAGCTATTGTTAAAGGTACGCTGTCACAACCTCTCGACATGAATCGCGACCATCGAGAATCGACCACCGTTAAGACTCTTCGTCCGGGCAGCGTGTTATCGCCGGTCCGAGCCGTTACGACCGATATCAACCGCGGCCACCCTTTCGCGAATCGGCCGTTCTCTTTCGCGACCAGATGACGCTCGCTACCGGTTGTCTTGTTCTTGCCCGTTCGCCGGTTCTGAACGCCCGCCGACGACTGTCTCTCCGAGCAAAACTTCCTGGCTAATCGGTCCGCGCAAGAATATCGACTACCGCCGCGGGATTCATTAACTACCGTCACCACCCGACGCGCTTTACTCCGCCAAATGCGCAAACGCTAGAATAAAGGCATACCGAAAACAGAACTGATTTCTCTTTAACAAAAACACCCGACACCGACTCTCCTTTCCCTTCTTTTCTGGCCCTCTCGCGAGAGGCCTTTTCGTACACCGGTCCACCCCCTCTCTCGTTCTTCTCCCCTAGATACTTACGCTCCCAAACAAAAAGATAGCGTGTCCTTATGGTAACTGGCAAATCTTGATCAATATTGTAAACACTACATCGCGCGAATATGAAAATTCTCCTGACCTTATTTTCGACGTCAGCAAATTCTGCGCCAAGGAATATAAACATCCCAGATACGTAGACGCAAAATAATAGCACACTTTCTTTCGCTATTTAATAATTTTTTTTTTCAAATTCAAAAATTATTAACTTTTTATATCCTTTAAAAATTTATAAATGTGATAAACTTTTTTTTAAATTCATTGATTATAAAACTATGATCAGCTTCACAAATTTCTGTACGTTGACCAAAAAATAATCCTGATCGTATTGAAATTAAAGGAGTCTTTATTTCTTACTATTCCTACCTTTCTCGTAGGTAATTATTTATACTTTTAATTCTCAATAGTAGTAAATTATTCCACTCTTTTAATTGTCCTTCGGTGTACATAGCACTCAATAACAATCCCCAATATTTCTCTACTGTATTATGGTCGGTGAAGCATGCTAGCCATTTATGGACTTTAATATTCCCTTTTTTTTTATATATTCTAAAACAAGTTTTACTGAATGGACAGTACCATTATCTTATTGGATACAATGTACCAGCAATGCGTTTGGTACACATATAAACCTTATTTCTTTATAAGTTTAAAGTTATTTCGAATGTTTAATTTAAATAAAATGTTAAATTCATACATTTAGTTTCACGCTAAAATAAGTTCATCGTCTACTTGTACTCCAATGGTTATTATTTCCTTAGAAAATTATGATAACAGTATAATTCTCTATCGGGGCCGTCTAAATTGAATTTTTTTTCGTCCGTAAAGATAATTTTTCACCAAAACTATGCTCTTTAATAAACAATAACCGTTCCAGTTTGCGTCTGGTTTGCAATTGTGGATATCTTTTAATTTTAGTTTAGAAAAATTTTAATGGGGGATTCTAGAGGTCAAAATATGACGAAAATCAAAAATATCAATTTGTTGACTGAGGCTTCGTTAAAAAGTTATTAACAATTAAATTCAAAAATTTCAAATCGTTCTGGAAAAATTATTTTTTGTTGCGGGGGTCAATTACAATCATTTTTGGTCATTACACATACTCACGAAATCCTACTCATTTTCGAGAAAAAAATTCCTCACCGAAAATCTAATTAGGTGCCCGAATTTTTCGACGAAAAAAAAAAAATTTCAAATCGTTCTGGAAAAATTATTTTCGGTTGGGGGGGTCGATTACAATCATTTTTGGTGAATAGACACACCCCCAAAATCCTATTCACTTTCTAGAAAAAAATTCGAGAAGGTGTGAAATTTTTCGACGGAAAAAAATATTTCAAATTGTTTTGGAAAAATTATTTTCGGTTGCGGGGGTCAATTACAATCATTTTTGGTCATTACACATACTCCCGAAATCCTACTCATTTTCGAGAAAAAAATTCCTCACCGAAAATCTAATTAGGTGCCCGAATTTTTCGACGAAAAAAAAAAAATTTCAAATCGTTCTGGAAAAATTATTTTCGGTTGGGGGGGGTCGATTACAATCATTTTTGGTGAATAGACATACCCCCAAAATCCTATTCACTTTCTAGAAAAAAATTCGAGAAGGTGTGAAATTTTTCGACGGAAAAAAATATTTCAAATTGTTTTGGAAAAATTATTTTCGGTTGGGAGAGTCAATTACAATCATTTTTGGTGAATAGACATACCCCCGAAATCTTGCGCATTTTCAAGAAAAAAATTCAGTACGTGCGGAACTTTAAACGTTAATAACTTTTTAACAAAGCCTCCATCAACAAATTGGTATTCTTGATTTTCGTCTTATTTTGGCCTCTAGAATCCCCCATTAAAATTTTCCCCAGAGTTAGCCGAACACCCTGTATACAGAGTGTTCATCTTGAAATTTTTGAGGTATTTACATTAATGTGACAAAAAAATGTTTGCAACAATAGTTAACGAGTACCTTCAGGAAAACAAAGTGCAATAATAGAATTTTCGAAAAATTCTTTTACTCGATAGAAGCTCGAATCATCTTGATTTTGTTAAATAGCATTATGTATTTTTTAACCTTATAGAGTTACATATACAAAAATATACATAGTGCTATTTAAAAAAACTCAAAGTGACCTGAGCTTCTTATGGAATAAAATAATTTTTCGAAATTTTTATTTTTGCATTTCGTTCACCCTCAAAGTACTCGTTAACGTTTATTCCAAATATTTTGTTATCAGATTAGTGTAAATATGACGAACATTCTATATGTATAATATGACACTGATCTGTTGTTTGTACTTTGTCAGTTATACAATTAATATGTATACATATATAATTTAAACAAAATTTTTATGTAATTCAAATTTCGAACCGATAACTTACTTATCTGTAAAAATACAGGTTCGTAAAGAATTTGTTTCAAATGTTTGTATTAAATTAGTAATATAAAAATGATATAAAACTAATAGAATAATTATCGCCCGTAGAGTTACGGAATGTCGACGATGGAAATAATATTTTCGATGTGTCGTCCTTCCAACGAGAATAAGGCAGAGCGTGTTTACATCCCCACTCCTGTTGCAGCCCGTCGACTCACAGGATTGGTCGAGAACGGTGACGAAGTCAGCCAATCAGCGGATTGCAGCAAGAGTGGGGATGTAAACACGCTGTGCCTTCTTCTCGTGGAAGGACGATACGTGGATAAGTTACGTATTAAGTATAATCAACACCTGGATGATGTTTGTAATACTTTGAACGTGATATAAATATACATTTATGTTAGGAGTATATATAGGCATGTTACATCTATACTTACCATGTATAGTTATTTCGGTATCCTTTTCCAATTCATAAAGGCGCAGTGCTTCGTCCAGTTCCTGTTGAGAAGCAATTCTACATGGATCTCCCTCGTCGTCAACCCACTTCATTGTAAACTGATCTGGTCCTGCAGCACCAAATCCACATATCGTACGCATTTCCTCCCGCAGCGTGTCTACCGAAATTCCAGGAGTAATATATGTAATCTGCACTTCCCTAATGTAAAACAAACCATTATAACCGTTTTGATACTTCTTTAATTATATTTCATATTATAGAAACAGTGTCTTTCAAACGTTATTTAAACTGTGAGGCGTAAAGGTAATAACAAAAATCAAATTGTATGGAAAGTGTTATGTTCAATGAAAATGGGAAACGAAAAACAAAACAATATCATTGTGAATTTTTATTCAGATTAATTTTGTTACTTCTAAGTTGCTAGCGTTTAATTTCCACGATATTATTATTGCAAATCCATTGGTATCGACGCCGAACAAAACGGGTCGAATATTACGCTCGCTCGAGCATCGGATTGTCCGTTGCCAGAGGGCGCTTCGAACGAAAGGAAAGCATAAAGAAAATAATAGATAATTACAGTTTATTGGCGCCCGATACACGAGCGAAGGAAGGACTCTATTATTCCACTGTATGCTAACTTTTTAAGTAAATTATACGAACAGTACAGTGATAGAATTGATTTAATTTTTAAAGGCGGCTATCGGCACCCTCTTGCACCTATCTTGTTACACGTTTGATCGCGTGTAATGCGATACCGATCTATTGTTTCTACTTCGTCGGTTACGCTTGGTAGCGAACGTGTTAATAATAAGAAAAATTACTAATCGCAAAAGTTGTATGGCTTCGGGAGGAACATAATATGCTGGCTATAATTTCATTGAAGATGCGAGACATAAAAGAAACGCGAAATTATATTTCTTCGAACGGGACATTCAGTTTTTTACGACCAGATTTTTCTTAGACAATAAATTTTAAGATAACTTGGAGAAGGTTCTTATAATTGCAGAATGACAGTCTCCTTTCCCCGCCAAGTATCCCGCATGGACTGTTTGCCTTTCGGTTCCGCGGTATTGTCATAATACTACGGTTACGCCATCTGTCGGCGGTGTTAAACAACTAAACGCTGAAAAATATCAGCTGCCTGCTTGAAGCACTTTTCGAAATATTGAATATCAAAATCTTTATTTTTTAGCAATACAGGGTTGGTCTTTGTCATTTCTTTTAAACAATAGCATTTTATGGATCCCGCCATAAAAACTGGATAATTTTCTTTTTAAAAATTGTCTCTTTAAATGAAATTATCGTCACTGTATTAGCTCAGCTTGAAGTCTGACCAATACTCGTATTACTCAAAATAACGATATTCAGCTAGCTGTATAAGTTAGAACGATGTATATACTTTCTAAAACATAATTTGCTAAATTGTTATAGAATCAATCTATTGCCCCTGTTATAGTTTTTACTTGTATTATAAAGCAATACGAATATAGTTGTGATAGACGAACGTAGTACTCATCAAAATATAAAAAAAAAAATATTAGCAAACATAGATTTAGAAATTAAGTTTTTATGTTATAAAAAAAAATTTGATTTTATTGGAGCAAATATTTTATAATCCTCGAAACTTGAAATCTGCCGATTTCTAAATCCATAGTTATTAATGCTCTTCTGCTTATTTTTATAACTACTGTACATATTTAAAGTGTGAAATGCATTCGTTCAAAAATAAATTTATAATTTTCACAATGCATTATAATTCTAAAATTTTAACGCATTACAGTCCATTAAGCACACTTTAACGTAATAAAAATTTTAGCATATAGTGGCCAATATTTTGAAACATACAGCGTGAACAGAATTATTGAACACTTTACGTAGGCAGTTTTAAATTTTGCTTTCTCCAAAGAGAAACGTTTAGAAACGATAACCGGCCTTACTACGTTAATTAATAATACACGTATACGTATAAAAGAATAATAGTAAATTACTACCGTATAAAATAACATCGATTGTTGCTTTCTAAAATTTTATAAATCTACGCTACTGAATTCTTGCTTATTTCGTTTAAGCATTTTAATTAACAATTCCAAACACAAAAATAATGAAATGAATATAAACAGGTGCTCTATCGGATTTAGTTTTCAAATTATAACCAGTTTTGTATTACCGAATACATCGACTATGAGTATACTTTATTAATATAATGTTTTATGTTATGTGTGGTACGATAGCGCGCCATCGCATTTCAGCAGAGTAGCCGAGCGATTCTTAAACCACTTAATTTCCTAACAAATGGATTAAAAAAACTCCACGATCTCGCAATTGAAGGCTTGCATTTAAGATAAAAGTATAAATTTTGTGTCGCTTTCTATAAAAGCAAGCAATTACACATAAGTGTACAAAAGAAATTATTATGTCAGAATGAAGATCGAATAGGGCATGATTTTATACAAACATTTTCATTGTTTTTGTTCGGTATTTACCACAGAAGTAAGTAACGTATGTTACGATACTGTATATATAAATTAACAATTGAATTAAATATATTACCCATTATAAACAATTTTCACTCGTATATCATCGTTTTCTGTTGTCTGTGTAGGCATTTTTATTCGATTTGTATACTCCTCTTCTTCCTTAAAAAAATAATCACAATATAAAATTATTAGCGTCAAATATTTTTAACAATATTGTTTTATAAAATATTCATTCGGATAAAAAAACTGTACCAAAAGTATCAATTAATATAATAATATTTTAATTTAATTACATTATAGATACAATATATCTAATAGATCTTTATGATTGTAAATTATTTACGAAATCGCAAAATCATTTAGTTATGGCTTCTTAAAGTATTGGATAATAGAAAATGCCACTCTGGTCTACAATAGTTGAAACTACTTTGTAATTATAATTAAATAAAATGGCACGAACACTCAACATAACGACGATCTATTCAAAATTCACAAAGTTAACACGAACAACACGTACAAAATCATTAAACGTATTTATTAATTTGGTAGTTTGTAATGTCTGAAACTCCTTAAACAATCATTGCACTCGTAATCTAGCCTAATTTAGACTACTTAATTTCGATGCATGTATATGATTTCTGACTCACCAGAATAATTTTTTCAAATAATGATCTAACCGCTACGCTCGATGAAATATTCTTAGTACTATCTTCTAATGGAATAGAATATCGTCTTTTTAAATTACTAATTAGAAATACGTAGGGGTCCAACAAATACAAAATTGAAAACTATTTAACACGACAAAACGCGTTGTCAATTGGCAGCCGCCATGTTATTAAACGCACACTTTCATACCGTATATTTTCTGTAATATAACGTGCGTGTATGCGATCCTCGTAAATGTAGCAGCGAATAAACGAATTCAATCAGCACACTGCTAAGTTTGATATCCACGATACAATTTGTAACCCAACCATTTACATTATTTTATTATACAATAACAGATTATTAAATTACAATCTTGAATAAAAATTATATGAATTCCATAATTTAATCGTTTATTACTCTATGTTAAAGTTACATACATACTTTGTCAAATATGTACATTGTTTATAAATTCTATAATTTCAAACGACGTGTATTTTAATTAATCGAAATAGAAAAACTTTTACTATTTGTCTTTATTTCAAATAATTATTGAAAATATAGAAATTTATTACTAATAGATAAAGTAACAATTTGTTTATGTTGGTCCCTGAACTATGGGAAATAATATATGTAACCGGAATATCTTAGGCTACAATCATACTTATCCCTAATCTACAGGGTGTGTCGACTCGCGTAATGCAACTAAGTATGTGCAGATCCCTTATCAGGAAGTAGATCGTAAATATAGGATAACAATTTTTTTATTTGTCGCTTCGTTTCTGAGAATATTAAGTTTGGAAATTCTCCACATACGCGTATACCTACCATTCTTCTACGAGAATAAGGCGCAGGGTGTTTACATCCCCACTCTTGCTGCGTTCCGCTGATTGGCTGTCACCGATTTCGTTACCGTTTTCGACCAATGCCTGCGAGTCAACGAACTGCAACAGGAGTGGGGATGTAAACACGCGGTGCCTTATTCTCGTGGAAGGACGATACTTATTACACGCGCGCGTAGAATTTTCAAATTCAATTTTCTCGGAAACGAAGCCACGAACAAAAAATCGTTACTCTATATTTACAATCTATTTTTTCTCAGACTTTTGTATCCATATACTATACAGAATCGAATATATTTACAAGCGTATTATTATTATTTTAAGAAGTACTTAACCACGTATAGCGTAATATAGTGTAATACATACGTTTAACTGATAAAATTTGTGTAATTAAATTATTCGCACATTTTACAGAAATATAATAGCAATAAAGAAATGCAGGACAGGAATTTGTATATAACACTTTATACGAACAAAGCTTATATTCTTCGGTAACATTAAATATGCTAGTACAGATTTAAATTTAAAGTTTTTTATTCGATCAGAAGCTATTTCTTTTTAATTTTTGGAACTTTTCTATGCCTGTTTCTGTTTTTAACATTAGAAACTTCGTAAAAGTTGCTACCAATTTTCTTTCGTTTATTGGCTCTTTCTATGGCTCGCCGTTGTTTGCTTGTTAAATTTTTTCTTGTTTTCATTGAATGCTCTGTTTTAGAAGATACGGAAGAAATTTTGAACGCACCACTGCTTGATACAGTATTAGTGTTAATAATTTCGCTATCGCTGGAATCGTATTCCTCTTCTGCTATGTCATATACGCTTTGTAATAAAGTATCTTTTTCCAACGAAAGACAAATTTTATCATCAGAATATTCTTCATCCTCGTTACTTTTATCCCCCGAGCTTTCAATATTTTCATTGTTTCCTTCGCTTTCTGTAACCACTACTTTACCTTCAGTATCTTCGACATCAGAATTATCCAACTCTGACGTACCTGAACTACTTTCTATTCCATCTTTATTTTCCTTGCCATCTACAGATGTATTAGATTTGATACTTAAATTACTTTTAACGTCATCGCCTGAATATGGTAAACCAACTCTTATTTTTCGAAAGTCTTGTATCACCGCTAACTGATATTTTGTCGATTCTTTGCTTTGTATATTTTCCATGTTTTCTATATCGTTATCATGTTCCGTTTCATTCTCATCGTTTTCAGCAGGAGGTTCGTTAACAATCATTGATAATGGTTCTTCGAAACCAGGAGGGGATACGTAAAACGGTAATTTACCACGCTGCCAATCGTTTAAAACCATTCGCGAAACAGCACCAATGTCCGGCTCTCCTTTCTTTAACAATTTTCCAGTCCTGCGGGCCAATTTCTCCAAAAAATCAATGTGATCGCTCCATTCCATAATTTTATAAGTTTTCCGCATATATTCTGGTTTCACTCGCGACAATACATCCGAGATATAATCTTCGGGGTTTTGAACAAGTTCAACTCTTACTACGCCTTTTAAAACTTTTTCTGTGTCCGTTTCGGCCGACGGATAAACTACGCCCGGGCAATCAATTAAATAAATTCGACGCATTAAAGTAATATATTGCCACACTTTCGTTTCGCCTGCTATCGGCGCAACATTACACACTTTTTTTGATTTCAACGTATTTATGATTGAACTTTTTCCTGTATTGGGATACCCTATAAAGCCTACGCTTATTTGTTTCTTATCGATGTGTAATTTTGCAAACTGACGCAACAAATTTATCAAAGAACCTTTACCAAACGGATGTGTCATCGAAGCGTGGAATGCTACTGTCGGATACTCTGCACTTAAAATCGCAACCCACCTTTGCGTAACCCACGTCGGTACAAGATCTACTTTATTTAATATAAAGATCAAATGCTTATGAGTTTTTTCTGTTTTAAGGTATTTTTCTATCGGAGGAGATCTGGTTCCTAATGGATCTCTGGCATCCAGTACTTGTAAAACAACGTCGGAAGAATCTATAACTTTATATAATTCGTTCCAAATTCTTTTGCTCTGTCCTGCCGACATAATCCAGTCTCTTCTTGTATCCTTTACACCTGTACCGGGACATATAAGATCCACATCTTTAGAATCCTTCTCCTTGTTATACGTTTCCTCTTTTTCTTCTACTAATTTCTGTAACTCGTCGTACGTCGATGTTGTTATATTTGGCCTTTTCCGTAGTTTCTTAGGACCGAAAACACTGTCGAAACTTTCTGTATCCAACAAATGTACCCTCGCGTGTGCAGCTTTTTGTTGAAGCATAGTTATCGGTAACTGGGTCGGTTTCATAATAATATTATAAGGATCTTTTGCAGCTTTCCCCAATTCGTCTTGAAATTTTTGTAAAGCATCTTGAGAAATTACCCTCGAATTACCGAACCATCTTTGCGACGGTTCTACGCGAGACATAGTACCAGACTTTTGCCAGCCTTGAAACGGCGCTGGACTAAGTATTTTACCCACTCGATTACGCTTTGGTTTTTGATCGCGGTACATTTGTAACCTTTTGATCGTTGCTTTAGATCGAACTTTAGCTACGCCTTTCAATCCTTCTGTAGGTCGTTCAGGATTCATACTATGACTAGAACGGTTAAACCCCTCCTTTTTCGGGGGTTTATTTGTAGTATGTGATTTAGCCATTTTGTAAAATTTATTTACACCGTTATCTTCTAATACGTCTTATATACAACACGTAATCTTAATTGATATTATTGTTTATATTCAATGTTATTTCATACTATCCGTTTACACAGTAATCTAATACTATTTTACCAAATATTATTTTCTTTTTTTATACATTTATCTTCTATAACAATTATATACCGTTTGTTTATATTATAAATATTCCCTTAAATGAACTTTCGTTGCACTTAATGAAACCACGCTGCATAGTGTGACCAGATTTGGCATATTTGAGTACATCGATGGCGACACTAGTAACGTTGAATTTACTTTAGCGCTTGACGGAGTAGGGGGAAGCAGCACATCCTACTGCACGATCCACACTTCGTGTAACTTCGTGCAACTTCGAGAAATCGGGAAAGAAGGCAAGCGTGAGCTTTTCCTTCTCGCTCTTGCAACAGCTGATGGTCCGAGCATTTTTACGTTTAAAGTAAAAAGTAATCAGTACGATGAAACAAGGTCGAAGTAGATCATGTTGACATGAAACAACTTTAAAACATAATATATGTACAAGACTTACGTGTAAAAAAAGACTCGGAATTTCCTAATTACAAAATTAACGCAGTGTTTATCGAGTATACGACGCACCGGTCAAAGAATTAATTAAATTCATTTACTTGAAATATACATATAGTGTATAAGTAACTACAAAGTAACTTAAAATTATAAATAAAATATTATTCAAAGAATGCTAATTTTTTACAAACAAAACAAGATTCCCTATATTGGCAGAAACAACACGCAGTTATATGCGTAACCCAGCAATTCAAACTAGCAGAGACTTCTTTCTACGTTCTCGAGATTCTCATTACAGTACTACTTACATATTATCTGACGTATCAAAATGTCATACAGACTTTTGTCAAAATATAATTTATCCCGACAAATTTGTACACGTGAAATAGAATATTTCGTTTAGATTTATGTATTGAACAGTCATCGACGAAAGGTAGCAAGTCTTTAAGAATTTCTTGCACCATGACAATAATACTTCTCAATTTGCTATATCAATATACTATACTTCGTTTGTTGTGCAGTATTAGGTGGTGTGGTTGTCGGATGAATGTGCACAGGTAAATCCCAAATCATTGTCTCGACGTCCAAAGTTGATGGTCCTTGCCAGCTGTTGGTACTTGCATTGGGCATTTCTATCAGCTTACAAGTGGTGACAAATTCAAAATGCAATCTCCACTTTAGTGTCATCAAATCGGTGGTAAAATCTGGAGTTACGTGCAAGGGTATGGGTAACACTAAATGAGAGTATTTTAAACCCATACACATCTCGTGATGTTTATTATAACTGACTAATGTCAGATTTGCGGCTTTTCCTCGTCTGTACTCCTCTGAGATATGTTCTTCCGATTGCAACGCAACCGATACTTGAGCGCACGATACGGTAGCGTTTGAAAAATCGAACGTTCCAACTATATCTTCGCCGAGTTTATAAGAATTTTTAAAAAGGCAGAACCTTACGACGCGCCCCCGTCCGTTGGTAATATTGTAAAAATTCGGACTGCGTCTGGCCGTTAAATTCTAAACACATTTAAGATCGAATCATTAATAATAAAGTAAAACGTTGTGTCTACGTTATGAAAGATAACAGACCTGGAGAGTTTGTAACGCAACGTCTAATGGAGTATCTCTGTGTTGGGTTTCCATGAATGGATTGTTCGGACTTAAATCGATGCTATCGTTGCAAGTAGTTATTTCAGGCAGTTCTGTTAAAATTATGGTATTTTAATTACGTATACATTTCGTTGAAAATCTGTAAATAATATTACCGCTTAAAGAAAGCACTCTGAATGGAACTCGGAGTAACTTAATAGCCGTATTTACTCGTTGTGTTCCGATTGTAATTTTATAAGAATACTTTATTGCGTGTCCTCTGTACGATGGAGGGGCGTCGTTTGGAATTATTTCCCGATAGATATCTGTGAAATGTAAATGTACAATCTCTAGATGTTATGTAATACGTTACATTCATATCATGCCCAACGACTTACATGTTTTACTTTCGCCGGGTGATAACCTCAAGTCGCAGAACAAAATTTTGGGTTTTGTATTCATTACAACATGACCATTGTCTTGTTGCCACGGGGCAAATGTTGTATCTGGGAAATACTTGTTATGTAAAATATAGCGTTCGTAATTATAAGGGAAAACATTATATTTACAATATACTCTATAAAGTTTACTAATTACTTATTACTTGCGTTAATAGCTGCCAATCGAGCAGTGGTATTTAATTTTTCCGATAACACGAGTTTCATATTCGTGGAACATTGACAATGAACTTGCGCGCTGGCCCATGCAAGACTCTCAAATATATCGCTAAAATTACATTTTAATTTATATGCAGGAATGTGTTTGCTTGAAATAAATTAGCTGCGTATTACCTGTGGCTCTGAGATATTTGATGAATTGGATTTGGCGGATTACTGAACGTGACTAAACATTCTATAACTTCTCCAGTAAAATATACAGGCCCTCTGACTAACTTCGCCATTATCTCAATCATGATTCTGTTATAATTAAAAGTAATTTTTAAATTACAAAATATGAGAATTACAGCTGCCTAAAAGTAATTAAAAAACTATATTATAAACCTATTATAAAATATGGTATTATAAGCAACAACGGTAAAGTAGTTCATAGGTTATGTATGGTATGTATAATTATTAAGTATTCTTTCAATAATTTGATTACATTTTTAAAATGACGTTTCTCAGTTCCTGTGCAAACGTCAGCTGATGTTAGCAGCTGTAGTTTTATTAGATCGGGCCAGTGTGGCACTTGTAACACATACTATAGATAAATCGAGAATCACAACACCATAAGCCATCTTTAAAAAAACATCCTTAAAGACATCATTTTCAATATTCGATTTATTATAAAGATGTGAAACAGAGGAGTTTGCGATGATACTGAAAAGGAACCTCTAAAAGTTAGCTTGTATTCATTGGGCAACCAGACTCTGCGGAATGTATCGTCACAGCCGACTCTAGTATGTACTAGCACTACTAGCCGTGCTGAAGGTAAAATGGCAACACCGCGGGAGTCCGGCTTCGATATACCTAGCCCAACCTACCGTAACAGCCTCCCACTACCCGCCGGCCTCTGGGCTACATAGGCTCCATCTATCGGCCTTCCGGTCTCCCGCCTATCATTCAAATGTTTCAAATATTAATGTACCGAAGTCCATTAAATGTGAGCAACGGAGCAATAATCCAGGTGTTTCATTTATTTATATTAACTCTACAGATCCTGATTTTGGTGTGTAGCACACTTATTTAATATAATCTATAGCATTTTTGGACATTTTGTTTTATATACACTTTTTTTATAAATTTCACATATTCGTTAATAATGCCACGGCGTTGCTGTGTTCCCAATTGCAAGGGAAATTACGATAGTACCTTAAAAGATAATAATTACAATTCTATATTTTTATTCCCCAAAGATGAGGAATTGCGGGAGAAATGGAGGGTTGCTATTCCTCGTAAGAATTGGACACCATCAAAATATTCTGCCGTCTGTAGTTTGCATTTTGCAGAAACTGATATTGAAAGGTACCACGGTATTCTATCGCCCGATGGTGTACTGGAGAATGTTTTCTTGAGATGTCCAAGGCTTATAAGGAATGTAGTACCCTCCATTTTACAACCGAAAAATTAGAAAAACGATTTGGAAATTATAGACTTTTATCTGGTTGTAATTATCATGTGTCATACAACGAAATAATTCATGCAGAAAAAAAAAATTAGATTAAAACATATACAGGGTGAGGCATTTTAAACAGGTCACCTGAATAACTCGCTTGTTTTTGAAGATAGGAGAAAATGCATTAGACCAAACTTATTTGGTATCGGGGGGCTCATAATCTGGTATTACCAATTTTTTTGTAGGTGGAGGCGTCAAGGAGATATGAAGGTCAACTTTGTTTTTTTAAATGGAACAGTATATTTTATTACTTACATTCTGATAGAGTGTTTCAAGGCGAATACAATGACCTATTATTAAGGTCATTCAAGGTCACCCAAAGTCAACTGCAATAGAAAATAAATTGTGTCAAAGCACTCTTCGAACACTTGGATACTTTGATACTGCTATTACAAGTGTTCAAAATGGCGACCTTGAACATGGATACATAGTCTAAATCGTTGCAATACTGATGACACTGCCTGGCAAATTTCATTTGTATCTATTACAGAGCAAGCTCTTCTTATACGTTCTTGCATGTCAAGTTTGGTAGTTGGTTTTTCGCGGTACACTTCTGCCTTTAATTTTCCCCACAAATAAAAATCGAGAGGTGTCAGGTCTGGGGATCGTGCCGGCCATTTGTTACTTCCTGATCGACCTACCCAAGAATCTCCAAATTTTCTATTTAGAAATTCTGTAACATTGCGTGCTGAATGAGCAGGGCATCCGTCTTGCTGGAACCACATGGATTGTCGTATGTCCAGTGAAGTGTCTTCTAACAATTCTGGCAAAACGTCTTCTAAGATTCTCAGGTACTTACTACTATTTAGCGTGCCATCAATAAAATATGGACCAATTATTTTATTATGAAGAAGACCGCACCAGACGTTTACAGACCAAGGTCTCTGTTTGTCGACTTCTCTCAACCATCGTGGATTATCTACCGACCAGTAGTGCATGTTGTGACGGTTAATTGCTCCATGGTTTGTAAATGTGGCCTCATCGGTAAATAACAATTTACTCAAGAACATTTCATCGTCTTGTAGTTTTTGTAAGCCCCATTCACAAAATTGTAAACGTTTTGTATAATCATTTTCAGTTAATTGTTGATGAAGTGATATGTGGAACGGATGAAATTTGTTAATGTGTAATATTCGTAAAATACTTCGTTGACTGATGCCACTTTCGCGTTCCAGTTGTCTTGTACTAACATGTGGATCTTGTATTACAGCTGCTACAATATTTATCGAGTTTCCATCATCAGTTGCTCGTTTGGCAAGATTACGTGTTTTGTTATCCACAGTTCCAGTTTCTTGGAACTTTTTTATAATGTTTGTAAAGACAGAAAGTGAAGGTCTATTATTACGATCGGGAAATCTTTCACTATACACACGTACCGCTTCCCTCATAATTCTATGACATTCACCATAAATAAGAACCATTTCTACTTTCTCTGCTATCGTGTAACGCATTTTAGAAAACTAAACACTTAGACTGAATAAATGTTACGAAGCTGTGCTCTAGTCGGTAGTAAAATTACCAATAATGTTTGAGGATACGGATAAGCGTACAATGTGATTGAATGTTTGTTTATCTTTTGTGACCCGTGTCACGCAATACACACACGTGATACACAAGTATTCGAAATGTACTCTGACACAATTTATTTTCTATTGCAGTTGACTTTGGGTGACCTTGAATGACCTTAATAATAGGTCATTGTATTCGCCTTGAAACACTCTATCAGAATGTAAGTAATAAAATATACTGTTCCATTTAAAAAAACAAAGTTGACCTTCATATCTCCTTGACGCCTCCACCTACAAAAAAATTGGTAATACCAGATTATGAGCCCCCCGATACCAAATAAGTTTGGTCTAATGCATTTTCTCCTATCTTCAAAAACAAGCGAGTTATTCAGGTGACCTGTTTAAAATGCCTCACCCTGTATATACAAAATCGGCAAATTCGTTTTCTCTTACTGAAATCAAAAATAAATTTCGAATTTGTGATGACAATAATAACGATCTTCATGATCTTCCCACTGATGCGACTTGTTTCTCAGGAATCTTCGATACCGAATACTTGTCCGATTGTGTTGTAGATGATTCCATTAAAATTTATATTTCTGGTTATGGGTCCCATTCTGTTGCTAAAAAATTAAATTGCAATATATGTCGTTTATTAGTTGTGGAGGATAAAGGTAAAACTGTAGGCGATGTATATTTTGATCACTTACAAAGAGGGGGCCTTTCTGTCCCCACTGAAGAAGCGATAGCCTCATTTATTCATATGTATGGAATAATGGAAGCCATAATAAATGATGGCAATTTAGAATCTCAATTTTTGCAATCGGGAAATCATAAACATATTTTATGTAAATTAACATATATTAGCATTCAATCAGACGTACATTATTTAGCATTTTCAGATACATGCGTTTGTGGTCGAGCTTACCAAAGTATTTGGTTTAAATTATTATCAATTTTTTCAAATATTTTATTAAACGATTATGTGAAAACTGTAAATAATAGTCAGTTGGAAACACGTACAGACATCACTTCTAAAAATCGTAAATTAAAAACTTTTAATAGGAACTAGATTTTCAATCATTTTTTTTAATTTCATCTTTCTTAAAACATTAATTTTTATATATATTTAAACTTATTCCTTTCAATATGTTTTAATACATTAATAGAGTTTTATTTACTTGCTTAGTATATTTTTATTATGAATACTATTTCACAAGATTCAAAATTTTATTAGTTGTATTTCAAGAGAATTTCAAAGTATGTTTTGATATGTTTTGTTATTAATATTATTCAAAATTATTTATTATTATTTCAAAATGTAATACTTTATTTCTTTAAGAACACAAAAGTTATGTTTTTGTTATGTTCTATTTAAAAATATTAATTTTATTTTAGAAAATGGGATGATATGGCTATTGGCGAACCACCCATTATAATAAAAAAAAAAGGTAACGCGCCATGGTAAATACCCCTAGGGTGGTGAGGATAGTTTTCACAATTATCATACTGTCCTCTAACACGATTTTATAATTAACTCCATAATTGTTCCTTTCAATAGCTAATTATGCTAACCTCTTTTTCCACGGGCACTTAACCTGTTTGGCTTCGTACCAATAATTTTGCCTATTTCAGGTCTCTATTAACTTATACATACCTTTATCAATTTTTAAACCCTTCAGTTTGGTTCAAAGACGGTTTTAACTTGTTTCACACTTCTATTTTCTTGAAATCTCTGTAAATATTTCAAATATAATGCATCACAACACCAAACTATTCCGACAGTCCACAAAATATATACCACATTTATAAATATTAATATACTTCTGTATTACTTCTACTTACTATAGTTATGATATTCATATATTCCTTATACATAATTAATAAAAAATACTGTATATTAGTATAATTTTATATCGCAAAATAACGTTAATTATAATCCTGAACACAAAACTCCACTATTGAAAATAGGACTCCCGATCCGCACATGAGCGGTGTTGCCACGTTCCATAGCACGGCTAATACTAGAGTCGGCTGAAGTCCACGAGAAGAAGACACAGAGTGTCTACATCCCCACTTTTACTGCAGTCCGCTGATTGGCTGTCACCGATCTTCCGTCACCGTTTTTGACCAATACCTATGAGTCAGCGGACAGCAACAGGAGTGGGGATGTAAATACACTGCCTTCTCGTGGACGAATAGTATTAGTACACGGGACGATAACCAGGCGTCGCACGTTGTTCATTCTCAAAGATGGCGGCCACTATACATGCTTCACCGCCAATGTCGCATCCAGTATATAGAGATCAGTGGGTCCTCTTATAACCAAAGTGGAGAGGGTACTGTTCTGTGACTCTTGCGCCGCATCTGGCACCCCTGCAACCATTATTTCTATTTCATTCTATTCGATTAAACCGACGATTTCACTCGAGAGAGAACTCGGTTAGTTAGTTATGGATTCAGCTTGTCAAAACACAGATTTTAATGTCAAATACTTGGTTGGTCAGTTAAATACAGCCAGAAAAGAAATTAATAACTTGAGGTATTATTACATTCCTTTTATCATATCATGGCTTTATAGATTCGAAGAATTTATTGGAAAAGGTATTAACAAGTTCCATTTGAAGGTGCTGTTTTCTATGCACCTTATACTATTAATGTATTCGTATATGCGTGGCTATGGTGCTGGACATAAGTTCTGGCACATTGTACAATTCTGTATACGAACATTCATACTACTGAACAAAATTTATTTAAAATTTTTAACTCGTCTATGTATGAAAATAGAACAAAATGAATAATATAGGAAACATATGATTAATACAAATGTGTTTTAAAACCATCTTACATATAAAATGATATCTGTTAATACCTATTGAAATTGACAAATGTAATTAATGTAAAAGTTAATGTACTTGCGAAGCTACTATCGTATTTACCACATCGTAACTCTTTAATATTTACAGACAACAAATAAAAACTCTTCGTTATATACATGAAAAAGATGTCAATACTATAAAACGTCTTTTAGAATCGTACAGCAATGGAGCGTCTGTGTCAGAAGCAAAAGTTATATCCGAAGACGATGTAAAACCTAGCACTAGCGCGGACGATGATAACGTTAAATTAAAACCAATCGGAATAATATCCACTTGGTTTCCGTGCAAACGCGGCACACCTAGGCAGCCAGGAATTTGTGGAAATGTACCGGGAAAGATACTGTTGTATAACTCGATATATACAAATCCGGCCCATGCCCTGGAAGGATTACAAGATTTTTCGCATATGTGGTAAGACAACGGATGAGAGAAATATTTTTACTGTATCGTATCGTAATTAAAAATTTTCGTTTCGTATCTGACTATTTCTATTTCAACAGGGTCTTATTCTATTTTCATAGAAACGATTCGACGCACGTTCGCGCTAAAGTTGCACCACCGAGATTAAATGGTACAAAGACTGGGGTCTTTTCCACGCGATCCCCTCATCGTCCATGCCCGATCGGTTTGAGTTTAGTAAAGATTACAAGAATAGAAAATCATACCATTTACTTCGAAGGCGTGGACATGGTGGATAAGTCGCCCGTATTAGATATAAAACCTTATATACCATTGTACGACAGTCCAATGTGCTTTGAGAAATGTAACAGGTCGCAGGAATCCACCATAGATAATACATTCGTGTGCATAGAAGAGACTACTAGTTTAAGTAGAAGTCAAACGTGTGGTACCTTTGATGCCAACGTAAATCTTGGAGACGAAACGAGAAGTCTGCTTTCGGATTCTTATTACAGAAAGAATACCAACGAATTAAATCAAGATATTTCTAGAGACGAAGAGATTGCATTGAGATTGCAAGCGGAGGAGTTTCAGAGAAATTCGAATTTTGAAAATTACAACAGCGTAAGACACTTCTCGGAGTTGGGTGATATTAATTTGCACAATAATGGCACGTTACCGCATAATGTAGATGTAACTGGTATACACAGAGCATTTTATACATCGTCCGATTCCTCGTCCGATGCAAGGTCGAACATATCCACTGCGCGTAATGCCCTCTCAGCCAATTTGGAACAACGATCAGAAAGTTTCGTAGATATAAGTAGCAGATTACAAAACAGAAATATAAGTAGTCATACCAATGTGGAGCCAATGTATACTTCAACCGATATGGGATCCAACTACATAGAAGCTCATGCTTCTCGCTCTAGACTTTTGGACGGAGCAGATGGACCAAGTACAGTGTGTGGTACCGATTTAGATTTAATTAGACGTTCGTTGAACGCGAGGATCGATAACTCTCCGATAAGGATGGGGATACGCGAGGCCCCCGACGGCGAAGAAGGTCTGGAATCGCAAACGCTTACCCCGTCGCAAGTTTTACCGAATATCGAGGTAGCAAGGACCGCGTCGAACAGTAGCCTGCCGGACAGCGCGGATATAAATTCAATATTTTCGCCCGAATCAAGAAACGCCGAGAACAGAGAGGCAGAGGCCAATTTCTCATCGGAAGTGAGAATTCCAGAGTGGATATCAAGATCTCGAACGCCCCTGTGCGTGATATTCAACGATCGAGCTCTTATACAATTAAATAAAATATTAGGGACAAAAATTAACGACCAAAAAGTAGCGATTGAAAACGTACTCCGGGAAGATCCCAGATCCGTGTATCTCAGACAAAGATGGGGTAGCCAATTTTATACATTCTTGATCCACGATTTACACATTACTTGTAGATTCGACGATAACAGAGGCGTAGTAACAGTTTTTCAAGTTAGACACGCTGGACGTATCTGCGAATGTGGAGAACCCGAATGGCAATGTTTAGGCCATTCGTTGCCTCCGTCTTAATGCGTATTTCATGTACGCGACCCGCATTATTGACACGTTTAGTTTGGTGTACATCTATATTTGTCAATAATATTGTAAGAAATGCAAGCTCTTAACTTATACAGTTACGAGGTATATTATATCCATTATCATTCCACAATTAACCAAGAATATTTATTTAAGAATTTTTATTGCTATTAGATTTATTAAAAAGACTTCTTAAAAGAGTTATTTAATTCGTTTGCTATTTTAAAATGAAGTTTGCATTGTTATTATTACGAGCAATATACAGGGTGTTCGGGCATCCTTGGGGAAAATTTTAATGGGATATTCCAGAGGCGAAAATCAAGAATATCGATTTCTTGACTGAGGCTTCATTAAAAAGTTATTAAAAAATGAAATTGAAAAATTTCAAATCAGTCTGAAAAAATTATTTTTAGGTCTTGGGGTTAAGTAGAACCGTTTTTGGTGAATAGACATACCCCCGAAATCCTACGCACTCACGAGAAAAAAATTCAGGAAGATGGACAAATTTGTTGACAAAATTAAAAAAGTTCGAATTGTTCTGGTAAAATTATTTTCGGTTCCGGGGGTCAATTACAATCATTTTTTGTGAATAGACCTACCCCCGAAATCCTACGCACTTACGAGGGAAAAATTCATTACCGAAAATACAATGTCTGACCATGAATTGATTCTCCTAAAATTGAAAACTTTTAATTCGTTCTAAAAAAAATTATATTTGGTTGCGGGGATCAATTACAGTCATTTTTAGTCAATAAACATACCCTCGAAATCCTACGCAGTTTCGAGAAAAAAATTCAGGAAGATGGACAAATTTTTTGATAAAATTAAAAATTTCAAATCGTTTTAAAAAAATTATTTTTAATTGCGGGGGGTTAATTAAAATCATTTTTGGTGAAGAGACATATCTTCGAAATCCTGCGCGTTTTCGAGCAAAAAAATTCTTAATCAAAAATGTAATTTATGGCCAGAAATGTTGTCTGAAAATTTGGAAAGATTGGACGATTTTAAAGTTTCAAGCGGCAAACGACGCGTACGTTGACGCAGAATATGTACTAATTCCAAAAATAATCGAAAAGTTGTTCCTTGACTCCGTAAAATGAGAAAAACCCCATAAAAGTGGTCCAATTTTCAAACAGACATAACTCCTACAATAATGAATATATTTAAATGAAACTGTTTTCTGAAGTAGAGCTCGTGGGTACCTACATAAAAGTATTAGACAAAGTTTCCGTACAGCGTCAAACAAATTTATTAAAAATGCAAAACGAATTTTTAAGAAAAATCGACGCTGAAATTTCTCGTCGAAAAAAAAATTTCAAATCGTTCTGAAAAAATTATTTTTAGGTCTTGGGGTTAAGTAGAACCGTTTTTGGTGAATAGACATACCCCCGAAATCCTACGCACTCACGAGAAAAAAATTCAGGAAGATGGACAAATTTGTTGACAAAATTAAAAAAGTTCGAATTGTTCTGGTAAAATTATTTTCGGTTCCGGGGGTCAATTACAATCATTTTTTGTGAATAGACATACCCTCGAAATCCTATGCACTTACGAGGGAAAAATTCATTACCGAAAATACAATGTCTGACCATGAATTGATTCTCCTAAAATTGAAAACTTTTAATTCGTTCTAAAAAAAATTATATTTGGTTGCGGGGATCAATTACAGTCATTTTTAGTCAATAAACATACCCTCGAAATCCTACGCAGTTTCGAGAAAAAAATTCAGGAAGATGGACAAATTTTTTGATAAAATTAAAAATTTCAAATCGTTTTAAAAAAATTATTTTTAATTGCGGGGGGTTAATTAAAATCATTTTTGGTGAAGAGACATATCTTCGAAATCCTGCGCGTTTTCGAGCAAAAAAATTCTTAATCGAAAATGTAATTTATGGCCAGAAATGTTGTCTGAAAATTTGGAAAGATTGGACGATTTTAAAGTTTCAAGCGGCAAACGACGCGTACGTTGACGCAGAATATGTACTAATTCCAAAAATAATCGAAAAGTTGTTCCTTGACTCCGTAAAATGAGAAAAACCCCATAAAAGTGGTCCAATTTTCAAACAGACATAACTCCTACAATAATGAATATATTTAAATGAAACTGTTTTCTGAAGTAGAGCTCGTGGGTACCTACATAAAAGTATTAGACAAAGTTTCCGTACAGCGTCAAACAAATTTATTAAAAATGCAAAACGAATTTTTAAGAAAAATCGACGCTGAAATTTCTCGTCGAAAAAAAAAATTTCAAATCGTTCTGAAAAAATTATTTTTAGGTCTTGGGGTTAAGTAGAACCGTTTTTGGTGAATAGACATACCCCCGAAATCCTACGCACTTACGAGGGAAAAATTCAGGAAGATGGACAAATTTTTTGATGAAATTAATAAGTTCAAATCGTTCTGGAAAAATTATTTTTGATTGCGGGGGTCAATTACAATCATTTTTGGTGAATAGACCTACCCCCGAAATCCTACCCACTTTTTAGAAAAAAATTCAGTAGGGGCGGAACTTTAAACGTTAGTAACTTTTTAACGAAGCCACCATCAACAAATTAGTATTCTTGATTTTCGTCTTATTTTGGCCTCTAGAATCTTCCATTAAAATTTTTCCCAGGTCGAACACCCTGTATATATTCCAAACAGCCAAACTTCGTAAAGTATCGCAAGAATCTATTATTGGTTTAAATTCTTGTTATATTATTCGAGATTTGAATATGTTTATTAATAATTTTACTAAAGAATATAATAATCCCTTTTCTTCCTAACACACAGTATGTAAAAACTAGTTTTAGACTTTCTGCGCGCGTGTCGAGACTCGTATATATATCCTCGAAAATTTCGTTCAATTTTTAATCTTAAGAATCACGTTGTATAAAAATAGATGCATTTTTTATTATTTTCATTATTGAATATTTATTGTCAAATTTTTTACGATATTGTTTTTGTAATTAGATCATCACATAGCTTTTTCTTACAACATAGAAGTTCCTATACGTTTAAATCTTTGTATACAATTCTGATGCAAGTTGCAATTTACCACATTTTCGTGGAAAAATAAAATTCGTAAAAAAAGATTCAACTTTCAATTTTTATTTTTTCATAAAAAAAAAAAAAAAAAAAAGGAAACTTTCGTCGGAATTTTTCACGATTTTGTTCTTATACAATGTTATCTGTTTACATTTTATTGTATAAACACACGTTGGAGATGGACATTACGCGATTCAAGTATACATTCGTATCGTTGAATCCGCACCCGCTGAAAATACCCACGGTTGAATAGGATGAAACATCACATCCAAAATACCAAAATCATTGTTAGACTCGTGATTACATAATCTTTTTAGCGGCACGATCAATGGATTTTGTAGTAAATCGCTAAAATGTATGCCACAATAAATAATACGTAATTAACAATGGTGTTAATATGCATATATGCTTGACCTTACTTGTACACCATTCCGTGGGAAACAATGAGGCCTCTGTCGTCAGCACCGGATGCAAAAAGTGGGTATCGCTTGTGAAATGCAACACCTCGTACACCTGTACCGTGTAACCGCAATGTTTGATAAGGTTTTGTGCTCAAGTCGAGATCAAACCAGAGCATTTTGCGATCATAAGTGCCTACTAAAACGTTATCACCCCCTGAAAATAAATAAGAAAACATTAGACACAAAATAATGCAACGATTAGGATTATTCGAACAACGTTAGAAACTTTTACTTTACCAGGGTGTATTGCCATCGTCGATATCCATTGCGAGTTTGATAACAATTTCTTTATCATTTCTTGTTTCACCAAATCATATATTCGGACATTCCGTTGTGTCTGCAATTATTTCGTCTCGATTAATAAATTGAAATTTTACGGTCAAACGTTGTACCCTGATTCACACTTACCGCTACGAATAAATATGGCCTGATCGGATGGAACAGAACGCATTGTATCAAACCTTTTGACCTAGCGAAGGGAAGTTGTGATCTTCGTTTCGATAATTGATTTATTAAAACGGATCTGTTTTGACCATCCGGCATAACGGTGGCGAAGTAATCGCCTTTACCGTGCCACGTTATTTGTTTCACCGTTTTAAAGTGATTCAAAATTATCCTGATGCCCTGGGACCAACGATCGCCTTCTACTTGTTCCCATTGAACGGCAGTTTTAACTCTGTCGCTTACTGACAGAAAATGTACAATTACTCAGATTCTAGTACGATGCTTCCACGAGAAGAAGGTACAGTGTGTTTACATCCCCACGCCTGTTGCAGTCCGATGACTCACAGGTATTGGTCGAGAACGGTGACGAAGATCGATGACAGCCAATCAGCGGACTGCAGCAAGGGTGGGGATGTAAACACGCTGCGTCTTCTTCTCGCGAGAGGACGATATATCTTTGCTAATGAAGATGTATATTCTATCATACTTATAACATCGTGTTGCGGTATTATTTCCAATAATTGATCCGTTTTGTTAGTTATTAAGCGATCTCCAATTCCAGGATTTATCAAAAGTACTTTGTTATCGGTCGCCACTCCTATAAGCGATATAGATTGATTCGGACACCAAGCCACAGACCTGATTATTCCGCCACACGGCACTGTTTTTACGCATCTGCCTGTTCCAACTTCCCATACTGTAACATAATTAACATTTATGCATAATGTTTAGTAATTACTTGCTTCTTCATAACGCCGATAAAACTTTACTTTTTAGATTCATATCGTCCCCGCCAGAAGCAATATATTGACCCATTTGTTCCACGGTGATGCTTCTAACCATATCCGTGTGGCCTTTAAACACCATAGACATCGTCGTAGGAAACGGTTGTAGATCTTTTGGACTAGGCAATTGTGGCACCAATGCTTCGGGTTCTATCGTTAATCTCATTTTTAACGCTCTTGGGCACAAGTATAGATCTAGACACCTCTGAAATCTTTCTTTAATATATTTACTATACGCGGGAACCTCCCGGAGAGAATCATATTTCTGTGGAATGAAATGTAACTTTCGTTTCCACGGCGTCGGTTGCAATTTATTCCACTCTTTTAGCTCGTTCTTGTTGAACATATACTCCGGCGGGGGATTATAACTTTCCGCGTGACCGGGTAGGTGTCTCTTTGGCGCTGGTATGTGCTTGTGAATCCTACGCATCTCTTCTGCTTGATCGTCCGATTGCCATAACATGTAAAACCGTTGTTCGTTCATTTTCTCCCTTCTTTCCTTTTCGATTTCAGCGGTAGACTTTACCCAACCCATTTTAAGCGCGTGAACTATCTTCGACACTTTCTTGGCTTCTATCTTCGATGGTAAAAATGAACGCTTGTGTTCCGGAAATTTGCGCAAGGGCATTTTCATTATTTCCGAGGTAAACCACTCCACCCATGGCTACAATAAAAAAGAACAAGGTAAATTATGAAATTACAAAATGTTAGGAAGTAAGATGGAACTTACAGCATATTCGTCGAAAGTTACAGAAGGAATTTTCTGTTTCTGAATTCTTGTAATTAATTCTATATCTGCTTCGCTTAATATAACGTCCTGCCCAGTCTGAGGATCCTTTATCGTTCTCCAAAAGTCAGGATTTTCCATTCTTTTCAAGAATTTATCTAGCTGGTCATCTTTCGTAGGTTGCATAATCTTTTTACCGTCCCAATCGTAACCAATATGGTCATAATCGTCGTACCACTTCATCGGTATGTTTCCTGTTGTGTTACGAATGTCCTCTTCGTCCGAACTGTCATATTCGTATTCCTCTAGCCTTTGATTCACCGTCGAAACATTGCTACCCGTGCCTTTGCTAATTTCTTCTTTACTAATCTTCGTTTTATTCGATTTTTCCGATGGTCCTTTCGTCGATGCGATCTCTACATTCTTTTTTAAATTATCTGGCTCCGAAGTCTTTTTATTTTGTACTTTTTCATTTCGCGGAAGTTTACGAGATTTCGATTCCTCCGGTGCACCTGTTTTATTCGCAAAAGACTTATTTGCCTTATTAGATTTCGATGCGAAAGGTATATTTGTACTTTCGATTGTAGATGCGGGAGATTTACCAAGCGTATCTTTCGCCTTATTCTCGTTGCGTTTGAATTTCGAACTAGCAGCTTTGGATTTTCTTTCAAATTTGTCATTCGTATTGTTCTCTTCTTCGGAAGTGCTGATGGAAGAGTCATTCTCCGAATCCAGATCGCTAGAATCTGTATCAAACTCTAATTCCTCTTCCTCGTCGTCGGATTCAAAGACAATTGGATCTTTCTCAGTGTCCGATTCCAATATATCTTGATTATCTTCAACTTCTTCGTCTGTACTTTCGTCATTATTATTCACTTCAGCGTTCAGCAAATCTTCCGTACCTGAATCCTAAACAATTTTATTATACCATAAGTTATGTTTTTTTTATTATTACTATTAAGCGCCACTGAGTGCTATACATAAAATAAACTGTGCGCAGCGTGATAAGTCTACAGAAAATTTCATGATAGTACAAGCTCGTCGATAAATGAGAATTCGTAACGAAAGGTCACATTTGAAAATTTACATTAATTTTCATTACCGAGTGACACTTTTATAGGTTAGAATACATTGTGAAGAGGAAAACTTTACCGATTCTACTTCGGGTTGAAGTTTTATTGAATCCTTTTCTACTTCCTTGGTATTACCTCCAACCTTCAAGTTAGTCTGCCTTCTTTTTAAGTTTTTACGTTGATTGCTCATTTTTTACAGTTTCATAAGTACAGAAATGAGGTTATCAAGTTTCACGTATGTACCGATCTAACCTGATCGAGCAGAAACGAGCATTGTGCAGTGTGGTTAGATTTGGCATGTTTGAGTGCATCGACGGCGGCGCTAGTAACGACGAACTTCCTCTACAGTTTAACGGTACACGCTTCGTGCAACTTCGTGCAACTTCGGGAAATCGAAAAGGAAGGAAAGTGCGAGCCTTTCCTTAATTGAAATTTTAGAAAATATCGCGAGACATACATTAATTAGAAATTTTTTATACAATGCTCTGCAACAATTTTTACAAACAAAAGATAAATCTCATCGATTATTCGAAATATTGTAATAACTCGTTCAAAGAATTTGATTATGTATATGAACACATAACTTGCACGCAACCTGTAACGTAAACGCTTGATACTTTACAAAAATCAAAATAACAATTACTATGGTGTATTACGAATATTATTTAAACTATTTAATAACCATAGAATGTATAGAATATGCTAGAAAATTTTTTCTGAAAATCTGCTAGACATATAATTCTATTAATTGATTGGTATTGTTTGCAACCTACTTATCACAACTAAATTATTAATTGCATCCGTTGATCGTTTCTTCAATGAAATTTAATCGATTAAAACACAAATGAATTCTTGTAACTTCGTTTCTTGTCTCATTTCCGCTTGTGTTCATTTCTATAAAAAAAAAATACATTGGATGTAAGGTCTATTCGTATATCTCGTCTGTGATACTGATTTCTGATCGCGGCTCTTTACCATTTCCGTGTCGCTTCCAACATTATCGGTTCAGACCGTAATTTGAAATTAAAATTAAATACTTAGCATGTTCATATGAACCTTAACGCGCATTTCATTAAAACCGTATGCAGGTGAAATTTGTACAAGTTTATTATTCCATTTAGTGTACGAAATTTGATTTGATTAATCATGTACTGGAACGGTAACAGATAAATATTTGTACATTTTTTATTCGCTCTTAACAACAATTTATCCGTCGTTAATATAAAAAAAAATCATTTATTTACGATCGACACTAAATAACGATTATCGGAACAAAATTATTTCATTTGATTAATTATTTAGATTTATTCAGTTATTCAAATATTCCACGACTTTTTTTATTGTCGCCAATTGAATCGTAATGATCGATAGTTCTCGTCAGTTCGTTTTCGATCGATCGAATCGTTTCACGGGGTAGTTGAACAGTTCACGACATTCAGTGTGCCTGGAATAAAGGCCGTTATATAAAAAAAACGCTATTCTTTCTTTAATGCGTTATTTATTGTATACGTTTCGGTATAATTTAAGTAATTTCACGTTTACTTGTTAGTTTGCTGGTTGAAACGCGCGAGATGAGCGAAAACGCAGAAATCACGGGAGTAATATCGCCCGAAGATGCGACCAGAGCGGAGAAATTTAAAGAAGAAGCGAACGAATGCTTCAAAAGTGCGTTTATTAAATATCATCCTGCATCCGGTTTTACAATTAACTTTATGCATTTTTATGGGATTCGAGAAGATGTCACAATTATCGGTCGATTAATGCAATTTAGTCACGTGTGTGTTTAAAACTAACCCAACTTCCGCGACGTAAATGATTATTAAATTATCGAGCGAAACTTCATAGTTTGATATAGTCGAGTAAAGATTTTAAACGATCGTGTTATATGTCGTAACTGTTTGTACGGGCACGGTTTAAGTATTTATTTTCATCTTTAAAACTCTTTTATAGAAATTTGGCATTCACACTTTTGTATGACACGTCTTATTTATGTCATGTCATGTATTTTGCTTTGCACTCTATAGTGATTTATTTTTTAAAATTTCGTAATGCCTGTAAATAATAAATAGTTTCTGAAAATTTAATTAACCCTCGTGGTCCAAATACTGATGCGACGTTATTGCTTAAAAGAAGGAAACAATGAATTCGATAGAGCTACAGCAAAGAAAGTTGAAACTTGAATATAATTCATAATGTGCGCGGAAGCGCAATAAGTACAAGTGCGATTGTTTGTACATATTTCTTTTATTACTGTTCGCTAAGCAGTTAAAAAGTAATAAAGTAATCGTAGCAGAATCTATTACGAAATCGTTCTTTAAAATGTGTGTACATGTATATTTGAATTTTCCCGTACGAGTCAAAATCTGGCATTCGAGCTTCGTGTCGCCAGTTCATCAAGCATCTGGGCTCCGAGGGTTAATATTGTAAATACATTGTCGATCGTCTATAATTGCTGTTCCATGTCATGTTTTAGATCAAAATTATATCAAAGCCATAGAATTGTATTCTACAGCCATAGAAGTAAACCCTACAGTGGCGGTATACTATGGAAACAGAAGTTTTGCTTATTTGAAGACGGAATGTTTTGGATACGCGCTGACGGATGCGTCGAAAGCCATAGAGCTGGATAAAAATTATATAAAAGGATATTATCGTAGAGCCGCAGCTCATATGTCGGTTGGGAAGTTCAAACTAGCTCTTAAGGATTATAAAACTGTTACTAAAGCAAGACCAAACGATAAAGATGCGATGGTTAAATATACAGAATGTTGTAAAATATTAAAAAAATTAGCCTTCGAAAAAGCAATTTCTGTAGACGAAAATAAAAAGAGTATAGCCAGTATGATTAATTTAGAAGCTATGGGTAAGTCGTTATGTTTAATGTTTAATGCGTTCGAACGAATTTTTAAAAACATTCTCAACCTCATTTTGTGTATTTTTATAGCCATCGAAGATGAATACGTAGGGCCTAAATTGGAAGATGGAAAAGTTACGTTAAAATTTATGCAGGATTTGTTAGAATGGTACAGGAAACAACAGTTATTACACCGTAAATACGCGTATAAGATTCTTTTAGACATAAAAACATTGTTTATGGCACAACCAAGCTTAGTCGATATTACAATTCCTGAAGATAGTAAATTTGTTATCTGTGGAGACATACACGGACAATACTACGATTTACTTAATATATTTGAATTAAATGGATTACCTTCGGAAACTAATCCATACGTATCCTTTGTAACAACGAATCGTGTTTATTGTGTTTTTTAAATTTCTGGTTTGCGAAACATATTCCTTAACAGTTACACAGTTATTCAATGGAGATTTTGTAGATAGAGGCTCGTTTTCCGTAGAGTGTATATTTACTTTATTTGGATTTAAATTATTGTATCCGAATCACTTTTTTATGGCCAGAGGTATGTAAGTATTAGTTCGTTTGCACCATTAACAAGCAATACACATTCATTGTAAGATATGATATTTAGGTAATCACGAATCTGCTACGATGAACCAAATGTACGGATTCGATGGAGAAGTTAAAACAAAGTATTTTTCCCACATGGCGGAATTGTTTACCGTGGTTTATAACTGGCTTCCTCTAGCGCACTGTCTTAACAACAGAGTTCTCGTAAGTTCATATTATTGTTAACGATAGTCTCAACGTAAATTACTAGGCGTAAACCAATAATTTTTTAGGTGATGCATGGCGGTCTGTTTTCGAGAGACGACGTCACGTTACAAGAAATTCGGGAAATCGATAGAAACAGACAACCACCGGAGGAAGGATTAATGTGTGAATTATTGTGGTCCGATCCGCAGCCTCAACTTGGAAGGGCACCCAGTAAGAGAGGTGTCGGTATTCAGTTTGGACCCGATGTAACGCAGAATTTCCTTACGCTGAACAATCTCGATTATATTGTGAGGAGCCACGAAGTGAAAAGCAACGGATACGAAGTCGGTCACGATGGAAAATGTATCACCGTGTTCTCCGCTCCAAATTATTGGCACGTTAAGTATATATTTGATGGAGTAAATAGTTTTTATTGTATCACAATAGTGTACGGATGAAGGATGTAGTGAACGATATCCAGTTTAGTTTGAATCGCGTGTGAGAGTGGGGTTGTTGCTAGCGAGACTAGTTGTCTGATATGTATTAGTTCATTTTCCTCCAATCCAATGCAATCCTTTGCAAAAATCCTACATAATTCGGGGGTTCGTCCGGGATTACAAACAGCAAGGGAGCATTTTGGAGGATAGTGAAGATAGTGAAACGGGAATAGTGAAAATAGTGAAACGATGCAAAGCGAGGACAGAAAGAATAGGACAGCGCAGCGACAGTGAACATCGTAGTGCATGCAGTTGAAAGAGTGTTGCGACGAGAGGCTTGCATAGATACACTGTATCAGCATTAAAAGAGTTGTTGATGATGCACGGACTGTTTAGCGTAGGCTAAAAAATCGAGCTAATTGCCCGTGTATTGAAAGCTGATCCAACGGGATCGTGGATGGAAGACGAAAGGAGTGAAGCAAGAGGAGACGCCGGTGACGATCAGCAAGCTGATACGTCAGTTCCGATGCAGTTTGGGTTCCCATCGATGCCGCGAAATCGAAATGTCTAAGAAAGAGAAAGAATTAGCGGAACGCGAGCTAGTGGTGGCGCGTCGCGAGATTGTGGTCATGAAGAGAATGCTCAATGCTGAGCGAAACACAGAAATCGAACAGCAATGGCGGCAGACGGTGCGTCCGGTTGCCATGGCTGTAAACAGCAACATCGAGCCTCAGCGACCGATTCAACGTAGCGTCTTGATGCCTGACGACAACCGATCGGAAGTAAGCGACAGGGGTAGTGACATCGTTGCCCTTATTTTTTTTTTTTTGTACGTGGAGAAATCCTCATGGGCACCCGCGAGCCAGTATATAGTACCAGACTCTTACGAGCGAACATAACCATGATGGCGGATTTGTGGAGCAACTGTGACGGCATGTCAGGTGATTTCCAAGTGTGGAAAAATCAGATTAGGTTGCTCAGAACGACCTATCAACTGGAGGACAATCTTGCGCATGTGCTTGTTGGCATTCGTCTGAAGGGACGTGCGCTCGAGTGGCTGCATTCTAGGGCCGAACATATCACCATGCTATTCGACCGTCCACTTAGCGAACTCAAATCCATGTTTCGTCACAGGCAAAGCAGATTGATATTGAGGAAGGGATTGAGTACATGGTGAATATGTGTTTCCTGAAAAAGACTGATGTTAATTTGTGGGACAGCGACGTTACTATTATGAAATCGATGAATCAACGGAAGAAGAAAATAACAAGGTTGACGAAGGCGTTCGAGGCCGAATGTCCAAGCAGGATGGCCGAGTGTAGGAGTGACGGATCTCCAGTTTGATTTGAATCGTGTGTGAAAGTGGGCGAGTGAGACATGAGTTGCGTGGTTTTAAGGCGAAGTAGCGATTAGCGTTTTTGTTATCATTAATGTTTGCGGTGTTCCCCTGGGAAAAATTGTAATGGGGGATTCTAGAGGAAAAAATAATATGTTATAATATCTTATAATAATGTCTTATTTTGGCCTCTAGAATCCACCATTACAATTTTTCCCAGGGATGGTCGAACACCCTGTATATATATATGTATTAGTTAATTTTCCTCGAATCCATTGCAATCCTTTGCAAAAGTCCTAGAATAGCGTGCTGATTTTATCTACTTTTTCAGCGATACTATGGGCAACCAGGGTGCCTTCATTACACTTAACGGCAAAGATATGAAACCCCATTTTACAACGTACGAAGCAGTGGTACGTTTATGATTAATCAATCAATTCTGTATTACTTTTTAAATTAAACTGTACGAGTTCGTTTCTTTCAGCCTCATCCGGATGTTAGGCCAATGGTATATGCTAATTCTCTACTAAAATTCATGTGCTAGTGGAACGCTCTAGATACAAGTTGATAATTAAATGAATAACGATAAATGAATATGAGTAGACCAATCAAAGTGTACGTAATATATTTGATACCGAGATGGAGAGAACGAGAAACGCTTAGGCATCTCCAAAACAATAAATATTGTATTCTTTCTAGGAACAAGAAAAAAATTTTCTGTATCATAATAAATGCAACGAAGGCATAATTATTGATGGGTGTAAAAAATGAAAAACGTTTGCTAGTTTCGACTACTGGCGAACAGACGTATCAAATATTCTTGTCTACGATAAGAATGATACCTTATTAGTAACTTTTATTCCATTACAATGAAACGACGCAAAGAGAACGTTTCTATTTTGTACTCTCAATTGAACCACCTTGTTCATTAAAGATATCGATATTCACGCGTAAGGTAAATAAAAAAAATATCAAAAATCTTGACGGATTAACTTATATTCTAAGGAGGTACTGAACATATAATGAACACCTATCGTATTTTTAGTTAATTCTTTAACGAATAACGGTGGTTTTTATAAAACAATTATTATAAAGATATCTAACGCGTATGTGATTTAGCATGATTATATAGTACAATTTTTCCAGCCAGTCACTATTCATCACATTATTTGTGATAAAAAAACTTTTTTACGAATCTTACGTTATTGGAAGGATTTCTTTGATCTACCGTTTTGTTTTTTTGTTAAGAATAAACAGTGTTTATAATGTATTTAATATTCATATTGTTTTTCTTGCAACAATGAACAAATTGTACCTTACGAAATCATACGGAAAATTTCTTCCGGTAAAGTGTTTCGATTATGATGATTCACAGTTATAAGTTTAGATTTTTTATCCGTACAGAGCTGTTGGAACAGCGGTAAATATTTATGCGGCGCTTTATGCGTTTCAGGTATCGTTGCAATTATAAAAGGTTTGCTGAAATTTTTAGAAAATAACTTCAGTACTTGGTCGTGAAACTTTTGGCTAAACAATTCCATTTTACCAATTTCATCAATAATTAGTATATCCTGATAGAAATAAAAACATAAGTATTTTACTATTAAATAAGTACACGCTTAAGAATTAAGAATAATCTGGCTTACTGCGTTCGAGTCGAAGATTGGTAATGCCATTTCTTCAAAATTATTAAGAAACACATGGTATTTTCCCACTTTATATTTTGACCGTTGTGACTGGTTTATCACGTCTCTGTTTGCGAATAATATTGCGTTAGACAAGAAGTAAAATTAAATTTTTTATAATTATAAGATAACACTGACTCGATTCGTGCCAATGTCGATTTATCCCCAGAACGGTTGACGAGCGCAACATCAAATCCAATCCTGCTACCAACTTGATCTCTTACTTCTTCCGTATAAAACCCTTCAAGATTATAATTTTCCTTGTTCATCATCGAAATTAGCTCTTTGCATATTGTAGTCTTTCCAATGCCTATAACAATTTTATAAGTAAATTTTTGTTACTTTTAAAAATGAAAATATCGAACGAATTATTTCTAGATTAATAATTGCGTAGCATCGTTAAAATTTCCATTGTTCGATGATAGAACGATCAAGGCTGTTAGAAAATTTTTAATATTTTACGTTTAATTTGTTAAAAATCTAAAGCTTTTTACATTTGCCGATATTTATGTTTCGAATACCCGCGCAACTTTAAAAGTTCGCGGACTTACCAGGGCGCCCGGTAAGAAGTACACGCGAGATACGCAACGTGGCGCTAGTGTCCATATTAATTTGCTTTTTGACTCGGACCATCCGACTGCGACGGATGATTGTAGGTGTCGACGACATGTAATGAAAAAAATAATGTTGATAGACGTTTGAAACATGCATGACAAGAATTGTGGCTTTACGCAACTGCGGATAACAAAGATACCGACAAATTAGAAAAAAAAAAAAAAATTAGTAAGTAATCACGAGGTAGAGCCACTGAATAGTAATCGTCCGTTCATGATCAAGTAAAACACACTCTGCTCGAGCATACACGATGATCGTGTAAATGTGAGTATGTACTGTGAGTTGTAATGATTTGTAGCATTTTCGAAATTGTTAACTATCCGGCTGGGTCACGCGTGTCCTGCGTGTCATAGATGCGCAAAATACTTACTGCTGATTACCATATATTAAACTACGCAATGTATCAAAGCATACAAATCATCGACGTACATAATAAAATATTGAAGAGCACGCAACGGACAATACAAATACCTATATTAAAGTATATCGAAAGGTTGTAGCGCATGAACGTATAATCGGTTGTGTTTTGCACACATGTATCGCGCAGCGCATGCGCGAACAGCTCGCCAAGGAGAAAGAGAAGATTTCTAGATACTTCGCTTCTCCGAAAATGGTAAGAATGTTTTTTTTTTATTTGGTTACCATTTTCGAGAAAGTTAACCAGCTAGAGGCTAAACTTTTTTCTTTGTATGGCATCGGTGCGCTGAATACCGCCGATCGCATGACCAAGCAACTTTAACTTTCGTGTAATACACGTCGAACGATATTTGTTTTTTAATCTATTGTATATGTTATATATATTAGTATGTCGTGATCAGCAATAGTTAACGGACTTTATGTCACGCAACGTGTACCAAGGAGCAAGTGTAATCTCTAGCTAGTTAATTTCACCGAAAACGGCAAGAATCATTTTAGTTCACGGTCTGTGTTACTAGATCGGATATCAGAGACACCGGAAACGCTACACTCCACTTTCGTACATTACGCCAGATCACGTGTACGTGAGCTCGTAGAGTTTCGGAGAAACGAGAAAGAAAGGCTCACATTTTCTTTCTTCCTCGACTCACCGAAAATGACCGAAGTGAGCATGGCATATCGGACAACTTCGAGGAGTGGAAAAGAAGTCAATGTGAGCCTTTCTTTCTCGCTCTTGCATCTGGTCGATTTGTTAGCAGTGAATATCTGTATTGAGCATATAAGTACGGGATCATGCCTCAGCTGTACCGAGGCGTGATATTAGGGCATTAAATCGCTACGAAGGTTTGCGAGACCTGGAACTACAAGCCCTCTCAATGATTTGCCATATCATTGAGGTGGGGTAGTCCGAGACCCCCTCTTGACTCCAAGCTATCACTGCACTTTAATTACTTTTATTCTTTTTTTCTTTTTTTTTTTGTACGTGGGGAAGTCTTAATCTCAGCTACGTATTACAGTGTACCCCCGTTAAATATACACGTTTCTCGAGATCGAAGAGGCACATTTAGCGAAAGGGGACAACGTCTTTTATGCTTTGACACTTGGGTGAGCGTGGATAAAGAAAGTGGAAGACGAAGAGGCACATTTAGCGAAAGGGGACAACGTCTTTTATGCTTTGCCACTTGGGTGAGCGTGGAAAAAGAAAGTGGAAGACGAAGAGGCACAGAGGATCGAGTATTAGTGTAATACGATCCGATTCGTACGTCGAAGCGACAATGTTGCTTCTTCTTCCTGTTGAATCGTCATGTGAGAAACAAACGCATGTTCCATTTTCTTTAACGTTTCAGGGGAAAAATTAAAGATACTCGGGAACGTTCGAAATGACTACAGCTCTTTTTCGTCGATCGTTGAATTTTGCTTTATGTGAATAATACGTTTCCCGAAATTGCCCGAAATGCCACGCTCTCGCTTCGGGTAACTTCGGAGAATCAAGAAAGAGGGTGAGTGTCAGCCTATCTTTCTCGATTCTCCAAAGCTGCCCGAAGTGGGTACGGTCGCATTTCGGACCGTTTCGTAGGAATTGAGAGAGAAAGGCTCACATTTTCTTTCTTCCTCGATTCACCGAAAATGACCGAAGTGAGCATGGCATATCGGACAACTTCGAGGAGTGGAAAAGAAGTCAATGTGAGCCTTTCTTTCTCGCTCTTGCATCTGGTCGATTTGTTAGCAGTGAATATCTGTATTGAGCATATAAGTACGGGATCATGCCTCAGCTGTACCGAGGCGTGATATTAGGGCATTAAATCGCTACGAAGGTTTGCGAGACCTGGAACTACAAGCCCTCTCAATGATTTGCCATATCATTGAGGTGGGGTAGTCCGAGACCCCCTCTTGACTCCAAGCTATCACTGCACTTTAATTACTTTTATTCTTTTTTTCTTTTTTTTTTTGTACGTGGGGAAGTCTTAATCTCAGCTACGTATTACAGTGTACCCCCGTTAAATATACACGTTTCTCGGGATCGAAGAGGCACATTTAGCGAAAGGGGACAACGTCTTTTATGCTTTGACACTTGGGTGAGCGTGGATAAAGAAAGTGGAAGACGAAGAGGCACATTTAGCGAAAGGGGACAACGTCTTTTATGCTTTGCCACTTGGGTGAGCGTGGAAAAAGAAAGTGGAAGACGAAGAGGCACAGAGGATCGAGTATTAGTGTAATACGATCCGATTCGTACGTCGAAGCGACAATGTTGCTTCTTCTTCCTGTTGAATCGTCATGTGAGAAACAAACGCATGTTCCATTTTCTTTAACGTTTCAGGGGAAAAATGAAAGATACTCGGGAACGTTCGAAATGATTACAGCTCTTTTTCGTCGATCTTTGAATTTTGCTTTATGTGAATAATACGTTTTCCGAAATTGTCCGAAATGCCACGCTCTCGCTTCGGGTAACTTCGGAGAATCAAGAAAGAGTGTGAGTGTCAGCCTGTCTTTCTCAATTCTCCAAAGCTGCCCGAAGTGGGTACGGTCGCATTTCGGACCGTTTCGTAGGAATTGAGAGAGAAAGGCTCACATTTTCTTTCTTCCTCGACTCACCGAAAATGACCGAAGTGAGCATGGCATATCGGACAACTTCGAGGAGTGGAAAAGAAGTCAATGTGAGCCTTTCTTTCTCGCTCTTGCATCTGGTCGATTTGTTAGCAGTGAATATCTGTATTGAGCATATAAGTACGGGATCATGCCTCAGCTGTACCGAGGCGTGATATTAGGGCATTAAATCACTACGAAGGTTTGCGAGACCTGGAACTACAAGCCCTCTCAATGATTTGCCATATCATTGAGGTGGGGTAGTCCAAGACCCCCTCTTGACTCCAAGCTATCACTGCACTTTAATTACTTTTATTCTTTTTTTCTTTTTTTTTTTGTACGTGGGGAAGTCTTAATCTCAGCTACGTATTACAGTGTACCCCCGTTAAATATACACGTTTCTCGGGATCGAAGAGGCACATTTAGCGAAAGGGGACAACGTCTTTTATGCTTTGACACTTGGGTGAGCGTGGAAAAAGAAAGTGGAAGACGAAGAGGCACATTTAGCGAAAGGGGACAACGTCTTTTATGCTTTGCCACTTGGGTGAGCGTGGAAAAAGAAAGTGGAAGACGAAGAGGCACAGAGGATCGAGTATTAGTGTAATACGATCCGATTCGTACGTCGAAGCGACAATGTTGCTTCTTCTTCCTGTTGAATCGTCATGTGAGAAACAAACGCATGTTCCATTTTCTTTAACGTTTCAGGGGAAAAATTAAAGATACTCGGGAACGTTCGAAATGACTACAGCTCTTTTTCGTCGATCGTTGAATTTTGCTTTATGTGAATAATACGTTTCCCGAAATTGCCCGAAATGCCACGCTCTCGCTTCGGGTAACTTCGGAGAATCAAGAAAGAGGGTGAGTGTCAGCCTGTCTTTCTCGATTCTCCAAAGCTGCCCGAAGTGGGTACGGTCGCATTTCGGACCGTTTCGTAGGAATTGAGAGAGAAAGGCTCACATTTTCTTTCTTCCTCGATTCACCGAAAATGACCGAAGTGAGCATGGCATATCGGACAACTTCGAGGAGTGGAAAAGAAGTCAATGTGAGCCTTTCTTTCTCGCTCTTGCATCTGGTCGATTTGTTAGCAGTGAATATCTGTATTGAGCATATAAGTACGGGATCATGCCTCAGCTGTACCGAGGCGTGATATTAGGGCATTAAATCGCTACGAAGGTTTGCGAGACCTGGAACTACAAGCCCTCTCAATGATTTGCCATATCATTGAGGTGGGGTAGTCCGAGACCCCCTCTTGACTCCAAGCTATCACTGCACTTTAATTACTTTTATTCTTTTTTTCTTTTTTTTTTTGTACGTGGGGAAGTCTTAATCTCAGCTACGTATTACAGTGTACCCCCGTTAAATATACACGTTTCTCGAGATCGAAGAGGCACATTTAGCGAAAGGGGACAACGTCTTTTATGCTTTGACACTTGGGTGAGCGTGGAAAAAGAAAGTGGAAGACGATGAGGCACATTTAGCGAAAGGGGACAACGTCTTTTATGCTTTGCCACTTGGGTGAGCGTGGAAAAAGAAAGTGGAAGACGAAGAGGCACAGAGGATCGAGTATTAGTGTAATACGATCCGATTCGTACGTCGAAGCGACAATGTTGCTTCTTCTTCCTGTTGAATCGTCATGTGAGAAACAAACGCATGTTCCATTTTCTTTAACGTTTCAGGGGAAAAATTAAAGATACTCGGGAACGTTCGAAATGACTACAGCTCTTTTTCGTCGATCGTTGAATTTTGCTTTATGTGAATAATACGTTTCCCGAAATTGTCCGAAATGCCCCACGCTCTCGCTTCGGATATTTTCGGTGAACCGAAGAAGAAAGTAAATGTGAGCCTTTCTCTCTCGACTCACCGAAGATATCCGAAGTGCATCCGCGCTCACTTCGGGTAACTTCGGAGAACCAAGAAAGAGGGTGAGTGTCAGCCTATCTTTTTCGACTCTCCGAAACTCTACGAGCTCACGTACGCATGATTAGCGCATAGTGTGAGAAAGTGGAGTGAGGAGTTCCCGATGCCCCCGGTGCACGATCTGGTAACACTGTTCACGGCAGTGATGGACATTCGTGGAAATTTTGGTCATGCGCACTGGGGCGCACGATCACTGCCGTATACACTTAACTAGAATTTCGGGTACCGTTGGATCCGAGTAAGGAACAAAATTTAAGGAAGTTACAGGGAAAGAGACAAGTTTTTATGAAGGGAAACAGCATAAATGTACAATAAAAAGTGGAAAACAATTCATTATTTATTTAGTTTTATTTACGCGTGCAACCGATTTATTACACGAATACCAACAATTGTTGCCAGGGTAAGGAAAACTGCTGAAATCTTACCAGTATTCGAACAAAAATATTGCACGTAAAAATGAACGTGAAACACATAAATACATAAAATATATAACATTGTATACGGAAAACATATACTTTATCAATATTAACTGAATACATTTAAATCAAATTAATTTCATATGTTTTAATCGACTTAAAACTAAAAATGTTGGAATTCCGAACAGGCCCCTCACATGCACCTCCTCTTACGCTTAAGATACGTCTATGGTAGCGGACGACAGGTAGCCGTGACGTCAGCTTGCGCATGCGCAGAAAGGAACCCCACGAGGGAAAATTCCCACGAATGTCCATCACTGGTTCACGGTACCTACGCATTTTGCTGCGTTCCGTGCGTGATACGTGCCTCGTGCGACCCATGTTTGTGTGAGTCGTGAGATTACACTCGCGACACGTCTGTCATAGAATAAATATAAGATTGACCAGGACGAAATTTATAACAGTTGCGCCTTTTAATAGTACAGATTGATTGATCGTACCAAAAATTTTCCGGCTTCTCTAGTCCCTGATTAGAAATTCGCGGAGAATAGCTTTAGAATTTTCGATTAGCACTTAACGAACAGGGGAATACAGTCATTAGTTACAGGATACATGGAAGAAAGGGACGATAGGTGAAGACGACGGTTTTATCCGTTTTCGTGTACATATCGGTATCCATAAAGGAGAAATGGCTCGTCCTTCCGTTTGTAATCCGCTTTCGTACCTTATCACACGGCAGATTGACAACAATGTCGATCACTGCAAACGTCTCGTTAACGCTAGATTCGAAACTTCCGAAAACCTATTTAGAAAGGATCTGTTATCTCATTATGGATGCGTTAATGCAATTGAATTTTCGAATCAGGGAGATCTTCTCGTCTCCGGTAAGAAATTGAAAATACAGTGAATTTATTTTGATTTCTATGAAAATGTAACGGTCGACTTTTTAAAATTAACTTTTTTAATAAGCAAACAATAGTTTATAGGTATATTTGTTTGTTTAATACTGGGTCAATCGTCGTTAAGAAAATATATTTATCACGAGATTACATGATTTATTAATTTAACAGGCGGCGACGATAAGAGAGTTTTATTGTGGAAAGTTGAACAGGCGATACAAGGCGTAGGTAGGCCCATAGTGATGAAGGCTCAACACATGAGCAACATATTTTGCGTTGCTTTCAACAACAGTAAAACAAAAATATTTTCTGCCGGAAACGACGGTCAAGTTATTGTCCATGACTTACAAACGTACGAACAATTTTCGACCGTAGAAACTTTCTATGCGAACGTTTACAATTCGATAACGTTTCTATGTACCATACAGGTGCGACGTTGTAAATTTCTTCTTACACGGTAAACCTGTTTACGGCTTATCGGTCCATCCCCATAACGATAATGTATTTGCAAGCGCTTGCGACGGAAGAGTTTTAATTTATGATATACGAGGCTCTATGGAAACATTCTGCTTGGCGCAAGACAAGCATGTTTTCCACTCCGTTATGTTCAATCCTATGGAGCCTAAGATGCTCGCTACCAGCAATGCCAAAGGCATTAGCATGTGGGACGTGCGAAAACTCTTGGAGTAAGTAATCAACGTAGAACAATTTATTACGTCGCGTAGGGGAAATAAAACCTGTGTCTGTTTTTTGAATGCGTAGGCCTGTGTTACGTTATGGAAACGAAAGCTCCGCACAGAATTGTATGAATGTTAGATTTAATGCGGCAGGTAATAGATTATTAGCTTTGAGAAGAAGACTACCGCCTGTACTGTACGCAGTAGATTCCACTTCGCACTTATGCCAATTCGATCATCCCGGATATTATAATAGTTGCACAATGAAGTCGTGTTGTTTTGCTGGAGATAATGACGAATACGTTCTATCTGGTAAGCAGTAATATCGATACAGGTTTTGAATTAATCTTTTCGCAGATTCACCTATTTGCAAATCAAGGTTTTCTACAAATTAATAATTTCTTTATATTTTTTAACACGTTACTACTGTCATTCTGTATAATGCGTAAGGTAACTCAACACGCTGTCTGTGCTTCTACAAATAATTGAATATACTGCTTTAAGGTTCGGATGATTTTAATTTATACATGTGGAAAATTCCTTCCGAGGGTGTAAAATGGGTAGATTCTGCGCATATGGTTTTGCGTGGCCACAGATCCATCGTGAACCAAGTACGATACAACCAAGCCAGTTGCATATTTGCCTCGTCCGGGGTTGAAAAAATTATTAAGATTTGGAGTCCATTTTCTCTTGGACACGGCTGCTTAGGTGGATTAAAGGTAGTATGCAAATAAATATTATTTTATAATAACTCGTATTATTTCCTTTTTGCGTTTCTGTTTGCAGAAGGACGTTGGATCCAGAGAAAGGCAACGGAAAATATTTACACACAACGAGTACATCGGATTGGTGTTACGTAGCGGTCAATTCATAACGCATGATTATAGTCACCAATCGACCGGAGAAGATCCAAGAATGATGGCGTTCTTCGATTCTTTGGTACAACGTGAAATAGGGGATTGGAGTTACGAACACACGACATCAGCGCCCGAGACAACCAGCGATTCTGAAAATAATTCCACGACTGGACTTAGTACAACGGACTCCGATGGTACATCCGTTTTATGTGAAAATTTCGAATTTCATTACGTCGAGCCAACGCAAGAATTTCATTATCATACGTGCTTGTATAATTGTATAAATATGCTTTTTGTAGATTCGACTGCACCCAATCGTCGATTAATGCTATGCATTTTAGGACTGATAACATCTCGTAGATCCTTTAGAGACGAAGTGGCTCCCGGAAGGCCCTCGGTATATCGGAACCGTATATCGCGACTGATAGTAAATCGCAGAGAGAAATTAATGCGGCTCGCGGATATGGATTATGGCACGCCGTTAAACAACGCCTCTACCACAGCAGCTGGTCCATCCGCTTCGGGTTCCGCCAGCGACGGGGAGAACGCGCAAATTAAATGCAGATCCAAATCAAAATTAAAAGGTATAAAGAGAAAACACGGTAAAATTTCTGGAAGAAGAAGCAAAGCTAGAAGAAAGTGTACCCTGTTGCAAATTAATAGCGATTCCAATAGCGACGAACAGCCTATCGATACAACCCAACCTAGCACCAGTTCCGGTGTAATCTCTAGAAGATCACGATACGTTACGAACGCGATCGAAAGCGACACGAAACATTCGAGTTACAGTAGCAGCAGTTCGGAAGATAACGAGAGTTCCGTAAAGCGGAAATGTTCGAAAACTGATTCTGATACCTCGACGGTAGTGTACAGAAAGAAACACGGTAAATGTAAAAGTAATACCAAAAGTGATACTAGTAAAATGAAACGCAAAGGGCCGCAAGTTAATTACGACACCGATGACGAGAAACAGGATTGGAAGATTTATTTAAACGGCGTCTCTACGACGAAGGTTCAAGATGACGGCCCGTCGACGCCCGCGAACAAATCATGCAAGGTTCCATCGACACCGGACAGTGGCATCACATCAGAAGTATCCACGGTCGAGAAGAACGGCGAAGAAACGCAGAAAGATCGAAACAACGCTGAGAGTTCGGACCACGAGCAGAAACTGAAAAATTTAGAGTGTTTTAGAAAAAAAGTGGATGTCGCGAGAAGAAGTTATCGTACGCCTTTATCACAAACCATCTCGACTACAACCGATTCTTCCGATTAAACATCTATGTAACCTTCAGAACCTTTTGATCCATTTCCCATTGTACATAATGAATATGCGATTCCTTGAAGTATATTTTTATAACACTTGAGTTCGATCACACGCGAATATGGTTTTTCTATCTTCTTCGAGAATTTTATTATTTTTTTTCTTTCTTTTTTTCTGTCATTTTCATTTTTCTCGGCGTCTTTGTCGTTCATAAGGATCTTTACGAAGTAATTTTTATTGGAATCTCTTATGGATGCAGGACACCTTCTATAAATATTTTATGGCAATCTCTTAATGATACAAGACTGTTCCAGAGTAATAATACTTTAAACCATTAATAATACATGTACTTTCACCGTATGTAGCGATCATTATCCGTGAACTAATCACAAATCAAGTATTTTCTTCTTTTTCGTCGTTACGAAAAATAAAACGAATTTAGTGGTTTCGCATCTTTGGAAATTAATGGCCGTCATAGTAATTATTTAGAACTCTCGTTTATTATTACGAGGTAAACGTGTTTGGATATGACCATTAAAATAATATGTAATCGAAACTACAGCAAAACAACGCCGAGAGATATATAGGTAAATTAACGTATCATTAGCTATAATAAAGCAACCCGGCTAATGTGTATTGTTGACATGATTTGTAAGCGTGATGGAAAATAATAAAAAAATAAATTGATACGTGTGCTTATGTGTATATATATGTATGTATACATGTATATATACGTATTTCTATATGTATGTATGCATATATATCAAGATACATGATGTCACATAACCAGGGTGAAACACGTATCGTCCTTCCACGGGAAGAAGGCACAGCGTGTTTACATCCCCACTCTTGCTGCAGTCCGTTGATTGGCCGACATCGATTTTCGTCGCCGTTTTCGACCAATGTCTGTGAGTCAGCGGACTGCAACAGGAGTGGGGATGTAAACACGCTGTGATTTCTTCTCGTGGAAGAATGGTAACTGAAATCACTTCGATTACGTCGTAAATAATTTTAGCGGCAAATGTTTCGGTTAAAACGTGCACCTCGCCGATTTTGATCATTTTTAAATGTGTTGTGGAACTCAATATTTTGAACAAGCTTTTTTTATACATACAAGGTGTTCGGCCACACCTGGGAAAAATTTTAATGGGGGATTCTAGAGGCAAAAATAAAACTAAAATCAAGAATACCAATTTGTTGATGGAGGCTTCGTTGAGAAATTATTAACGTTTAAAGTTCCGTCTGTGAGGCAGCAACCTGCGAACAACTGCGTGCGCGGAACTTTAAACGTTAATAACTTTTTAACGAAGTCTCAGTCAAGAGATTGGTATTCTTGATTGTCGTCTTATTTTGCCCTCTAGAATCTCCCATTAAAATTTTTCCCACGGGTGGTCGAGCACCCAGTAGTTTTTTTCTAGTTAAATTTCATGGTTTGCGTTAGAGGGAAAATTGTCAATAACCTCTTACCATGCATCACGCGACGTGTGTTAGCTAGGATCATTTAGGTTTACGTCGAGGTGAAGGCCCATATGAAGTACCTGGGCCTGATCCTCGACAGCCGGTGGCAAGAGTCCGGCGCTACCCCGAGGCCCCCCCTACTTGGGGCCTCGTGGTCACCATGAGGATTTCCCCACGTACAAAAAAAAAAAAAGGGGTCATCTAGATTACCTGCATTTAGAATGTTGAATTAGTATCTGTATATATTTATGTTGCACGGTGTCTTTTCTAGTTAGATTTCATGATTTGCGTTAGAGGGAAAATTGTCAAAAAGCTCTTATCATGCATCACGCGTGTGGTTAGCTAGGGTCATCTAGGTACTGGTTAGTTTGGGGTGTTTTTATGTGCATTTTAACCCGATTCAACAAGAACCACCAGCAAATATAAACAACTGAGCACGCGCGGCACGTGATCAAACCAGGGCCGAATCGTAATGTCCAGATCCCTACATAGTAGGAAAGAAGCTAATTTTCTAAACAAAAAGTACTCATCCTCAATATTAATGACATTATTAATTAAATATTTTTACATAATAATGTGAATAAGTGGGCAAATGAAAATACAAATTAAGATATGGAATGGAATGTCTGTGAATCAGCGGACTGCAACAGGAGTGGGGATGTAAACACGCTGTGATTTCTTCTCGTGGAAGAATGGTAACTGAAATCACTTCGATTACGTCGTAAATAATTTTAGCGGCAAATGTTTCGGTTAAAACGTGCACCTCACCGATTTTGATCATTTTTAAATGTGTTGTGGAACTCAATATTTTGAACAAGCTTTTTTTGTACATACAAGGTGTTCGGCCATACCTGGGAAAAATTTTAATGGGGGATTCTAGAGGCAAAAATAAAACTAAAATCAAGAATACCAATTTGTTGATGGAGGCTTCGTTGAGAAATTATTAACGTTTAAAGTTCCGCCTGTGAGGCAGCAACCTGCGAACAGCTGCGTGCGCGGAACTTTAAACGTTAATAACTTTTTAACGAAGTCTCAGTCAACAGATTGGTATTCTTGATTTTCGTCTTATTTTGCCCTCTAGAATCTTCCATTAAAATTTTTCTCACGGGTGGTCGAGCACCCAGTAGTTTTTTTCTAGTTAAATTTCATGGTTTGCGTTAGAGGGAAAATTGTCAATAACCTCTTACCATGCATCACGCGACGTGTGTTAGCTAGGATCATTTAGGTTTACGTCGAGGTGAAGGCCCATATGAAGTACCTGGGCCTGATCCTCGACAGCCGGTGGCAAGAGTCCGGCGCTACCCCGAGGCCCCCCCTACTTGGGGCCTCGTGGTCACCATGAGGATTTCCCCACGTACAAAAAAAAAGGGGTCATCTAGATTACCTGCATTTAGAATGTTGAATTAGTATCTGTATATATTTATGTTGCACGGTGTCTTTTCTAGTTAGATTTCATGATTTGCGTTAGAGGGAAAATTGTCAAAAACCTCTTATCATGCATCACGCGTGTGTGTTAGCTAGGGTCATCTAGGTAATGGTTAGTTTGGGGTGTTTTTATGTGCATTTTAACCCGATTCAACAAGAACCACCAGCAAATATAAACAACTGAGCACGCGCGACACGTGATCAAACCAGGGCCGAATCGTAATGTCCAGATCCCTACATAGTAGGAAAGAAGCTAATTTTCTAAACAAAAAGTACTCATCCTCAATATTAATGACATTATTAATTAAATATTTTTACATAATAATGTGAATAAGTGGGCAAATGAAAATACAAATTAAGATATGGAAAATTATATGAGAAAAAATGAAGGAAATGAGCCTCGAGAAAAGGTGTGAATGATATTTAAAGGCTCCGAAAATGGAAGGGGATAAAAAGAATAAATTACGAAGTGTTCTCTTCAATAAGCATGTATAAGCTTATATATTCTTGTAAGGCCATCGGTACATTTATAAACATATAATAAATCTTACAAAACATCAACCTAATTTGAACATCGAACTGTAAAGATTGGAAAGGTTGTACAACAAATATTTTACTCTGTTACGTTTCTAATTCTTGCCTAAGAGGGTCTTCTAGTTTGAGGTGCATTTGCTTAAACTCGGGAAATCTTTTGAACGAGTAAAAAATTAAAATTGGTGGCACTTCATAGTCTCCTGGTTCTATTTGTATGAAACGAAAAAATGCGTAAGATTCTTAATTAGTACGAGTTCGGCTATAGTCGGTAGCAAAAGAAAACAGTCGATAATTCATGGACACCGTTCTGATAAACATAGTTTCGAGAGAAACGCTTTAAAAGTTTTGTATCCCTATAACGACAACAATAGCAAATACATTTTTCAACCTATATTCTTTAAGAAAATGCAAAAAAAAAAATATCATTTTTTCAACGATTCACGCTAGAATACCCCTTCAAGGCATGTAATACTCTGTAAAAGCATATTTGAACCGGAATTGTCTTAAATAAATAATTTATATACAAAATATCAATTAATATGTATTCGTAATTTGTTCAATATGAGATTCGGGCATTTTACACTAACTTTTCTTTACATTATTCGTTAAAATGTTCTATGCTCAAAATTAAACAAGCTGCCTTTAACGTTCAACGTTTTTAGAATGAATAATACTGTGCATTCGTAATACATTAACTGTTCACATTCAACATAGCACAGTGTATCGTAAATTATAAGACGATTTAAGAGCATAAAACCTGTTCTATCTTTTACGCGGGCTTTTATTTCAATTTATGCTAATCGTCCAAACCTAAACCCTTCGAAATTTCATCCGCAGTTAATTTATGTCCCGAAGCGGGACTATCAGCAGGTTCAGCAGGTGGAGCAGGTGGAGCGGACTGCGTAAACGGCGGACTACTTGGCGTATAAGTTGGCGGCGGAGTTGTACGATTCTCTCCGTGATTCTTCTGCGCAGAAAAAAAAAAAAAGAAAACATTAAGTAAAACGTGAAATTCATAAATTCACCAATTTGGAACTACCTCCTTTTACTCACATCTTTTCCATGTTTGCTTAGACCCTCTATAGCAGAGTTTAACAGAGACTGACCGATCGCGGAACCTATTCCGGACAAAAGATCTGGACCCGAATTCGATTGCTGGTTAGAATAACCACCGGACGGTTGATAATTTCCTGGAGCTTGATATCCAGGTTGTTGGTTTCCACCGCCTCCGAAAACACCACCTATAATGGATCCCAAAGCTCCTGATAGCGGATCAGACGCTGGCTGGTTTTGTGGGCGCGGAGGTGCTCCACTATTACCACCTTAATACATAAGAATATAATCATAAAATATAGATAAGTTAATTCAATACTACTATTCATTAGTCTACGTCAGTAATTTTCAAACATTTTTTTTTTTCACGGTTAATCATTAATAAATATACTAAATTTTATTATCGACCGCTACAAGTATGTTCTCGGTCGATTAAAAATAAAAATAATAATTTTATATTTTTGTTAGAAAATTAGCAACGAATTAACCACTTCTTTTTCACTGTTTGCGGCACACCGGTTGAAAATTGCTGTCTCAAACTAACGAAAATAGTTGTTATCGAGTTACGAGTAATATAATACCTAATGCCCCGAGAATAGAGCCTAATACACCGCCGCCACCCGATTCTTGAGGATACTCTTGCTGCGCGTTTGTGTTACTTTGTAAAGCATTAGTCATCAAGCTGCTCGCTAAAGCTGCACCGAGTGATCCAAGGTTCCCCAAACCTCCCTCAGATTCTGTTTTCGACTTGGAAGCATCCGATTTCTCTTGCTCCTTTTCCGGATCTTCCTCCTTTTTTTTCTGCGAAGAAACACGATGTTTGTAGTTTACAGAAGTTACGGTATTATCATCGAATATACCTGCAATGCGTGAGCAGCAGTGGCTATGCCTCCCGCAGCAACCAATCCTCCTAATGCCAAACCCACTTTGTCCAAACAGGCACCAAATATATTCTCTTCTTGTGGTTTTTCGTATCCAGGTTGGTAACCAGGCATATTTGGGGGACCATATGGAGGTCTACCGAACGTATTAGGCGGAGGACCATAGCCGATTAGAGGAGGCGGGCCGTATCCACCTTGCGGAGTTTGCGGACCTATCGATGGATATAATCCACTGGGTGCTAAAATCAGATAATCAATATAAAATATTTATACCATTTATAAAATTAATCGTTAAGGAGTAAAACAATGTACCATTGGTACACGAGAAGAAGGTCACAGCGTGTTTACATCCCCACTCCTGTTGCAGTCCGCCGACTCACAGACATTGGTCGAAAACGGCGACGGAAGATCGGTGACAGCCAATCAGGGGACTGCAGCAGGAGTGGGGATGTAATCACGCTGTGCCTTTTTCTCGTGGAAAGACGATATGAACATCTGTACGACATCCATCATACAGATAACTAGAACATTGTTTGTTTATATTCCTGACCTCTTTAACATTTAAAATTCATTTCAAAAATATTATTATTTATCTTCTAAACGATACGTAATGGCAATTTTAAACAAGATGTTCTAAATTATGTGTATTCGTTTAAAAAAATTTACGCAGCATGTTGAATTTCGCTCATCGAACTGTTTTGCAACTTGAACCATTTATGAGACGTCTTCTTGGACATTTACAAACCCTACATTTATTCTATTAAAGTAAGCAAGATAAAGTGTAAAATATTTTATTACGTGGCGGTCCAAAATTAGGTGCGGGTACATCTGGCAAAGGCGCGGCTCTGGGAGAGCTATATGGACCAATGGACACGTCCTCGTACGTTACAGATTCTATTTCCACGTCACACTCGATAACCAACTGCGTTATTTTCTGATATTCAAACTCTGCGAAGTGTCTGCCGTTTATGGCAATCTTGTACCAAGTAAAATTGCAGAGAAGCAAAACCTCAAATTCTTCTCCGGCTTTAATCCACATGGGTTCGCTGGGTCTGTCTGGAAAGGTTGGGTAAACCTTGATAGCTACGCCGTCGCTTGGATTCAACGTTGGTCCACATTGACAACTGACAGGAAACCATGCGGCATTCGAACTAACTTTCCCTCTAACTCTTACCATTTTTCCAGGTACCAGGCCGCCTTTAATAAGATCCACGACCGGCGCTCCCTATTAAACATAAGAAATTTATTAATATAATATTAAGGTTAAACACAATATATTCTAAGTAATTTTTAGTTTTATTCTTAAATTGCATATAAATTTTTACACATAAAAGCTTTATGCAACATATATCGTTAAATTATAAATTTGAAAATAAAGAAGATTAATAAACCACACTTTGATGCAATTGCAACTGCATTGCGGATATTGGATTCGTCATCGATCAACGATGATCACTTTTACAGTATTACGTAGTTACATTGCATTACATAGTTTTGTAATTTAAAAAAAAAAAGGGCACTACTCACGGAATTTAAATCTCGTTCGTATGACATTTTTGTCGTTGGTTTCTATAAGCGTATATAAAATTTTTACGCCGAAACAAAATTAGACCGTGGAGAAACGCTACTGCGCATACGAATAACGAGCTGCCACTTCCCTTCCAATCAGTGTGGCCAGATCTGGCATAATTGAGTGCATCGAAATCGACAACAGTGACGACGAACTTCCTTAGCGTCTAACGGAATGGTGGGGATAGCAGGCATACACTACCGCACGAGCCACGTGTACGTGAGCTCGGCACTTCGCACAACTTCGGCAAATCGATAAAGAACGCTAGTGTGAGCCTTTCCTTCTTGCTCTTGTAAAAGAGAAACAGCTGAAATACGACCTCGCGATAAGTGGCATACGATTCCAAGCCTCGACTGTTCCAGCATTTTTACTTTCCGACCTATGTAAGGTATAAGGAAATTTATAAAGTATCATAATGGAAAAAAATATTTCGAAATTTTTTTTTAGCGGAAATACACGTTTTAGGACCCCCTCATCATATTGTGACTACTACAAAAAAACATATTTTTTTTTTGTTCCTATGCTATTGACATGATTGCGTCTAAACGGCTGAATGAATTTCAATGAAACTTAACATTTATGTTTTATGTTCTCGTTTTAAGGTCTCATTATATTTTAAGCGTGATCAGTTCCCATATAATGATGATTATACGTCTGTAGTTTTATAATTATTTCGATACATATACATCATTTGTAACAAATTTTTAAAGCGATTTATATAAATCTTAAGAAGGATTAAGATCAAATATACTTTTTTCCTATCTTTCCTAGACAGGAAAAATTAAACGAAGTCTTATGCCTTGCATACCTACCTGAACCACATAAAAAACGTATTCCACAAATATTTTAGAATAATGTTGTTCAAAGCAGTCTTACTCGTAAAGGGTTAATTAAGGGTTAATTAAAATGAAAAAACAACTCTTAGCCAGTACCGTGCACGCTACAGAAATAGATTACTACTGACTTTTCCCACTATGTTTTTTAATAACCGTATCAAATTGTTACACACAATCAAATGTTATATATTTGACTTAACTTTACATAACAAAATAATTGTAACGATAGGTAAAACAATAACGTGCACGCTACCGTTCAATGGAAACCACGGGAAGGTGGTGGTCACTTCCATCAGGAGGGAAATGTAAAAAATTGTTATTTCTTTGTAACATTATCACATGCCGTATATTAAAATGTTTTTATTAATGTAATGAAATTACAATATAATGAAAAACTAACTCGTGAATGCATTAATTTTTATTAATATACACACGAGCCATAAAAATGGAAAAATGATATAATCGTTTACATTTCCAAAGGATGGGATGTTGGGATAGGACAAAATCCAGAGGCCAAAGCATATCTTTATTTTCTAAATTACGCTCTTGAGTTTTTTTATAAATTTAGCATTTTCTTTCAAACTCAAGAGACAAGAATTCATTTGCTTCAAAAGACTGCGGCAGAACTTTTATGCGATATATTACGCAATTTTCTGAAACCGCAGCTTTTGAAACACATGGATTTAGTAAGAATGATGAATTTTTCTGTAGTCGAAAATCAACTCCCATTTAATAGTATAAATTTAGGAACAGAGTGTCTTAATTTTCTGCATCAACTGAATGCAGAAGGCAAGTCCGACATCGTAGAAACCGTAAGGAAAAATTGTTTAATGTTTTATATTACAGCTGCAAATGAAATTCGTCATCGATTGCCAATCGATGACGAATTTCTTAGCAACTTGTATGTTTTTGAACCCACTTTTATATTAAATGATACAAATAGAGACATTTCCTTCAGAAATGTTCTCTTAATCGCTAAGAAATTCGGCGGTTTCGACGAAGGACTGCAAACAGAATGGTCAGTATTGCCTTTGGAATTTACAACGAAAGGTAGACAGACGCTTATCGAGATGAAATTCGATGGTTTCTGGAAAACAATTTTATTAACGCGAAATTTGGACTATAAAATTAAATTTCCTGAATTGATGAAATTAGTAAATACAATTAGATCACTTCCAAATTCCAATGCCGATGCAGAAAGATTGTTTTCCATGTTACCTGACATAAAAACAAAGAAACGGAATAAACTTTCTTCGGCCAGCGTCAACTCTATTTGCGTTGTGAAATCTTCGTTAAAGGCGCAGAGGGAAAACTCTCAACCCATGGAGGTAGATGACGATCATCTAGCTCTATTGTATTCCAAAAACTTATATCATAGATTTGCTAAGAAGCAAAAGTGTAATTTAAGATTAAACGCAACATATGACAATAACTTTGAGAATTTTCCCGCTACGTCATATGACGAAAATTAAGGTACCGATTTACTACAGAGCTTTTCTCTAGAGAGATTTTTCTCTCCAGAGAAAAGCTCTTTAGTAAATTCGTACTATTAGGCTGCAATGACAGTATAAACGTTTTCATGCGACGTCGCGGTAGACTGATCTTGTTACGTCAACGGTACCGCGACGTAGGCGCAACAAGGTGTGATGCATGTATGTATGTGCCATAACGTCACGCGAAAGCGCTTACACTGCAACCGCAGTCTTGTTAGTGATGTCCAAAATATTTTTTTTTGGACTTCGCTAATATGTAAATAGTCGTTCAATTTGTCTCGCATTGTTACTTTTTTTACGTATTTCGCTTGCTGTAAATACTATTCTGCTTGCTCTAACTATCATTTTTTTTCTTCATTTATTTGCTTATATTTTGCCGTATATTTTTAGTTAGTGAAATTGCTTGCTGTAGATAGTGTGGCTATGACGTAGAATGTCGCGCCTTGTTACACTTACGTCACGGTACCGTAAGAGCAACAATGCACGATATAACGTGCCAGCTTAATCGCAAACGTACTATCCCAACATCCCATCCTTTGGAAATGTAAACGATTATATCATTTTTCCATTTTTATGGGTCGTGTGTATATTAATAAAAATTAATGCATTCACGAGTTAGTTTTTCATTATATTCTAATTTCATTACATTAATAAAAACATTTTAATATACGGCATGTGATAATGTTACAAAGAAATAACAATTTTTTACATTTCCCTCCTGATGGAAGTGACCACCACCTTCCCGTGGTTTCCATTGAACGGTAGCGTGCACGTTATTGTTTTACCTATCGTTACAATTATTTTGTTATGTAAAGTTAAGTCAAATATATAACATTTGATTGTGTGTAACAATTTGATACGGTTATTAAAAAACATAGTGGGAAAAGTCAGTAGTAATCTATTTCTGTAGCGTGCACGGTACTGGCTAAGAGTTGTTTTTTCATTTTAATTGACCCTTAATTAACCCTTTACGAGTAAGACTGCTTTGAACAACATTATTCTAAAATATTTGTGGAATACGTTTTTTATGTGGTTTAGGTAGGTATGCAAGGCATAAGACTTCGTTTAATTTTTCCTGTCTAGGAAAGATAGGAAAAAAGTATATTTGATCTTAATCCTTCTTAAGATTTATATAAATCGCTTTAAAAATTTGTTACAAATGATGTATATGTATCGAAATAATTATAAAACTACAGACGTATAATCATCATTATATGGGAACTGATCACGCTTAAAATATAATGAGACCTTAAAACGAGAACATAAAACTTAAATGTTAAGTTTCATTGAAATTCATTCAGCCGTTTAGACGCAATCATGTCAATAGCATAGGAACAAAAAAAAAATATGTTTTTTTGTAGTAGTCACAATATGATGAGGGGGTCCTAAAACGTGTATTTCCGCTAAAAAAAAATTTCGAAATATTTTTTTCCATTATGATACTTTATAAATTTCCTTATACCTTACATAGGTCGGAAAGTAAAAATGCTGGAGCAGTCGAGGCTTGGAATCGTATGCCACTTATCGCGAGGTCGTATTTCAGTTGTTTTGTCTTTTACAAGAGCAAGAAGGAAAGGCTCACACTGACGTTCTTTATCGATTTCCCGAAGTTGTGCGCAAGCGCCGAGCTCACGTACACGTGGCTCGTGCGGTAGTGTATGCCTGCTATCCCCACCACTCCATTAGACGCTAAGGAAGTTCGTCGTCACTGTTGTCGATTTCGATGCACTCAATTATGCCAGATCTGGCCACACTGCTTCCAATTCTCGTAAAACATTTCTATTTGGAGTGCTGACGTTTCCAGTTTGACCTATGCAATGCGGCACAAACTATACGCGCATGATTCTACACACACGCATTGTCCAGATTCACCTTGCACCGTAACGACGTTCGTCAGTAATCAAATATACTTAATTGCAGAAAATCTAGGAACTTGAGTTTATTTTATACGCGAACGAAAGAACCTAGCGGCCTTCGTGTTATTTTTAAAGTACTGTACTCCGCTGACTTGAAGTCCCGCGGCAGGAATTCGAGAAAAGTAGAAGGGATACACGTATTCCCACGTATACATTGATCTCTCGCTCGCTATTCGTCGCGGCAGATAACACACATGTGGACTGCCTGGAGCAAGGAAGCGAAATACATAAATGGGCGGTCCGACTCCTCTTGTCCCTGTACCGTCCCGCGGGACATCAAAACAGCAGAGCACAGTACAATAGGAAATATATTTCAATGAAACTTTTCTCGGAAGTAGAGCTCATGGGTACTTACAAAAAATTATTAGACAACTTTTCTATACGGCGTCAAAAAAAAATAAATATAAATCAAAAACGAGTTTTTAAGAAAAATCGACAAGGGGTAGCTAGTAAGTACTAGCCGTGCTGATGGTAAAATGGCAACACCGCGGGAGTCCAGCTTCGATATACCTAGCCCAACCTACCGTAACAGCCTCCCACTACCCGCCGGCCTCTGGGCTACATAGGCTCCATCTACCGGCCTTCCGGTCTCCCGCCTCTCTTTCAAATGTTTCAAATATTAATGTACCGAAGTCCATTAAATGTGAGCAACGGAGCAATAATCCAGGTGTTTCATTTATTTATATTAACTCTACAGATCCTGATTTTGGTGTGTAGCACACTTATTTAATATAATCTATAGCATTTTTGGACATTTTGTTTTATATACATTTTTTTTATAAATTTCACATATTCGTTAATAATGCCACGGCGTTGCTGCGTTCCCAATTGCAAGGGAAATTACGATAGTACCTTAAAAGATAATAATTACAATTCTATATTTTTATTCCCCAAAGATGAGGAATTGCGGGAGAAATGGAGGGTTGCTATTCCTCGTAAGAATTGGACACCATCAAAATATTCTGCCGTCTGTAGTTTGCATTTTGCAGAAACTGATATTGAAAGGTACCACGGTATTCTATCGCCCGATGGTGTACTGGAGAATGTTTTCTTGAGATGTCCAAGGCTTATAAGGAATGTAGTACCCTCCATTTTACAACCGAAAAATTAGAAAAACGATTTGGAAATTATAGACTTTTATCTGGTTGTAATTATCATGTGTCATATAACGAAATAATTCGTGCAGAAAAAAAAAATTAGATCAAAACATATATTTACAAAATCGGCAAATTCGTTTTCTCTTACTGAAATCAAAAATAAATTTCGAATTTGTCATGACAATAATAACGATCTTCATGATCTTCCCACTGATGCGACTTGTTTCTCAGGAATCTTCGATACCGAATACTTGTCCGATTGTGTTGTAGATGATTCCATTAAAATTTATATTTCTGGTTATGGGTCCCATTCTGTTGCTAAAAAATTAAATTGCAATATATGTCGTTTATTAGTTGTGGAGGATAAAGGTAAAACTGTAGGCGATGTATATTTTGATCACTTACAAAGAGGGGGCCTTTCTGTCCCCACTGAAGAAGCGATAGCCTCATTTATTCATATGCATGCAATAGTAGTAGTATGGATTTATTGTTTCCCCTTAGGGTTACATAGTCTCTCCTCCTTTCCCTCACAATTCTTCCTTAAACTAACTTAATTTCTACCCTCCATCCCTCCTCCTTCTTTCGCTTTCCTCCCCTCTCCTTCCCTCCGCTTAACCTACTCTTAACCTAACCTTAACCTACGCGCTTTGTACGCTCGCATCTCTCGCTTCGTCTCGCTTTGCCTCGCTTCTTTTTCTATTTCCTATCCTTACATCTACGCCTCCGTATTTCCACGCACGCCTCCTCCGCCTTTGACTTCCATTTCCATACTTTCATTCCATTCCTTCTTTCACTCCTTCCTCCTTTCCTACCTCCCTCCTTCCTAAACTCTCTCCCCCCTTTCCTCCTCTCTCTCTCTCTATCTTCCATCTTTCTCTCTCCCTTCCCCTTTCCTCCCTCCCCTTCCCCTCTCTTCCCCCCTTCCCCCTTCTTCCTTCCTTCCTTTCCTCCTAGTTTTTTGCTCTCCCTCTTTCTTCACTCCTTCTTTCTACCTGTCCCTCCATTCTCCTCCCTCCCTCCCTACTCCCCTCTCTCCCCCTCCAGTCTCTGAGTACTTCCCTCCGCTCGTCCCAAAACCACATCGCCCCATCCACCATAATCTTTCCGTAGAACACCCTCACTCTCCTTCCCTTCACCTCCTCCTCCACTCCTATCCTCCTAAGTTGCCACTGCATCCTCCTCTCCCTCCACGTCATATCGTCCTCCACTCTCTCTTTCCTTCCCCTCAACCTCCCTTTGTTCCTCATCACCTCCCTCTTTGCCTCCGTTGATTCCAACTTCACCTCCAGCATCACCTCCTTCCTCTCCTGCATTCTTCCTCCTACCTCCCTTGCCCCCACAATTCCCCCTCGTACACCTACAATTGCCAATATTTCTCTAGCCCTTTGCATAGCCGTTCCCTCCCTCCCTACCCTCTTTATTATAACGCTCCTCCTTCTCTCTTCCCTCTCTTTCATTTCTAATTTTCTCTCCAGCTTCTGTACCCTTGTTTCCCACTCTTCCCCCTCCCTCTCCCAGCCCGCCTTATCTCCGCGGCCCTCCCATGCCCTTCCTGTCCCCATCGCCTCTATCCTCTCCACTACTCTCTTTAACCTACCTTCCTTCAACTCCACCTTCCCCATCTTTCTCTCTAAACTCTCCATTCTATCCTCCATCTCCTCCCTTTCCCTTCTCCATCTCTCCTCCCATTCCTCCATCATCTCCCTAGTTCTTCCTATCTCCTCCCTTGTCTCCCTCCCCTGTACCTTCATCTCCTCCCTCATTTCTCTGATCAGCCTCTCTAGCTTCCCCTCCTCGCTCGCCCTTCCCACCACCGGCGACCTCTGCACCATTTTTTCCTCACCCTTTTCTCTATCCCTTATACCACCGCTCTCTACCTTATCTCCCGCTACTCCTTTCCTTTCAATCCTTACCGCCCGATGTCGCCACTGCCCCTCTACCTCAGCGCCTTGCCTGCTCTTCTCTCTCTCTTTTCTCTCTTTCCTTGCCCTAACCTCCAAACTACACGTTCCCTATCCACCTTTCCCTACCTCCCTGCACAACGCCCATACTCACCCTTCACTACCTTCACCCCCTCTACCTACTCTCCCTCTTTCCGCTCCCTACTCCACCTATAACCACCTTTTTAACTTCTCTTACACACAGCACTCACTCAACCGTCTCTACTCAACCACACCGGAAATGGAAGTCCATGTATGCATGCAATAATGGAAGCCATAATAAATGATGGCAATTTAGAATCTCAATTTTTGCAATCGGGAAATCATAAACATATTTTATGTAAATTAACATATATTAGCATTCAATCAGACATACATTATTTAGCATTTTCAGATACATGCGTTTGTGGTCGAGCTTACCAAAGTATTTCGTTTAAATCATTATCAATTTTTTCAAATATTTTATTAAACGATTATGTGAAAACTGTAAATAATAGTCAGTTGGAAACACGTACAGACATCACTTCTAAAAATCGTAAATTAAAAACTTTTAATAGGAACTAGATTTTCAATAATTTTTTTTAATTTCATCTTTCTTAAAACATTAATTTTTATATATATTTAAACTTATTCCTTTCAATATGTTTTAATACATTAATAGAGTTTTATTTACTTGCTTAGTATATTTTTATTATGAATACTATTTCACAAGATTCAAAGTTTTATTAGTTGTATTTCAAGAGAATTTCAAACTATGTTTTGATATGTTTTGTTATTAATATTATTCAAAATTATTTATTATTATTTCAAAATGTAATACTTTATTTCTTTAAGAATACAAAAGTTATGTTTTTGTTATGTTCTATTTAAAAATATTAATTTTATTTTAGAAAATGGGATTATATGGCTATTGGCGAACCACCCATTATAATAAAAAAAAAAGGTAACGCGCCATGGTAAATACCCTCAGGGTGGTGAGGAAAGTTTTCACAATTATCATACTGTCCTCTAACACGATTTTATAATTAACTCCATAATTGTTCCTTTCAATAGCTAATTATGCTAACCTCTTTTCCACGGGCACTTAACCTGTTTGGCTTCGTACCAATAATTTTGCCTATTTCAGGTCTCTATTAACTTATACATACCTTTATCAATTTTTAAATCCTTCAGTTTGGTTCAAAGATGGTTTTAACTTGTTTCACACTTCTATTTTCTTGAAATCTCTGTAAAATATTTCAAATATAATGCATCGCAACACCAAACTATTCCGACAGTCCACAAAATATATACCACATTTATAAATATTAATATACTTCTGTATTACTTTTACTTACTATAGTTATGATATTCATATATTCCTTACTAGCATACCCCGTCTAGGCTTCGCCCGACCTTGTGCAAAAGCAATTTATGACCAGACGATCGTCCTGACATATATGTCCGCGATAATGCAATTCTCTCGCGGGAAAGCGTTCGAGAAGCTTCGCCACCTGGCGGTAACATCGCAGTACTGCTACGGGCGAGGTATCGCGCGGGCCGAATACGCGCATGCGCGCGCAATAGACTGTCGTATACAGAGGTCGCGTGGTCCGCCAAACCGTCGTACACATGAAATCTTTACATATAAATTACATGTTAATAACGCGCTTCTGAGGCATGCTACATAGCCTATGTCCGTCCTAGAGTATGCAGAAATAACGTGTCAAAATTTGAGGAAGATCGGTTCAATAGGTCTTGAGTTTTGCGCGAACATAAAAATCGGCTCTCTCTTTATATAATATAAGAAAAAAAATACATTTTATATAAGGAAAACACACCATCATAAAAGTGCGCGTATAACGCATATTCGTAGAAATTTTTCGATGTTTTTTTTTTATAAACCATCAGTGAAAGTAGACCTTTCCAACGCATGTACTCGTTTGAAAATCGGTTGAGCGGTTCTCGAGTCATAAAATCACGAACATAGGACAACTTATTTTTATATATATAGATACATAATTAATAAAAAATACTGTATATTAGTATAATTTTATATCGCAAAATAACGTTAATTATAATCCTGAACACAAAACTCCACTATTGAAAATAGGACTCCCGATCCGCACATGAGCGGTGTTGCCACGTTCCATAGCACGGCTAGTAAGTACTAGAGTCGGCTGTGTGTATCGTCCTTCCACAAGGACACAGCGTGTTACATCCCCACTACTGTTGCTGTCCGCTGACTCTCAGGTATTGGTCGAGAACGGTGACGAAATCGGTGACAGCCAATTAGCGGACCGGAGCAAGAGTGGGGGATGTAAACCTCCGACGATAAGATGCGCTGCTTTCCCCACTACTCCGTTAGGCGCTAAAGGAAGTTCGTTATTAATAGTGTCGTCGTCGATGCGCTTAATTATACCAAATTTGACCACATTGGACAGTTTAGAGGAGTCGAGAAAGAAAACAAATGTGAGTATCTCTTTCTCGCTTTTGTATCGCCATCCGTTCGAATTGTCGGCAAACGACAATGGTGGAATTGAAAAGTTGTATAACCTCTCTCATACAGCATTTTTTTATGACTCGGTGGAGTCCTTTCTTTTTTTTTCGATGCGTCGTAGGGAGCATTTCTGTGTATTTATTTTTGTAATTTTTAAGTAAAGTTTGGTGCGACGAAACAGTGAGTGTGATTTAGATTAATTCTTCTGATTTGTGTTGGTTTTTGCATCACGAAATAGAAAAAAATGGCTAGGTGAATAATTTGTATACATTGCATACTGTTCTATACAATTTGATTCTTATAGATGGAAATGCTATCGTGTAACATCAGTCGTACGAAGTCACGTCTACATTCGAAGGAGTTCCTACGTTCCATGCTTTCGCAAAAGGTATGCATTCTAATCGTACAGCATTTTTCATTTTATTCTCAATTTCATTACTTCGTCGAATAACTGATATCTTAAAATCCAAAGGTTTTCAAACACAGATCTCGGAAACATCTTGGCACAAGTCTTCAAAGATCTTTCACAAACATAGTCGAATGATCATTGACTGAACGTACCTATGTTAAAATGCCTCAGGATAACGAAAGGAAGATACATGCTATGAATAGGAGATTGCGTGTCGACCGTAAATCTAACAAAGTTCCAAGGCAAACAGCGAAACGTCTCCGGAAGACTGTCTCTTTATCAAAAGAAAGAATGTTCCGTTTGATGGGTTTTCCAAACTGGTGAAAAATGGAAAGACTTCTGTAGTATGTAAGGCTCTGTATATATCCGACTTGTGCGTCTTTGCACTAACGTTACACTCATATTTCCCTAAAGCATATAATTATGTTCAAAGAATATTTAAATTAGCTTTATTGCACGTCAATACGTAAAGAGCACGGTTTACTACAGAAATCAATAAAGATTTAGTATGTGCATTATTGATGAAACAATAGTACGGGGTATCAAATGAAACGTGAAGATAAAGTATGTGGTCACGTGGATATAAGTAACAGCACGACTTTTTCAAGCCATTATTTTTTTGACGCGGTCCAAATTCAAATTATAGCTTCGCGCAGCAGGACAACTGGGAACAGACGATGCATGAAAGAATCAAGTTAACCAGACAACTTGATACTGGAAAAAATAGTCCATACATCGCAGGTTCATTGCTGCGAAAGGTGGGTTCGAAATACTGCAACGAAATTTACGAACGTCTATTACACATAAAAATTAATTAAACTCCTTTTATAAACGTAAGTTTATCGAACTATTATTTTTTAGATGCAACTACTTCAAATCACAGCATCAGTGAATTTTCAAATTTCATTTACGTATATATTTTGTACATAGTTTCAATATTTCTAAAAAATACAATGATTAATTTGCAACGTTTATTCGATCGAACGGTTGTTCAAATAATTAACTTCCATTCTGGTGCTTCCTCTTCGAAATTTATTAGAAATATAGATTTAGATAAGTTTCAATAGGTAAGTTAATATATATATATATATATATATACTATAATCTATTCTTTTTTACACATACTCTGTATATGCGTTCATTTCAGTGACTGATTTACAGATCATGCCTTTCATGTTTCATAAAAATTTTGCTTCTCTTCAAGCTATATTCGAAATAAGCTGTTGTGGGGATTTTCAGTAAATTATAGTTTAAGACAGAAATCAACAAATTCAGGGAAATCGAAACTCGGTAACAAGAATTTCTTCGTTGCTAACATAAGTAATACACTTTTGTTTTGCATCGAGCAAATAATTTCATGGGTTCGAATATTATTGATTTTGTAATAAAACAATATCCCAATAATATGAAGCGTTCTCAGATTTGATTCTCCCTCCAGAATTCAGCATGAACGTGGTTACGCAATTCAAGCTAGCTATGGTCACACGTGAATGAGATCGAAGACATATAGTCGGGAATCATGACACATACTGTAGTAAAGACGAGAATCGTAACAAAGCATAAACGTAAATCTAGTAACTTAGTAGATGTGACGTAAGCCAGGCGTCGCTAGTTGTTTATTCCAAAAGATGGCAGCCTTCAAATTGCTTCAAATGCTTCCTATGGTTAGATACCCCCGTACCGCATCCAATATATAGAGATCAGTAGATAGAGGCAAAGCTGGTAAGGTAGGAGACGTAGAAGCGCGGTGTAGGGCAAGTGTTATGCTAACTTTGTAGACTAAGCGGTGTTTAGAAGGGAGTATAGTGAAGTTCGATTGACGGCGTGATTATTGTGAACGAGTTCCAAGACTGATAGAATTTACGGTAATTGTCATCCGTGCAGCATGAGCGCGCGAAACAGTTTTCACGGTTCGCGTACATGTGTACGATTCGTATACAATTAAAACTACGGCGCTCTAAATGTTTCGATAAATACACAATGATACACAGTCTCTTTAAGGGCCTGTGCTATCTTCTTGTGTTTACATATGCATACGGCTGCAGCGTGGGTTAAACGTGTAAAAATAATAGCGAGGCGGTGTATTTGTAGCAGAAAAAGGATTACTGGCGGCGACGGTGGTGGAAGTGAGAATATGACATATGCAATCGACAAAATGTCTTGCTAGGAAAAAAAAACACGAGTACACGCACTGGCGTTCGTTTACACCGATACGTGTCGGCAATGAACGACCGAGCGTGCATAATTTACTCGTCTTTGCATTGTTCGTAAGCGACACTGTGCAATATGATAAAAAAATATGCGTATCTTTACGAGCAGTTCTTCGTTTGTTGGTGGGTGTGCGATCGATACGTCACTTGGTTACGATGTACTGAGTAAATCCGTCGTCCGACAATACCACCGGCGATAATGATGATTGTAATATTCATCGATCAATTTCATCAATATTATAACAAATAGTACAAGTACATATTTATTTGTCTTCGTCATCGTCAGCTACGGCACTAGTGGTCGGTGGTGTTGGGTGTAGTGACAAGTGACGACGACGACGCTAGGCGGTGATTGTGACGGCGGCAGCAGCGACAGCGGTGGTGGAAATAGCTATGGCGGTGGCGGTCGAATGGCGGTCGCGGTGGCGATCGTGATAACGACGACAGCGACGGTAGTAACGATATTATCGAATGTAACGATGATACCAACGACGACAGTGATAACAATGTCCGCGAAATAATGGATATGCATCGCTCGTAGAAATTAATTCTATTTAAATGGACATAATAGACGTGGGTGAATATGCAAACAAAACCAGCAAGTTATAGAAAAAGAATTAGCTGGGAATAATCTCGGTTTTTAAACATTGTTCGGCGGACGTTCGCGTGCAAATAAAACCGAAGAGATGTAAAATCGAAAGGAAGAAGAACCGTCTCGTCTGCGAGATTCGTTTACAGTGGCGGTATTGCTTATTTTTAGTATATCTGTGTACACGGTTGTTTGGCCAAGTTCGAATTATGTGCATGGAAGCGACGTTACGATGGACGATAGACTGCGGATAATGGATAATCGGATTGTTGCGTTGAACGTGATATTACGAGAAGGGGAACAAACGGAGAGAAACGCATGAAACGGGTTAGCCTGTTCTCGTCCCCCTTGCCAAAAGTGAAGCCACGGAATAGGACAAGTGCATCGTACGAAACGAACACTTCGTATTGTTGTTTTGTTAGTTTCTTATATATCAATTAAACGAATGATAGGAGAGATCGAGTGTTGGAAAGTGAACGTGTATAGGTTTCGTATATCGTAGGTGTAAATACGCCTATGTTAAAAATCATACAGAAGAGCGTGATATGTCACGAGCAGTCTTAGACAATTTGTACGGCTATCAAGTTCTTGATCACCTCGAATCATTGTACATACATTACGAATAATGGAGACGTTATTGCCCAGCAATGCAAACAGCCAATCGTACAGTCCGCAACTAAAAACTGTATTAAAAACGTATCAGCTGTCCGCTGTGAAAAGCTTACAGGGACCAAGCTCGGCCCTGCTTGGTATGGACTGTAAGAACCTACTGCAAGAACAGACATCTTGTTACTCCCCTTCCAGTCGATCGAGTAATTGCGTCGTTGATTCTGTATCGGAGTTGATCTCCGCTAAAGATACAGAAAAGGACAACCTGTCCGTAACGCCTATCGTCCCGTGCAAAGTTCGTGGAACGGATCAACCTTTCGAAGATTCAGACGAAGATCCTCAATTAGAGCGCTCTAAAAATGTTTGCGAAAAGAGAGAATTAGAATTTCAAATACCTATTCTAACAGCGCCTGACCAAAGTTGTTCCGAAAGATGCGAAACTGTTTTAGAGGGCGAAAGAATATCCTGCTTTGTCGTAGGAGGTGAAAGAAGGTTATGTTTGCCACAAATTTTAAATACGGTATTACAAGAATTTTCTCTTCAGCAGATCAATCAAGTATGCGACGAATTGCAAATCTATTGTTCTCGATGCACGCGTGATCAGTTGGAGGAACTGAAGCATTCGGGTATTTTGCCACGTAATGCACCTTCTTGCGGCCTTATCACTCAAACGGATGCCGAAAGACTTGTCAGTGCGTTGCTATTAAGGACAGAATCGTGCGAACCACCTCGCGTCGGTCAAAATGAAGATAGCACTGAGAAAAAAGTGTCTACCAAGAATGGTAATGACGAAGAATCTATTGTCAAATTTAAAGTGTATCACGAGTGTTTTGGAAAATGTAAAGGCATTTTCGACACAAGTTTCTTCGAATCGGATGATTCGGCGTGTATAGAGTGTATCGAATGCGGCTGCCAATTCTCACCTCGACGATTCGTTAGACACGCTCACAGGTCTCTTGAAAATCGTACTTGTCATTGGGGCTTTGATTCTGCAAACTGGCGGTCGTATCTGTTACTTTCACGGGAACAAGAACATTATAATAAATCGCTTGCTGTATTCCGAGAATTAAAAGAGAAACATCTTACTCTGAACTCCAAACGAAAGTCGGAGGTATCGTACTTTTAATTATCATCAATAATCTGTAAATTATAGACTGTTTCAAATACATAAACAATTTATATGATGCAATTGGAAATAGTAATATTTTTCAAGAATGTATATTAAAAGAGATAAATAGTAGAACAGACGGATGAAAATAAAGGACACTTTCTTTCAGTTGCGGATCGACTCGGAGAAACTGTCTAAGCGAATTAGAAGAGACGTTGGGAGAGACGATTGTCCAGGAATGTATAATGGAAACGGTTTAGGCATGTATCATCCTGTATCCCAGGTAGCTAATGCGACCGATCCATATCTACAAATGCAATGGGCAGTCTTTGAATTAGCAACTAGAGGGGCATCAGCTTTTAGACCTTGGAATACTACTAGTACTTGTAAGCACAAAGATAAGTAAGTACAGGATCAAAACGGATACGTCGTTTAAGGATCGCGATAAGAAATCTATCATATTTTCTATACAAATATGTAATTTTCTGTGAATAGTTCGTCGTTGGTGCCTGCGTACCTTAGCCGAGGTCCGCCTGTACTGCAACATCCAGAGTGTGTGGTTCCCCTTTCCGAGTGCAAACATTTCGAACCACATTTTCAACCAAATGTAGCCTTAGCACCTATACCTGCACCATCAGTGCCTGTAGTACTTCCACCATCCGCTCATCCTCAGCGACGACATCACCACGAGCATAAACGTTACAATGTTCATTTGTCGAGCCCTCGCGAGAAAAAGGAACCTTCGTTAGATAGTGTGAAAGTTGAAAAAACGTCACCCAATTCGGAATCCGGTATCGGCGGTTATTCCTCGGTCCCCCCGTACACGCGTGGAAGCAATAAAAAAGAATTGCATCGGAGGAGCAAAAACGAAGTAGGCGAGGAAGAAGAGAGCAGCGCCGCGGTAACATCTTCCACAGTAAACATAGATCCGCCCTCGGCCGAGTTTCGAACTTCTTTGCTAGAAAGTGATTCCGACTCGGAAGGGACAACGGCGTTAGATTTAGAAGAAAGACTGTTGGCGTTGGAAGTACCGCAAGACGTTCTGGATCTTGCCCGTCGTATAGTTTCGGAGAATGTACAATTACGGCGTCATCGACGTTCAAACGCACGTGAGATATCTCAATTACGTAATCAATTGCAAATACAGAAACTACAATCATCAAATGGTGGTGATAAAAAGGCGGAGCCAGCAAACGCGAGCGCGGCCGATAGTACCGAAGGTAGCGAAGAAACCGAACCTGTATTACCTTCGAATAACGAGGAGTCGGAGTCTGTTGTTCTGGCAGTTAGTAAAAAATAAAATCGGTGATTAGAATTTTTTAAATTATTTACTACAAAAAAACTGCTCACCAATTTTTTGCAACGCTTGTCCTTTGGCCAGAGAGGCGTGCATTAAATTTAGTATTAGCTATAATAATAATAATAATAATAATAATGATGATGATGATAACGATAAAAATTCTAAATGATTAAAAAACTGTTTAGGTTATGTGATACATAGAGAGCCTTTAACGTTAACGACGGTTTATTTGAAAATTTGTATTGTAATCAAACGTCATTGTCTCGATTTTTGATTAAAGTCGAATGTAAATATTGTAATATATATGGAAAAGCAAAATAAGTTAACCAGAATTTACCATGCCATTTAGTAGTTACACGTAACGGTTATTAAATAAGTTTCTCGTGCATATTAAATATGCACACGCAGCAAAGATTTCGATGGTCGGCTGTTTCAATTTTTCTAATTGAACGACGATCAGGAAAATAAAGAGATTAGATTTGCTTTCCATTTACTTTTTATAGTCATGACTGCATAATGTAAATACATTCAAGTATCATAGATGTATGTTTATATTAATAACATCATGCAAAATATTGCTAAAGTACAAACAACCTTTAGGTGCTATATCGTTACATTAGGAATGTTCTAAGCATAAATCTAGGTGTATTTCAACAGTTCGTACTATACCATAATATTAAACACCTTGATTACTTTTTAATTTTATTATCTTTATAGGTGTCGAATGCAAACGAAACTTGATTCGACGCTAATAAATTCAATTCGAACGGTTATACGGAAGTAAATGAAATTATTATTATACGATACGAGTGATATTACAGGGAATTTGCGATAATTTAATTTATACTGAAAATTAATAATTCTTTTTATACGTCTAGTAGTCGTTACATTATTTTACGACGAGACAACTAATTCCAATTTTTTAAAAATGGTTCGATCGTGTTACGAACAGTTGCATTAAGACTGGAATTAACGTTATTTTATTCAGGGGATATTCTAGTGTGAAATGCGTTTCTTAAAACTCTTTTTAGGAATTTTTTTTGCATATAAATTATAATACCTTTTACAGTCGAATTTACAAGGTGTATTTATATATGTTTTAATGACATTTAAAAATTTTTAGCACCGAGTACTCTTAAACGCAGCCGCCATTTTATTTGTTTGAAATGAAAAAAACGTGAAAGATTCTTAATTAGCATTAGTTTGACTGTAGCAGATACTAGAATAAAAAAAAAAAATCGATAATTTAAAAAATGGCAACGTTTATCAATGTTTTTTTTTTTTTAAATTTCGAAAATCTAAAGAAATGTAACAAAAAGATTAACAGCTATAGCTTCGTTAATTTTAGAAGTTGAGGCACAAGGTTTTGCAAATATATTTTCCAAATTATATTCTTTGAGAAAATGCCAAAAAAAAAAGAAATCGATTTTTTCAAAGGCTCGCATTAGAATATCCCCTGTTTTTATTTTTTTTTATTTTTCTCGCAATACCGTATATTGTCCCATGAAAATAAATGTCTTGTTAGCGAGTTTTGCATCTTTAGCAAAAATACTGTAGCGTAAAACATTTGCTGTAGGGAATCGTTACGTAGAATTATTATACTTTTCGTATTGATATTTATTTGAAACATTATATTTACATATCATTTTAACTGTATTTAAAAATTTGGAAGATGTTCAGCCCTGCGGGTCGTGAAATTTGAAATGTGATTTATTAGAAATATTTGTTTCACGATGAAAGGAATTAAGATTTACGAAAATAAAGTAATCAGTACTTGTAGGGTATTCCGGAAGAAAATTATAAGCACAACTATGCCTTTTATCGAACACTATTCTTGTTTCTGCTCGTTATTATGGCATGTACATGCAATAATAGAAAGAATACATTTTTTTTAAATGTTTATACAAAAGTAACACTGATTTAGAGATATACCTAGATACACACTAGACATCTAAGAATAAGAGAACATAAATATAAAGATATAAATATATATATAAATTCTCATATAATATATATTTATATTTGTATATACCTTGAACATACAGTTTTTTAACTTTATTGGTTCTTGTGATTTAGTATATCCGTTTATTTTCTTAAATTTTTTTTCATCATTATTTTCTCTTACACGTGAAATTAGTATAATGTGAAGACAAATTCCTTAAATTCGAGTGCGACTTTGAAACATTCGATGTATCGTTATTAATTTGTACTTTGAAAAGTATAATATTGTTTTGAAAAAAAAAAAAAAAAAGAAGTAATTTAAAATGTTTGAAATGTATAAAATATTTAAAAAGTTACAAATATATTGAAAAAAAGGTTGTTTTACAAGCTTGGAAAGCTTTTTGTATCGGATACATACTAGAAATACAATATAAATCTTACACATATTTACATATTATAATAAAAATCAATTAGTAATTATACATTTGTGTATTTGAAATATACATATACATATATTTCGAGACTGCTTCGAAGATCTCTTATCATATACATTTTTCTAACGTAACAAGAGTGCCAGTAATTCTTGTATCGCAATCAAAGCAACAAGACGTGAGAAATTTCCATTTTCAATTTTATTATTTTGCAACGTTCACTTTCAAAATAAAGCGAATAGTAAATTTTCAAAGCAATCTGTTAGAGAAGAAAATTTAAGGTGTACGATATAATTGATTACATAGAATAAACGCATTCATTATACTCCATATAACATTTGATCGCTACATATGACATGTATGTTACATCATATTGTTGTAATAATATTATAAGCATCCCACCTACGATTAAGAATGTTATAATTTATGATTTTCATACGCACTCAGTTTATTATAGATATATAGAATATGTCGTAAATAGTACAATACGAATTACATAAAAACTCGGTTTTGAATATATTTGAGATCTGCATATAAAGTTTCAATGAATCATGTAACTGCCATTACTAAAGATGTATTTTAATTTCGAATGGGTGATGTATTAAGTTAAAATGGGAAATTACAAATAAACACATAATATGCGATGTCTGACTTTATTAACATTTATGCACGATATTAAAAAGTTAATGTGGATTTCGTTCGTTCGAATAAATAAACAATTTGCCAATTGGCTTTTACTTGTTTAAGGCGATTTATAAAAAATGATGTTATCGGGTATTTAATATGTATGAAAAATCGTTATTGTTATGATATATTTATTTCAAGTTTGAAAAGGAAAAAAAAAAAAAAAGGAGGAAAGAGTGCGAGCAAGTAGCTAATATTATTATTACATACACGATACGCGTACGCTCAAAACATTTATATGCATATTCGATATGCGTGTATTAATACATTAATATTTAAAAAAAACACTCGTTCGATTTTCATTTCAGATAGTAAATTATATAATAGATTTAATTCGTTTGTGTTGCAAGTAGAGCTATGAAATACAAATCGAACGAATTTTGAGTTATTGTTTTTTCTCTCTCGCATCCACGAATCGGAATTAAAGAAAATAAACTATTGAATGAAGGGGAAGACCCCCCCCCGTTAACTATACCAATTTCGGGCGACTTTAATATGTTGCTTCGTGTATAAACGTAGTAATAATTTGTACATTTTATTGGTCCTGATAATATGGCATATAGGTATTATATCGAAACGAACTGCCATAAACTGAATTAAGAAAAATATAAACAATAAAGAAATTAATTCGCGATCCAACGAATTCGATGAAATGTGACAATTATTTGTATTACTGGGGACGTGGTACGTACATTATACTAGTAACGTGTATGAAAATTGAAATTTTAATTATTATCGAGTACGCAGCGTCAATAGTTTATTTTCTTAAGCGCAGATATATCCCCCGATAAATGGCATAATAGATTTAGAATTAAACGTGTTTCGTTAACAACTAAATATTCTTAAGAAATTAAGTGTGACATTAATATACAAAACAAGTGCAATATGAAAGTACAAAATTTAACCTCTCGTTTGAATTTTGTATATTTTACAAAAGAAAAGATGAATATATGGACATAGATTCTTCGATATTCTAAATTCTAGCTATAAGAATTTCGAAAATATTTTACCATTAAAATCTTTATAATGTATAAGACCATGTCCCTGATAACGTACTTATATAGCGTTGATCTTTTAAATATATATTCCCTGGTGACAAAAGAAAAGGGTCATTTAAAACGATTTAACGATATACAATTTTCTAATCACTTTAACGTTATCCTGAATTTTATATGATCGAATATGTATATTCGAACGACGAATTCCATATTCTTATGGATCGATATATATATATATATATATATATATATATATAATGGATATTAAGTAGTTTCAGTAGCGGTCTGATCGATCTTTGATATAACTGTAGAATAAATGTACATACAATTATTTTCCAAAAAAAAAAAAAAAAAATACTCACTGTTAAATGTATATGATGGAAACTGTTATAGATAAGGCTATTATCGTCATTTATATTAATTGAGATAATAAACGAAATTTCGATTAAATAAGATTGCTCTATATTATTGTTACATCAATAGCTTTCGATAGATCAAACTATATTAATTTTCATCGTGTCGATATCTGTGTGCAAAACAATATTATTTGTATACTAGACATTTAATACCGTTGCAACGTCACGTATTTCTCGCTAAATTTACTTTTATCCAATTAACGTCATTTTTATCTAATTTGTCATTGGATTCTGTTTGTTCGAAGGGTAAAGCCACCGAGGTTCGGACTGCTCCTTTAACGAGAAAAGGGGGGATGATGGCGGATAGTATGGCATCAGCGAGAAGAAGAGCTCACATTAGAGACATAATTTGATAACGATCATTCAACTTGTGAACTCAGGACGTTTCTAGAGCTCCGCAGGTATGATGGACACGAAGTGGCCAATTATTTAGTAGCTATATCAACTCCAAATCCCTCTTTTTACGCCTTCGCTTCGTCTGCCTTAGAAAGCATTCGAATGTATTTTGCATTGTAAAGAGAAGGCTCTGGTTTGCGGATACGCGCCTCGTACGCCAGAATTGACAAATGTGGATCTGTATAGAAGCGCTTATCCCACCGCGAAAGGGAAAAAGAAAAAGAATTGTCAAATGTAAAGCCTAGAATAGTGAAGATGAGTGTCAGAAGACTGTTGTATAAGTTATCAGTAGAGTGTATTGTCGGGCAAGCATCACAGGGATTTGATTAGGGGATAATATTCCGACTAGGATGCTAGCGCCGTGGGCAAAGTTGGTACTAATGGTTGGTCAGGCCTTGGTAATAAAATCACGACACGACCGTGATCGTGATCTTTCGTTCTGAGCGTGCTCGAGTAAATTTATTGTAATCACAATTATTGATTATGATTGTATTATCTTTTATAAGATACTCCGATATAGCTTGCGTATAAATATGAAATTTAAATTACGTTACGTTTTTTGCATGTTACGTAAATTTATTTGTAATTCTCTTTCCCCTACTTTTTATCAGTATTTTAAATATTAATCTCTTCCTTTCGATGTCAATGTCGTAATATTATTCATTTAAATAGTGCAAAAGCGCGAAACATTTCTGTTATGTTTACGTTCTGCTATGCATGTCTAGTACATGTATATCAAGTTTTGCATTATTCAATAATAACATATAAATGGTAGTTTGAAAAAAGTCTCATAAATTTAATGAATTGATTTATTGATTAATGTACATGATGTAGTTCTGTATACGTTATATTTTTTTTAACTAAAGCCAAGAGATATTTGTTTATATTCGTTCGAAATCTACTACTGAGGTAATGCTATAAATTCACAGAGTTTTCAATACTCTAAACTGTTGGATGTAAAATATTTAATTTGGAAATGTTTTTGCAACCACGGCAATTCTGGTTTAAGATGGAAAGGGACAATGGGTTATTTGAAAATATCCTATAAACTAATTTGTTTACAAACATCCATCAGAACATTCGTAGATAACCCCTTATGAGACTACTAGCCACACTACCTCCACCTATCCCCACTTTCATCTACGACACATTGTCATTTCGCCCAATTAGCGATAATGCATGTATTTAATGGGATCGCTTATTCGCCAATCTAGGCACCAATCAGACCCGCATTCCTTTCGCTGGCCAATTTCTCGCAGACGTATTGCCAGAGATGCCAGAAAAGCACCGCCGGGTGCACACGCACACATGCCAGATACGCGTACGTGAGCTCGTGGAGTTTCGGAAAGACGACAAAGGCAAACTGACGCATGCCCTCTTTCTCGATTCTCCGAAGCTGCCCGAAGTAATTTCGGATCGCCTCGTGGGAGTGGAGAGAGAAAGGCTCACATTTGCCTTCTCGCTCTAAACAACTGAAATCCGACCTCCCGTCAACGGCATACGATTTGGATTCTCGAGCCGAGATTCTCGACTGGCCAGGCATTTTTACTTTCCGACCTATGTAGCGGCACATAAGCAAAGTACCCATAATGAAAAAAAAATGTTGTAAAATTTATTTTACGGAAATACACGTTTTAAGACCTCCTGATCATATTTTAATTATTGAAAAAAAAGAAATTTTTTTTTATTCCCTTGTATGAGCGCACATATGTATATTATTAATACGATTGAGTATAAATAGCTGAATGAATTTAAATGAAACTTTACATTTAAGTTTTATGTTCTCATTTCAAAGTCCGGTTAGACTTTGACTATAATCAGTCCATGGATAATAATGATTATACCTCTTGTTTCATAGTTGTTCCGATATATGTATAGGCATAATGTATAAAAAATCTTCTAAATGTTTCATATAAATCTTAGGACGAATTAAATTTTATACGGTTAGGAACAAAAGTATTGGCACACCTGACTCTTTATTATAGAAACGCATATAAATCAAAGAAAAAACACAGGATTAGATTAACTCTTTTTATCAATTATAACTATTAATTTTATAGTTTGAGAATATTACAAATATATTTATACTAATTAATTGCAAAACAAAAAAGAATGATAAAATGCACATTAATGGCAGTTTTCAATGAAACAAAAGTGTTGGCACATTGAAATAAAATGCTTTTGTCTAGGATCTAGAATGAAATTTTTATATGGTTGGTACATTGTTCCTTCTCGGGAAACCCCCTGATTTCGATAGCATTTATTTGTTTTCTCGTTATTCAATTGTTTACAAAGTCTAACGTGAAAACGTGCAAAATGGAGCGCAAAGGCAAAGAAACGACTGTTGCCGAGCGAAAAATTATTTTACATTTGTTTAATGAGGGGCATTCATACTCGTCTATAGGAAATATAGTTAATAGAAGTCGTTTTACAATTAGAAGTATTATTAAACGGTTTTCTAACACAGAAAATTTTGTAAGTGCTCCGCGATGTGGTCGACCTGAAAAATTGAGTGCACGAGAAAAGAGAAAAATTATTAATATTGTAAAAGGAAAACCATCTAGTTCTGCGTCAGAAATAGCGGCAAATATAAACGAAAGTTTTAATAAAGAAGTACATAAAATAACTATTCGACGGATATTAAACAAGGTATGATACCGATCGCGAGTTGCTAGACGAAAGCCTACTATAAGTAAAATTAATCAAGAAAAAAGATTAAAGTTTGCAAATGATTACATTAATAAAGAAAACGAGTTTTTGGATACAGTGCTCTTTTCTGATGAGTCTAAATTTAATATTTTTCAAAATGATGGACGCACTTTAGTTTGGAGACAATCTAATACCGAACTAGACCCAAAGAACATTCAGAACGCTGTTAAACACGGGGGTGATGGAGTGATGGTCTGGGGTTGCACGAGCTCAAGTGGAGTCGGTGAGCTTGTTTTTATTGATAATATAATGGACAAATATGTCTATTTAGATATCTTAAAAAATAATCTAAAAAAAAGCGTGAAAAAATTAAATCTTGGGAGACAATATGTCTTTCAACAGGACAATGACTCCAAGCATACCGCTTATTTGGTACGGCAATGGATAGTTTTTAATACCCCACATTCCTTACCAACCCCACCGCAATCCCCAGATTTAAACCCGATCGAACATCTCTGGGCTCATTTAGGAAAATGTATTAAAAAACATAATATAACAAATATACAACGATTGAAAGAAATATTGATGACAGAATGGAATAAAATAAGTCCCGAAATTACAAAAAAACTAGTGCATTCCATGCCAAATAGATTGAAAGCCGTTATAAACAATAAGGGATTACACACGAAATATTAAATTATATAAAATACATAATGATATACCATCTATTTGTAAGCGTGCCAATACTTTTCTTCCATTAAAAACTGCCATTAATGTGCATTTTATTATTCTTTTTTATTTTTTAATAAATTAGTATAAATAAATTTATAATATTCTCAAACTATAAACCTAATAGTTGTAATTACTAAAAAGAATTAACCCAACTCTGTGTTTTTTCTTTGATTTATATGCGTTTCTATAATGAAGAGTCAGGTGTGCCAATACTTTTGTTCCTAACTGTATGTGCGCTCATACAATGGGAATAAAAAAAATTTCTTTTTTTTTTCAATAATTAAAATATGATCAGGAGGTCTTAAAACGTGTATTTCCGTAAAATAAATTTTACAAAATTTTTTTTTCATTATGGGTACTTTGCTTATGTGCGCCTACATAGGTCGGAAAGTAAAAATGCCTGGGCAGTCGAGAATCCAAATCGTATGCCGTTGACGTGAGGTCGGATTTCAGTTGTTAAGAGCGAGAAGGCAAATGTGAGCCTTTCTCTCTCGACTTCCACGAAGCGGTCCGAAATTACTTCGGGCGGCTTCGGAGAATCGAGAAAGAGGGCATGCGTCAGTTTGCCTTTGTCGTCCTTCCGAAACTCCACGAGCTCACAGTACGCGTATCTGGCATGCGCGAGTGTGCAACCGACGGTGCTTCTCTGGCATCACTGGTTTACAGTCTAGCATCCACAACGTCTATTTGTACAAACGCAGTCAGGAATTCTAAATCATGCAATATGCATTGTACACGGCATTGAAGATCTCAGACTCTAGAACGGAATAGTTTTATCGGTCTCATAACGAATGAATGCTCGTTCGCTTATCTGCGTCGTTTGAATCTTCTTTTTTTTTCCTTTGAATACAAATTTATTCGTGACTTGCGAATAAAATTTCTAACAATTTCCATTATACTGCCGTTAGCATCTAACCGTGTGCGCAGTAAAATATATAGGAAGTTTAGAAGCAAAAATTAATAAGTATTTTTTAACTTTCGGTCAGCCCATTTATTTTCAAACGACTACTTTTACCAGTTAGAGAAAATTATGTTTCTTACAACTTATCTTGTTATCGTAGCTCAATAAAAATGTTATCATCGCGAGACAGCAAAATGAATTATTTTTTAAATATTTGAACTGTTAATTGTTCTACTGTTGACACTACCTGCCGAGCGAAAGAGGCAGCGAAACTGTCTCTGGTTTTCCATTGGTTAAACGAAGACGCCGCGCGCTCTTTATCACAGGGGATATTGGGCGTGTTTATTCAAGAGATGTTGTCGTCAAGTCGAAAGCTTTGTGGTGTTCATATAGTCGAAAGTATGTGGCCGCATTTTTACAAAAGAAAGTTTTTTTGCGCGAAACGTACGTTATACTTCTAGTTAAACTTTTTTACGTTATTGTCGTCATTTATCTGTCGAATTTACGCAAGGTCGTTGATTTAGTTAACCTATTATTTACATATACCGCGTCGTATGCACTGCCGTGTAAAATAGCTCTATATAAAGTAGTGCATTTACGAACTTTAAACATTATATGTAAGGAGCTTTTGGTACAATGATGGCTAAAACGATCAAAGAATTATGTGCCGTTGCACGGAAACTAACACCCACAGTGAGACATTTTGGTAGTGCGCAAACAGCTCCTTTGCAGGAAGCTGCATTGGAGGAACGTTGTATTCTTGTCGATGAATCAGACAGGCCCCTCGGCGAGGCCACAAAAAGAGACTGTCATACAGTTAACTCCGAGGGTCAGGTTCTCCTTCACAGAGCGTTTAGTGTTTTTCTCTTCAACAATGCGGGGCAGTTGTTGCTTCAAAAACGGTCTGCTAATAAGGTAAAATGTATACAAGTGGACAACGTTCGTTATTATATTCGTTTCCAGAATTAAACATGGTTCGTTACTTCTTTTTATAGATAACATTTCCAAACCATTATACGAACACGTGTTGTAGTCATCCGTTGGCCGAGATTCCTGGCGAAACTGTAGAACACGAAGCATTAGGGATTCGTAGAGCGGCACAAAGGAGACTCAATTACGAATTAGGGATTCCTCTGACGCAAGTTTCACCGTCGGATTTTCTATATTTGACAAGGATTCATTATCACGCAGTGAATGGTCATTGGGGCGAACACGAGATAGATTATGTGTTATTTGCACAGAAAGATAATATAACGTTGAATCCAAATGCTGACGAAATTAGCGAACTTCATTGGGTGTCGCAATCCGAATGCAATCAGTTTGTGGAAAATCTTAATTCCCCGTTGACTCCGTGGTTTAAATTAATACTGAAACATAAATTGCCTCTTTGGTGGGATAATCTGGATGCGCTGGAAAAAATGCAAGATCACAATACGATACAAAGATTTATATAAATTTGTTGAATAATAACTTTTCAGTTCTCGTTAATATTAAAATTAAACAAAGTTTCGTAAAGTTTGTAAATGAGGCAATTCTAGAACGGTTTTTTTCAAATACAATAAAGATCAATTATTCGAATAGCAGTTTAATATACATAGCCATACAATTCATGAAACATTTTATTCATTTATTGTATAAAAACGTAAGCGACCACCATAGCAGAGCTCGCATACAAACATTCTGAATGATTGCCAGTTTTGTGAAATAAGATGTTTGTTACGAATTCAGGTTTGCAATATGAGAACAAATTATTCTTATAAATTTACGATCTGTGTGTATGGTAGTGTGGTATTATTTTAACGACGGCTACGAATAATTATTTTATAACAATACACTTATGTATGTATGTAATTTTTGTGAATACAATTTTGTCATAGAAAGTATAGTTTTGTAAATATAAAATAAAATTAATCTTACATCGTAAGCTTTTGTATAACTTTATGTAATTAGTGTACTAACGTATGGAAACGTAATTAACGAAAGTTATGGAAAGAAACGTAAACAGGAATTAAAGTTGTTTGGACAAAACGATAGACGTTTCTACGTATTGAACTTCATATTGCTACTAAAATACCTATACAGGGTGTTTGGCTAAACCTGAGAAAAATTTTAATGAGGGATTCTAGAGGCCAAAATAAGACGAAAGTTAAGAATATTAATTTGTTGATGGAGGCTTCGTTAAAAAGTTATTAACAATTAAATTCAAAAATTTCAAATCGTTCTGGAAAAATTATTTTAGGTTGCGGGGTCAATTATAATCAGTTTTGGTGAATAGACATACCCCCGAATTCCTAACCATTTTTGAAACAAAAAATCGAGAAGGTGTGAAATTTTTTGACAAAATTAAAAAATTTCAAATCGTCGTGGAAAAATTATTTTTAGTTGCAGGAGTCAATTACTATCATTTTTCATCATTAGACATACCCTCAAAATCCTATCCACTTTCGAGAAAAAAATTTGAGAATGTGCGAAATGTTTCGACGGAGAAAAAAAATTTCGAATCGTTCTGAAAAAATTATTTTCAGTTCCGTGGGTCGATTACAATAATTTCTGGTGAATAGACATACTCTCGAAATCCTGCGCATTTTCTAGAAAAAAATTCGAGAAAATGCTGAAATTTTTCGAGAAAATTAAAAAATTTCAAATCGTTCCGGAAAAATTATTTTAGGTTGCAGGGTCAATTATAATCAGTTTTGGTGAATAGACATACCCACGAATTCCTAACCATTTTCGAAACAAAAATTCGAGAAGGTGTGAAATTTTTTGACAAAATTAAAAAATTTCAAATCGTCGTGGAAAAATTATTTTTAGTTGCAGGAGTCAATTACTATCATTTTTTATCATTAGACATACCCTCAAAATCCTATCCACTTTCGAGAAAAAAATTTGAGAATGTGTGAAATGTTTCGACGGAGAAAAAAAATTTCGAATCGTTCTGAAAAAATTATTTTCAGTTCCGGGGGTCGATTACAATAATTTTTGGTGAATAGACATACCCTCGAAATCCTGCGCATTTTCTAGAAAAAAATTCGAGAAAATGCTGAAATTTTTCGAGAAAATTAAAAAATTTCAAATCGTTCCGGAAAAATTATTTTAGGTTGCGGGGTCAATTACAATCAGTTTTGGTGAATAGACATACCCACGAATTCCTAACCATTTTCGAAACAAAAATTCGAGAAGGTGTGAAATTTTTTGACAAAATTAAAAAATTTCAAATCGTCGTGGAAAAATTATTTTTAGTTGCAGGAGTCAATTACTATCATTTTTCATCATTAGACATACCCTCAAAATCCTATCCACTTTCGAGAAAAAAATTTGAGAATGTGCGAAATGTTTCGACGGAGAAAAAAAATTTCGAATCGTTCTGAAAAAATTATTTTCAGTTCCGTGGGTCGATTACAATAATTTTTGGTGAATAGACATACTCTCGAAATCCTGCGCATTTTCTAGAAAAAAATTCGAGAAAATGCTGAAATTTTTCGAGAAAATTAAAAAATTTCAAATCGTTCCGGAAAAATTATTTTAGGTTGCGGGGTCAATTATAATCAGTTTTGGTGAATAGACATACCCACGAATTCCTAACCATTTTCGAAACAAAAATTCGAGTAGGTACTGAAATTTTTCGGCGAAATTAAAAAATTTCAAATCGTTCTAAAAAAAATATTTTCAGTTACAGGGGTCAATTACAAGCATTTTTGGTCAACAGAAATACACCCGAATTCCTACGCACTTTCGAGAAAAAAATTCATTACCGAAAATATAGTTTCTGGCCAGAAATGCTACCCTGAAATTTCATGCGAATGTTTAAAATGTCATAACTCCTGAACGGATTGGACGATTTTAATGTTTAAAAAAGCAAACTACGCGTATTTTGCTAAGGAATACGTGGCAATTCCAAAAATATTCGCAAAATTATTTCTTGACTCCGCAAAATGAGAAAAACCCCATAAAAATGGTCTAATTTTCAAACAGCCATAACTCCTACAATAGTGAATATATTTCCATGAAACTTTTTTCTAAAGTAGAGCTCATAGGTACCTACAAAAAAGTATTAGACAACTTTTCTGTAGGGCGTCAAACAAAATTACTAAAAATGTAAAACGAATTTTTAAGAAAAATCAACAGAGGTGCCCTTAATTTTGCAGGGAAAATGAAAGGTTTCTAATCGTTCTGGAAAAATGATTTTCGATTGCGGGGGTCAGTTACAATCATTTTTTATGAATAAACATACCCGCGAAATCCTACGCATTTTTGAGAACAAAATTCAGTACAGGCGGAACTTTAAACTTTAATAACTTTTTAACTAAGCCTCAATCAACAGATTGGTATTCTTGATTTTCGTCTTATTTTCGCCTCCAAAATCCCCCATTAAAATTTTTCCCAAGGGTAGCTGAACACCCTACATATTAAAAAGGGGTAAACGAAATCTATTCGTGCGTAAACTGTTTCTATTTCTAAATATATTTTAACGGTGGTTCTTGGTATCGAATAGCTACACAATTATTTTAACGGTACGAATATATTTTTTATATAGAATATATTTTATACAATAAATATATAGTTTTTCTACTTAGTAACAATTTGTTTGGAATATTAGGTCATATTATGAATATTCATATAGTATCATATAATTGCTAATAAAGTTTCGTTGATCGAAAAAATACATTGGAAAATAAATATCGACAATGATAGCTAAAATATTCGTGATTACATTATTTAAATAACTTCGAAATAAGTTATACAATTTTTTTGTCGTGCAACTTCGGTTAGTTTTTAAAATATACAGAATTTAGTACGTTGAAATGTAGTGGTTTACATGCTGATTATGATACAAAAAATATATGTATATACGAATCACGAGATAAACATACATATACAGGTTTAGACGTATTTTTTTAATGTACGTTTGTTAAATACAAATAGTATACACAATAGCTGTATAAATGTATAAAAACGTAATAAATTAAAGCTAAAAATTGAAAAAGCAGGGTCGCCAATTTTAGTGTTGCTCGAGTGTTAAAAATGAATTTAACGGTGCTTGCATGTATTTAACATTAAATTAATATAATATTCGGTTTATAGTTGAAATCGTGCAACAACATTCGATCTAATATACATTTTGAAGATTGCAACAGTCGGAAATTGGAACCCTATCTAGTACCTAACTATTCTTAAATTGGTCAACGTCCATGATAAACGTCAAATTAATTGATCTCTGTTTTACGTCGAATGCCCGTAATCTAAAAGCGAAACATATTTTCTGCAATTTGGTCTACATTCAGTTTTCATAATAAATTCATTTTTTGTACTCGAAACATCGTGAAATGCAAAAATAAAAAATATTCTCTACTTTTCGTTAGGTACAGATCCCTGCATCTAATTTACGTTCAATAGAGACATTTTAACATTTTACTTAATATTTTTACAAACAATGTTAAAAAAATAATTCTGATATCGTACATTTAATAAAAATAATATATGCTCTACCAAGGAATTATCAAAAATTGTTAAAAATCATTAGCATTAAAATTACATAACTGGTTGCATTATAGGTTTCACGCTGGAAATAGTCCTCGTCATAATTTTATTGAATTTCATTGGATATCATTTATAGTCACAGTAATAATTATCATATCATAGAATTCTTTGTACTATCGCTAGGGGTTAGAATGAAACGGCGTCTGGTTTTTCAGTGACCTTGAAAATATTCGATAACTCGTCGACTAACGTTTCGTATCTATAGGCCACCCGGATATCTGGCACATTTGTTCGTGTAATATCATTACCAGCTACTCCCTCCTTAGTATAATTCGGTCCAAGCCAATATTGTTTACTCTGTAAAAAAACAACGCTCTTAATTATTATTCTTTATAGAGTAAATGTTCCATGCTTACACTAATGTCGACGAACACGTTTCTCATTCAAAGCGAAATAAAATGGCAAAGAAGCCTAGAACTAGCAACTTTCAGTTGCGCAAATAACGTTTTAAATTCATGGAGGCTGTTTGCATTTAAAACATTTGCACATTTTCAATCGCATTCCTAGCGTAAAAGGATCTTGGAGTAAATTTAATTTAGACGTGTGAATGATAGTTCCCCGGAAATATTGTCGTACGACTTCTTTTCGCAAAGTTGCAATAGTTAGAACATTGACAATGATTCGGTTGAGTGTACCGATACTAATGATAATAAATATGACATACCTTGTGTGGAAAACCACTCATAAGTACCGAATTACGTGCCAATTCGCACATATCGCATGAACTGAGTTTCCATACTTGTGCAGCGATACTGAATTCTTCCATTAAAGGTTCCTGCGAGAAATGTTAAATGAATATAAAACAAGGTCAAAGGGATATATCGTAAATCGTAAATTTACAAAGGGATGACCCCAACGGTCCGACATTGATTTTAACGGGTCTTTGCATGGTGATATATATATGTTCCTAATGATACGTGTAAAGTATTAGGCACAGATACTCAATAATTTTAAATGATGATATGTGCGCAGACAGTAAACATTGAAATGACTTTGGCGAGAATGCCTGACTGGTAAATTCATGGTTACGGTTTTGGTTCCCGTTCAGTTGGTATATATTTCTTTTCCATTGCGAAAGCCACGTATGCAATAAAAACACATAAACGATAACAATAAATGTATCTTATTTAACATTTAAAGTAACGAAGTAAAACTCTCTTATGATATTGGCAAATTTTGATACGTTTTAGCACTGCATTAATTGTATATTTTTATAAATAGTTACTTCAAATATTAAATGAGATACATCTATTGTTATCATTTATGTTTTTATCGCATACGTGTCTTTTACAATAGAAAAAAACATATCAACTGAACGGGACTCGAACCCATAACCTTGGATTTAGTCAGTCACCTCGCCAAATCATTTCAATGTCTATTGTCTATACTCATGGTGCATATGTGTAGTTTATAACTATAATTGTTTACATTTTTTAAATTATTGAGTATCCACGCCTAATATTTTACACATATCATTAGTAATATACAGCGAGTGTCACATAAAATGGTGCACCTAGCGGTTCAGCCGATATTTTTTCAATAAGAGGTATATAGCGTAATGTTTTTTTATTTAATACATAATAACAATACAAAAAAACCTTTAATAGTACTCAGTTTAATCAAATAAAATTTTAGGTTGCGTATGAAATTTAGCTGTCAGTAAAAATCGTACACAGTTGGCAGCATTGGAAATCCGGTGAATCACCCAACTGTTTTTTATGTTACAATGCTTAGCAACGATTGAATCTAGTTGATTTAGCAGCATTCTGATTGTTATATGCGATTGTACTGCCAAAAAAAATCAATAAAAAAGACTTAAAATGCGACAAACTATAGTAGCGGGGAGCGTGAATTAGTTATTTATCACTACAAAAACAAAAGAAGTTAAAGTTAATAAGAAACTGAATATCAGAGGTGAACGACGGATTGTTAGAGAAATTAAGGATGACCCGAGGATCAGAGCTCCAAAATTAGCGTCGAAAGTTGAAAAATATTTAAATAAGAAAGTAAGTGATTCAACTATTAGAAGAGTATTAAGAAAATAGAAATATCATGTTAGAGTTGCTCCGAAGAAGCTGTTCATAAATTTGCAAAATAGCAAGAAGAGGTACGAGTTTGCAAAGAAGTATATAAATGAACAGTTTACTTTTTGAAAAAGTGTAATTTTTACCGATGAATCGAAATTTAATATCTTCGGTTTGGATGGAACAAAAATTGTATGGAGAAAACCAAATACAGCTGCGGATATTAAAAATCTCAGAGCAACGGTTAAATTTGGCTGTGGGTCTCGAATGGTCTGGGGCTGTATGTCAGCATCTGGCGTTGGATACCTGGTATTTATTGATAATATAACGGATAAGTGGTCGTATTTGAGTATATTAAAAAATAATTTAAAAGAAAGTGCAGAAATTGGAAATTTTAAACGATTTCAAATTTTACGCAGACAACAATTCTTCGTAGCACGATTCTAATGTAGCAAAGATTTGGCTATTGTATAACTGCCTTAAAGTTCTTCAAACGCTCCCATAATCACCTGACATCAATGTCGTAGAATATATTTGGAATGAATTGGACAAAAAAGTAAGATTACACAAATATTACAAACACGGGAAGCCTTAGAAAAGCTTTGCAAGAAGAATGGTCGAAAATAACACCAAAATTTTGTGAGAATTTAGTAAAATCGATTCCTCGACAACTGCAGCGTGTTCGAAATACATTTGGTTAGCCAACTAAATATTAATATAAACGATTTTTATTATATATTATTCTAAAACTGCATCTTATTTCCTGTGTACGATTTTTACAGGCAGATAAGTTTCATACGCAACCTCAAGTTTTATTTAATTTACTGAGTACTACTAAAAGTTTTTTTATATTGTTGTTATGTGTCAAATAAAGAAACATTACGAGTTCCAATAATTTGGTACAATTTTCATGTTTATCGAATAAATATCGGCTGAACCGCTAGGTGTACGATTTTATGTGACGATCACTGTATACAGGGTGTTCGACCACCCCTGGAGAAAATTGTAACGGGAGATTCTAGAGGTAAAAATAAGACGAAAATCAACAAATTGGTATTCTTGATTTTCGTCTTATTTTTACCTCTAGAATCTCCCGTTACAATTTTTTCCAGGGGTGGCTGAACACCCTGTATATTATCAGCTTGCAAAGACCCGTTGAAATCGAAGTCGGACAATTGGGTTCCTTCCTTCCCTTGTTAAGTAACAAGATAGTACCGACCTTGGTAAAGTGGAATTGAAGAGGATCGTCTGTAGAAAGACTGATGCATAAACCTCTCGCTAAGTATTCTGGAAGGGGATTTCGATGGTAGTTCAAAAATAGAGAGTTATTACTGAGAGGCGACATTGCGATCCCAATTTGCGTCAAATAATACAAATACTGCAATACTGGTACTTTTCGAAGCAAAAGACCATGGGAAATGTTCTCTGCCATCATATAGCCACAGACAAGATGTTGTATGGGCCCAGCCTCGCCGCAATGAGGTCTGAGAACGAACGTGTTAAGCCCTTGGTCTCTGTAAAAAATGAATCGGAATTATTCAACCCTAGAACTGCCACTTATAATGTATTTATTCGTACCAAAGAAGTTAAAACGATAGACACGTGAAGAAATGTATAATATCACTGTTCTACAAATTAAATTCTGTTTTCTATTTTTCAATATCCACTAGGTGATTCTTATAGAGCTTCGTAGATACGCATAATGGATGCAACACCGATAATATCTTAGGCTCCCAATTCCTGTATATGTTTATCATTTTTGATTTTTTAATCTGTTTGTGGATTTGTAAAAAACATTTCTCGATCATTTCCATTTCTAAACAATTTCGATGTACATTGTATGTATATGAATGGTTTTTTAAATATAAAGCCGTAAAAAAATAAACAACATTTTATTGTTGGATTACCTCACAGAATAGGAATAATATTCCTAAGAGCGAAGTGTGAATAGCAAGGATTTACTCCAGATCTTTATAAGAAAAGCGTACATGATCGAGTGATTCCATTGATAAGTTTACATGGATTTTGAAAATATAATTCAGTGATTAGTATCCTAGAGTATACAAATATATTAAGCAATAAAGGTTACAAAAAAATCAAACATACTATACAGGGTGTTCGGCTACCTCTGGGAAAAATTTTAATGGGAGATTCTAGAGGCCAAAATAAAACGAAAATCAAGAATACCAATTTGCTGATTGAGGCTTAGTTAAAAAGTTATTAACGTTTAAAGTTCCGCCTGTACTGCATTTTTTTCTCAACAATGCGCAGGATTTCGGGGGTATGTTTATTCACAAAAAATGATTGTAATTGACCCCCGCAATCGAAAATCATTTTTCCAGAACGATTAGAAACCTTTCATTTTCCCTGAAAAATTAAGGCACCTCTGTTGATTTTTCTTAAAAATTCGTTTTACATTTTTAGTAATTTTGTTTGACGCCCTACAGAAAAGTTGTCTAATACTTTTTTGCAGGTACCTATGAGCTCTACTTTAGAAAAAAGTTTCATGGAAATATATTCACTATTGTAGGAGTTATGGCTGTTTGAAAATTAGACCATTTTTATGGGGTTTTTATCATTTTGCGGAGTCAAGAAATAACTTTTCGAATATTTTTGGAATTGCCACGTATTCCTTAGCAAAATACGCGTAGTTTGCTTTTTTAAACATTAAAATCGTCCAATCCGTTCAGGAGTTATGACATTTTAAACATTCGCATGAAATTTCAGGGTAGCATTTCTGGCCAGAAACTATATTTTCGGTAATGAATTTTTTTCTCGAAAGTGCGTAGGAATTCAGGTGAATTTCTGTTGACCAAAAATGCTTGTAATTGACCCCTGTAACTGAAAATATTTTTTTTAGAACGATTTGAAATTTTTTAATTTCGCCGAAAAATTTCAGTACCTACTCGAATTTTTGTTTCGAAAATGGTTAGGAATTCGGGGGTATGTCTATTCACCAAAACTGATTGTAATTGACCCTGCAACCTAAAATAATTTTTCCGGAACGATTTGAAATTTTTTAATTTTCTCGAAAAATTTCAGCATTTTCTCGAATTTTTTTCTAGAAAATGCGCAGGATTTCGAGAGTATGTCTATTCACCAGAAATTATTGTAATCGACCCTCGGAACTGAAAATAATTTTTTCAGAACGATTCGAAATTTTTTTTTCTCCGTCGAAACATTTCGCACATTCTCAAATTTTTTTCTCGAAAGTGGATAGGATTTTGAGGGTATGTCTAATGATAAAAAATGGTAGTAATTGACTCCTGCAACTAAAAATAATTTTTCCACGACGATTTGAAATTTTTTAATTTTGTCAAAAAATTTCACACCTTCTCGATTTTTTGTTTCGAAAATGGTTAGGAATTCGGGGGTATGTCTATTCACCAAAACTGATTATAATTGACCCCGCAGCCTAAAATAATTTTTTCCAGAACGATTTGAAATTTTTGAATTTAATTGTTAATAACTTTTTAACGAAGCCTCCATCAACAAATTAATATTCTTAATTTTCGCCTTATTTTGACCTCTAGAATCCCCCACTAAAATTTTTCCCAAGGGGTGGCCGAACACCCTGTATACAGAGTGCATGCCCTATTGCACCATTATACCAGTTTCGCTTGTAGGTAGCTACGGCACTGCCGCGCCGAGATAGGCAAGCGATGGCCGCGTGGCGGTCAAACGCCGTGCACGCGTTGCCAATACACATTTTCTCGACCTGTGACAACTGAGAACGGCTTCTACACTTCTGTTGGACAGTTTCTTCTTCAGGAATGTCTGCAGAATCGGATCCTGTGTATAGATTTCGTGTCAGGTAAAGGACTTTCCGTAAGTATACAAAAGTGTTGTGTATAAAGTACGTACTTCGACGCTTTTTCAAACTTTGGCGATCATTTACAACCGTTCAAAAGCACAAAATATTATAACTATCGATGTTAGCATATTCAGGAATCTCTCCTCTATCTTTTAAGATTAAGTGGAACTGTCTGATGTTTTTAATTTTCGCGTAATACCTCGTTTTTGCCAAAAATTGGACGTTTTCACAAAAACTCGTGTTTTTCGAAAACTGAGGGTGATACAGCAATTCCATTTTCACATTCGTGTTTAGGAAACGGAGCTCTACAAGAATCACATAGTGGGTACGGAAAAACAAAATTCGTGTTGAACAGTGTATTCATTCTCTTATAGAAAATTATGGTAAATTTTCAGAAATTCAGTCGAGTTAATGTTTTACTAGTTTTATTAGTAATTACGAGTCATTTTGACTGCTTTGGTAGTTCTAGTGTTAACTATAAAAATAATATTAACTATAAAACGTGAACTCACGTTCTAAAATGATTCAAAACAGTCATATTTGCGTAAGTGTAGTACTGGTAATATCCGTAAGGAGGATTTTCTATGTCGTCCCATTCGGCCGGTGGGTAAACATCCTTGTCGAACAAAGGATTTTCAGGTTTACTTTCGTCGTCGACCGAATCAAATCCTATCACCTATAATGATCATTAAAGTAACCGTACGAATAACTTATCCAATATCGTATTTATCAAACTACTTACATATTGAAGGAATTTATGTAATTCTGGATGAGAAGTAGGGTCGTTCGTTACTTCAAACAGGGGTAAAAAGATATTATTCAAGATTTCTTGGAAGTTTGTCATCAACTTGTTCAATTTGAAAATATCGCTGCACATGGAAAACAATTTATGATTAACGATTATTAATTATATATGCAACGAACATATAAGATGCATCTGAAGACTTTATCGACCGAGATACACTCGAAAGCAAAATAAGAAGGGTCATGATCGATCGATAATGTCGAAAATAGAACACCCTACATTACCTATATCGTGAAAACTTACTATAGCCGAGGAATTTGTATAAGCCAACGCACGTTATCGGAATAGACGTCGCTCTGAATAGCCCACTTTGCCAATTTGTCCCATTCTTCCGGACTCTTTCCATATATCGATAGACGCAATTCCGCATTTTGGTATTTCGATTCTTCCAGATCGCTGGCAACTTCTTTAATAATGCTCGCGAAGAATCTGCCGTTCAGATAATTGTCCGTCTTTAAAAATACTTCGCGCAATCGACTCTCGCCAATCGGATTGTACTTGGCGTTGAATTTATCGAACCTGTGGAACGTATTTCTATCCTAAAAATAAAGTTGCAACCTAAGTTTTTCGTTCATAAATCTCCTCCCTCCGAAAATACACATATCAACACTAGAACTACCGATGTGGTTAAGATGACCCATTCGTTAATTTCTAATAAAAATTGTTGCTTTACCATGGTTTTCTATAAGAAAATGAATGAATATTTATTTCCATTATACATTTCTTCAAGTACCGTGCATCCGCGTGAAGAAGTCACAGCTTGTTTACATCCCCACTCCTGTTACAGTCCACTGGGCTCACAGGTATTGGTCATTGGACAGCCAATCAGCGGACTGCAGCAAGAGTGGGGATGTTAAACACTCTGTGTCTTCATCTCGCGAAAGGACGATATATACCGTTTTAGTTCCTTTGGTACAAATAAATACACCATAATTGTCGGTAGCTCCAGTGTTAACGAAAGCTTACCGCGTGCACGTCCAACATATCAACGCTTAGATCGTAAGTGGTCAGATTCATGGATTGAAATACTTCTCGAAGAGTCATCGTTTCCCCATTCTTTGAACACGTAACAATTTCATCCGCGTGGTTCTTCAATGTCTTTTTAATAAATCTGAGCAGGTGTTTCTGATTCATACAAGACGCTGCGTGAATATGCGTGTCGACCTAAAATAAAAATTGTTCAACGACTGCGTTATCTTTTAAATTAGCTTCAAATTTTTATGAAATTGTATTTCTAATTTATCTCTACCGTACTGACCTTTCTGATGTTGTAGAAGTCCCTGTGGGGAACCGCTTTTTGGCTCGCAAGTTCTCTAAGCTCGTTCAACAATACATGCAATTGGAATTTAGACGAAAGGTAACTTAATCTTCTGTAGCAAAAAGATTTCAATGGGCCATCTGCGATCATCGCACACAGGAGGTTCATGTCTCTGACAAATATCGCCAAGTCAGGATACGAATATGGAACTGGCTTTCCGTTAACATAATCGTCTTGGTTCGCGTACACGTTGAACACGCCATTAACGGGTGCAATTATGTAATTTTTCGTCTGAGGGAATACACAGTCCCAAGGATCTCCTCGAGATGCAGGCGCATGTACCGGATGATCTGGCAACAACATTTAACAGAAACAAATATAATTACGATTTCTATAAAATTGCTTGTTGGTTCTATAAAAAAAAACATGGTATACATTTCATAAATTGAATATTCACGAATATTTCGTGTACTAAACTCATACGCAATATACATTTAAGTATATTGTACCGTTGTACATAAATTTATTTTCAACATTTTCTTGTATATTGTCATTAAAACAGCGGACAGTTACTTGAGATCGAGTTAAGATTAATACTGCGAAACAGACAAGATCGAGTATAAGTGTAACAAGAATATTAATAACGTGTTTGTTCTTCCTTGTTGTCGTATAATGCTTTGACATTGCGTCAATCAGAATACGGTTCGTTTAAGTTTCTGTTACTGGTTTTTGTTTTTAATACGTTTGTCCACATTTAACAACATCTCGATAGAATTGACATCTGTACGTCTGACCGTGCAAACCTTATGTTTTGGATCGTTTGTTGGCTCGTAGGATCAACTTTTCCTGCCATTTGATTATTTGTAAATGGAACAAGTAAATGTAAATGTATTGATCTATAATACCACGAATGAAGAAAATTGAAGAATACACAATGAAGAAAATTCTTCATTAACAAGACGTTTGTCAGTTTTTCTATTCTAGTCAATTCTATTAAATTTAGATTTATATAATTGTATGATTTGCATCGAGACTCTGTTTTAAAAATTTGTAACCATTCAGCAATTGCTTTGCACGAAGGTGATATTCTTTTTACTGATTTTCTATTGTTTAAATTTTTGAATACATTAAATCATGACAATAAAATAGACAATGATGGTAAATAATCAAACTCAAAATCTCAAATCAAAAAAAAAGTAATACAAATATATGTGATTTATAAATTTGAAATTAAATTACTTTATGGTAGAGTATAGTTCAATCCATATTACACTCGAATTTAATATAGCAAACATTCAATTTATTAAATATATGCAATGTTTTTTGTTGAACTAAACAGCGGTCTTAAATACTAGAAGATAAGATTGATTCTCGTAGGTATGTTTCATAGAATTGAATATTTTTTAGTATGTAGATGACTTATAAGCATTAACAGATAAAAGTACCCATAAACTGGTATGATACTGATAGCAAAATGTAAATTTATCGTTAACATATTCCAAATTTGATTATACAGGGTGTCCAGCCACCCCTGGGGAAAATTTTAATGGGAGATTCCAGAGGCCAAAATAAGACGAAAATCAAGAATAAAAATTTGTTGATTGAGGCTTCCTTAAAAAGTTATTAACGTTTAAAGTTCCGCCCGTAGTGAATTTTTTTTCTCGAAAATGCGCAAGATTTCGGGGGTATATCTATTGACCAAAAGTAATTGTAATTGCCCCCCGCAACCGAAATTAATTTTTCCAGAATGATTTGAAACTTTTCAATTTTCAGGGTAACAGTTATAGTCAGACATTATATTTTCAGTAATGAATTTTTTTCTCGAAAATGGTTAGAATTTCGAGGGTATGTGTATTCACCAAATATGATTGTAACTGACCCCCGCAACCGAAAATAATTTTTTCAGAATGATTTGAAATTTTTTTATTTAATGTTTTAACACTTTACCGACCGATAGCCTATTAATCGACTGTTTTACCGGCTAACGCTTACCGACTGATAGCCTATTAATCAACTGTTTTATCGGTCGGCGTTTACCGACCGGTAGCGGTTGATTAATCGGCTATCGGTCGGTAAAGTGTTAATAACTTTTTAACGAAGCCTCAATCGAAAAATTGATATTCTTGATATTCGACTTATTACCAATTTTTTTACATACGAAGGTTCATATAATAATTATAATAATTTATAGAAGTGACAGTTGCAGTTTATGATTTGAAAGATCAGCTATAAGTTTCGTATAAATTTTAATTTTTTTTAAATATGATGAATGTTTCTTCTTCAGAAATGCCAACAGAATCCTATTTTTGGTAAGGATTTCGTACTAGATAAAGAACATTTAGTAAAAATACTTAACACTTTACCGACCGGTACCGATTGACCCTAGATTATATATCTACTTTTTCTTACAAGAATGTTAAATGAAACTTTGCGACAGTGGTTACTATATCGTTCTCTTTCTGTAATTACAGGGTAATTAAATCTAGTGATATTTTTTATTTTCATGACAACCGATTAATAAGCTACCCGGTCGGTAAAGTGTTGAGCGGTAGAAAACTGATTTATCGGCTATCGGTCGGTAAAAAGTCGATTAATAGGCTACCGGTCGGTAAAGTGTTAATATAAATATTTAGAACCAAAAACAATTAATAAATTGTTTACCAGCAATGGCTTTACGATCGTCGTGTTGAATCTCATCGTCGCTGTTTACTGGCCTTTTATCGATGCTACGCAGAAATCGTGACGTTATCGAAGGGAAACTCTGTTTAGAATTGTTCATGTATTTTTCACGTATTGCCAATGCTTGAACCAGCATCTGGGATGCCTGTTGAAGGTCTTCCAACGGCACCTAAAATATACATAGCATTATATTAGTATATAGTATATTTCGCGAGTCGATGAATAATTATTTTTCTACTTTGGTTTAACTACTTTCAAATATTAAATATAGTTATATTTTTCAAAACTAACATGTTAATACGTTCACTGTCTATGACCCGTATATGGGTCATAACGCCATAGTTTTCTACTTTGGTTTAACCACTTTCAAATATTAAATAATAGTTATATTTTTCAAAACTAACATGTTAATACGTTCACTGTCTATGACCCGTATATGGGTCATAACACCATGGGTTTTCTACTTTGGTTTAACCACTTTCAAATATTAAATATAGTTATATTTTTCAAAACTGACATGTTAATACGTTCACTGTCTATGACCCGTATGTGGGTCACAACGCCATAGTTTTCTACTTTGGTTTAACCACTTTCAAATATTAAATATAGTTATATTTTTCAAAACTAACATGTTAATACGTTCACTGTCTATGACCCGTATATGGGTCATAACACCATGGTTTTCGATACGCCGCTAAGAGACCGAACAGCGAACGTGTTAAATGTTCGCTGTTTTCGAAATAAATGCATGGTTCCATTTTTCCGAACGTTTCAGGGGAAAAAAATAAAAGATACTCGGGAACGTTCGAAATGACTACAGCTGTTGTTCGTCAATCTTTGAATTTCGCTTTACGTAAATGATACGTTCCCCGAAGTTGTCCGAAATGCCACGCTCTCGCTTCGTATATTTTCGGTGAACCGAATAAGAAAGTAAATGTGACCCTTTCTCTCTCGACTCGCCGAAGATATCCGAAGTGAATTCGCGCTCACTTCGGGCAGCTTCGGAGAATTGAGAAAGATGACGGGTGTCAGTTTGTCCCGCAGGACTTGGAAAGTTTATCTGTCACGAAAAAGTACAAAATTCATCCGATAACAATTCGTCGAATCAGGAGCAATGTGTCTAATATTGCTCGATATGCGAAGAAGGATAAGCGAAGATTGAGACGATCAATGTATGAACAATTACATGAAGAATTATTAGAAATTATTAACGTGGTTCGTACAAAGTAGGATGCTTCGCAATTTTATCTCTGACGCATTGCTTTTGGTGAAGGTTACCGAATTAAAGGAAACCATGGCGTCATCTTCTAATTTTAAAGCGAGCAAAAGATGGCTCTTAAAGTGTAAACACAGATGCAATAAAAGCACGTATTTGGCGAAAAAGCCCAGTAATGATGAACAAATTAATGGAAGAAGAAGATGCACAATATGACCGAAAGTGATCTTTTATGAAATTATTGTACTATTGAGAAGAACACTAGTAAAAGGGAACGAAAAAAGTATTAGAGGTTACAAATGAAAAAAGGAAAGAATAACAGTCGCATTTATGTACCAATGAAACTGGGAAACGTAAACTTGAACCGTTGCCAATTCAGAAGTATAAGAAGCCAAGAGCTTTAAAGGACCAATTGGAAGTATTGCCAGAAGTTTTTAAATCACAGAATGGATGGACCAAAATTTATTCACAGAGTGGTATTGTAGGAATTATTATATTCAAATCGCGCGCGAAATCGACGAGTTCGCGGATCGCGATTTACGATAGCGTCGCGGCGCTACTAGCGCCACTAGTACGCGAAGTGCTCGCGTGCGACAATTAATTTGCTCTTAGTTACCGAACGACCGCCAAGACGAAACCATACGTATACGTATAGTGTGTCTATCGCCAGATCCGTGCCCGGAAAGTAAGTATAAATATCTTAAGTAGTCGTTTTGCGTGTATTCTTTTGAAAATAAGTTCCTACAGGATGTAATGTGCCGTATTTTTCGACATCTTATGCAGTGAAACCCGGTGATTTTTACAAGTACCTTAATGATTCTTAAAATGAACATCGCTCTAGGATTGGTATGTTCACTTTTCGTACAGCGAATTTCGACATTAGCAAATGTTTATACACAGCGATAGAGCATCAGAGTTGCCTTTATCTTTTGTCGACCAACCGTGGGCGACAATCGAAGAAAAGAACAGCGGAGTGAGAACGGAGTGAGAGCGAATGAGAAAAACGAACGACAGTCGAAGGAAAGAACACTTTATGAACCGTAATTATTTATTTTGATTTAACCAAAATTTAATGTATTTCATGATCGTTTCATCATATACTATTATATTATTAAATTATGAAATAATTTATCGTAGTGAATAGCATATTTTTGAAAATATCTTTCCAAACTTAATAAGTTGTAGTCTTCAAATACTAGATGGCGGGATCTGACGGAAAAAACCGAGCGCGCCGGCGATTTTTCACGAAGCATTGCGATTCACGCTTCACTGAGCTTTGTAGGGGATCCCCCCCGAGTTGGTAGGGATAGAAACGTTCAATTTACGAATCACGTCTGAGGTTCGTTCTAAGAATCATTACTGATTAATTACCGATTATAATTATGTATTATATACAGGGTGTACGGCCACCCATGGGAAAAATTTTAATGGGGGATTCTAGGGACCAAAATAAGACAAAAATCAAGAATACTAATTTGTTGATGGATGCTTCGTTAAGTGCCTGTAGACAGGCAACCTGCGTACAGGCGCAACTGTTAATAACTTTTTAACGAAGCCTCGGTCAACAAATTGGTATTCTTGATTTTCGTCTTATTTTGGCCTCTAGAATCTCCCATTAAAATTTTTTCCCAGTGGTAGCCGAATACCCTGTACAATAATATATTAACACTTTACCGACCGGTAGCGGTTGATTAATCGGCTATCGGTCGGTAAGCGTTGGTCGGTAAAAGAGTTGATTAATACGCTATCGGTCGGTAAGCGTTGGCCGGTAAAAAAAAGTCGATTAATAGGCTATCGGTCGGTAATGTGTTAAGCATACCCCGGAAGTATCTTCCCCCGATATGGAGACTCTTTGAAAATGTGGTACGAAGTCATTTTCTTCGAGATTGTACAGATGATCGATGTCATCTGGTACGCCAGGTCCAAGGGAAGGTTCATAAAGGCTACGACGTTCCTCTAAATCCTTGGCGGCTCTGAAAGAATACCAAAGACATGATTTTTTTATTTGTAGAAACGATGAAATTCGAATAAAGGTATGCCATGACTTAATATAAAATAGCGAAGATACGCGTACAAACGTAATTTTACATAAACACATTGCATCCGCTTGTAAAATTCACATTATATAAATTCTTACAAAGTCGTCCCATAAGTAATTTCTTTTTATGCGTGTTTGAAATTAATTATAACATTGCTAAATTACGTCCTTATCTCAATTCCTTTCATCGAAATCATTTTGTTCAAGTTCAATTTCAAATTTGAAAAGTGCAATGTACAACAACACGCTTATTTTGTGCCGAACGTATTTCTGATATATAAATTCAAATATTATTACAAAAATTAATATAATAAAATAAGTTTTATAATTTATTTAAAACATTAATATTGTACGTTTCATATTTTTTACTTATAGTGACAAATTATTTAGGCTCGAGGTAATAATAATCACGATAGTGATAATCATTGTTTAATTTCGTTGACTCAGAACGATAGACATTTTTCAAATGTATCACCAAAAAAGTGAATTTCGTTGAGGCCATAGTATCGTATTTAGAAAATATTTCTTTAATCTTTTTGATATTTTTCGAACTATCCATCGAGAATAGTTATTTAAATATTGCAGTAGTTCCATCTCGGTCAAACAAAAGCTATTCTAATATTATTCAGAAAGAACAAAAGGGGCGAAACAAATGGCGGGCTGAAAATCATAGTAAAGTTGCAATTTGTATAAAATTGTATAAAATTCTGTTACACATTTCAATTTTCATAGACAAACATATTTAATAGCTTTTTGAATCTATAAACGTGTATATATAACTTCGCATGTACATAGAATTCTTTCAAACGATAATTCACAATAGTTTTTAGTTCCTTGATGAACGATTTATTTACAGGTAATTACCCAAATGTATATCATTTGATTTTAATTAAATCTGTTCGTGCATGCAATGCTTGCAAATAGAAACGGAATTCTTTTAAAAAACTCGACTTCCTCTCGGTAACACACATTTAATGAGCACGCGGCTTCAGTTACAGACGAAGGACACACGGTACAATAGTAGTAAGCCAAAAGAACTCCAGGTGGCGCGGAAACAAATGGCGCTTTATTTCTAACGGAATATGTAAGGAATGTAAGACATGTTGGTTTTAATATACAAGGCTTAATAATGTACGTAGTTTCATAGTTGTGAAGCTTGACACAAAGAACTTACGACGTGTCAGATTCGTCATTGTACGATGAGAAGTTAATCGATCCGTCTGTCGGAAACGCATCTACATCCCATCACGGTTCGTGTATAATGTAAAACACCGGGACAAGCAGAGGGAATTTTAAACAGGCATCGATCGACGATAAAAATGTTGATTTTAATCTTATTTTAAATTACAGATATATTTAACTACTGGTTAGTATTTGATTTTAGTACTAAACTAAGGTGTCTACAGTCTGTCTAAATCCTAACCTAAAATAACAAACTTTATATAAATATTAAATATATAGTGACGATTCTTAAAATAAACCTCAGGCACGATTCGTAAGTTGAACATTTTTATTCCTTCAAATTGGGGTTATCCCGTAGGACCAGCGACGTCGTGAAAGACATATTGGTTCGAAGGAGAAATATTCAATTTACGAGACACGTCTGGAATTCATTTTAAGAATCATTATTGTAATGTGGTGACATTCAACTGTTTCTGTTTTCACAAGTCTCGATCCACTTTCAAATGTTTAGAGGTATTTGAAACTTTTACGTCCGAGTTTTAACCTCGTATTATTTAAGTACTCGTGATAACAATTCTACAGTAAACTAATATACAATTTCTACCGCAGATGTTCGTAACAACCAACCCGAGGGAGAACCCATTAAATTATCGAAAGCTACGTCTGCTGGATAACGATGAACATTCGATATTCACGAGGAAGAAAAAATTGTTTCGATATAGCGAACCATCGATAGGATGTGGCGACGCTTCCCGATTTCGCCGCTAGAGGGACACCCAATCGTTTCTCTTGCTCGCAGGAGCAAGCATTTGATACCCATGCTGGTACACTCTACGGTAAACAATGGAACATTCGGACGTGTTTAAAGATTTTCCGTCAAGTTTCGACCTCGTCTTACTCAAATACTCATCAAATAATGATAACTTTATGATGATTAACACACAATTTCTATTGCAGTCGTCCACTCACATTGGATCCGATTATGGCGACGTTCGTACCAATGGTTGAAGCGGAAAGAGCGACGATGAATTTGCTATACACGTGAGCTCGGTAGAATCGAGAAATAAGGTGAGTGTGAGCCTCATCTTCTCGCTCTCGATACATCTGTAACCCAAATTGTTGTCGGCAAGTGATATTTGTTTGTCAAACAAATTTTAATACTTCTTGACCTATAAGGAACGAAAGTATGAGACGATTCTTTAAAATCATGGTTGCGTCACGAATTTACATGATATTTAAATATGTATGTTTAGTTTTCGAGATATTTCCAAAACATTGTCGTTACTCCATAAAATTAAATTCTAATACCATCGGAATTAATTTAAACGGGTAAAAAACTTTATTAATTTGTTATTTTCAAATAAATAAATCAAATAATAAAATAAAATTTAGTTAAATTATTTTTCGGATTCTCCACGGATATCGTAGTTTCTTAAAATTTTAAGTCTCTTTTTGGAAAAATACGTGCTAAAGCTCATTACTTTTTCACCCCCCCTCCCCATATCTATATTTCTCTTCGATACTGAAGTACATACAGTCTTTTGTAAAAAAAAAAACCATCAAGAAATATAGAGATTTAGGGCAAAGCCACTAAACAGTTACCTTAATATACGTAAGAATATAAATGACAATGTTTAAAGTAGAATATGTGAAAATGGTAAGTTTATACAGGGTGTTCGGCCACCCCTGGGAAAAATTTTAATGGGGGATTCTAGAGGCCGAAATAAGACGAAAATCAAGAATACCAATTTGTTGATGGAGGCTTCATTAAACAGTTATTAACAATTAAATTCAACAATTTCAAATCGTTCTGGAAAAATTATTTTCGGTTGCGGGGGTCAATTGCAATCATTTTTGGTCATTACACATACCCCCGAAATCATACGCATTTTCAAGAAAAAAATTCCTGACCGAAAATCTAATGTGAAGCCAGAAATGCACCCCCGAAATTTCATATGACTATTTAAAATGTCATAACTTTTGAACGGATCGAAGGATTTTAATGTTTGAAAAGCCAAATAATGCGTATTTTAGTGAAGAATATGTAGAAATTCTAACAATATTGAAAAAGTTATTCCTTGATCCCGTAAAATGAGAAAAACCCCATGAAAATTGTCCAATTTTCAAACAGCCATAACTCCTACAATAGTAAAGGTATCTCATTGAAATTTTTTTCTGAAACAGAGCCCATGAGTACCTACAAAAAAATATTAGACAACTTTTCTGTAGAGCGTGAAACAAATTTATTAAAAATGAAAAAGTAATTTAGGTGCCTAAATTTTTCGACGAAAAAAAAAAATTTCAAATCGTTCCGGAAAAATTATTTTCGGTTGTGGGGGTCAATTACAATCATTTTTGGTGAATAAACATACCCCCGAAATCCTACCCACTTTCTAGAAAAAAATTCGAGAAGGTGTGAAATTTTCCGACGAAAAAAAGAAATTTCAAATCGTTTTGGAAAAATTATTTTCGGTTGCGAGGGTCAATTACAATCATTTTTGGTGAACAGACATACCCCCGAAATGTTGCGCATTTTCGAGAAAAAAATTCAGTACGGGCGGAATTTTAAACGTTAATAACTTTTTAACGAAGCGTCAATCAACACATTTTTATTCTTGATTTTCGTCTTATTTTGGCCTCTGGAATCTCCCATTAAAATTTTTATTTTATATTAATTATAGGTACAATTTCACTTCTTTCACGATATTATAATTTAAATAAATATATTTCGGTATACTTCAAAATATTTGACACGTTTTCTTCTCTTTTTCTTTTTCGTACATTGTTTATATCGACTTTAAAATCGTTGCATATATTGCAGACCGATTCCATGTGTCTTAGGCCCGGCAGTTTGCGTGTAGCGGATATACGCCCGATTTTTGCAGAGCAACCCTAGTTGACACGAATCCACGAAGGTAAGCGAACAATGGTAGTTAAGAAACGGGTAGAAAAACGAATGTCGCTTGCCGATAATAATTTGGATTTCAGCCGTGTCAAGAGCGGGAAGAATAGATTCACATTCGCCTTCGTTCTCGACACCACGACGCTGCGCGAAGTACCGTGCGCACGTACACACAGCACGCAGTATATGCTGCTTTTTCCACCGACCTGCTTGTCGTTTCCGACGCACTCTCTTTTCCCTTTCTTTCTCTTCCGCTTCAACCTTCGAACAAAGGTCGCCATAATCAAATCCAATGTGAGTGGGTGTATCCTTAAGAAGTACTGTTATGCGTAAACATCACTCCTTTACACTTTTCCTCAGCACTCACTTCGTGCATGCTGTGAAGATCCTGCTATTTCACGAGGGAACCTGCCCTATGATCCTTCCACGACATAACAGTACAACTAGTAAATGGATGAATCTACGTTTAGAAGTAAGTTGAAAAAAAAAGAATAATTTTACTTCATTTAATGATGTTTCTTGGTAATAATTGCAATTCATTTGGCGCGTTTGGCCATTAGTCACTGCCCCTACTTGTTCTTAAGTCCAAGTTTTACTCTATTGCGCGCAGTAGTATCGGGCAAATAACGAAAAAAGATGACACGAAATTTAATGGACGACCAAATTATTAGCGTAGAAAGAAGAACTGAATCGACTTTTATTCTTTAATGACGATTGGATTACTAATAATTGGGATGTTACCCACAGTCGATACGAGAAATTGTAGAACGAGTCGAGTTCGATTTGTGAACTAATTCGTCCAAGTTTCAGTTCTCCTCGATAATAGTTCATCAAGTATTTTGATTCATCTTTACAGAGATTTACTGTTTTTTTATTTTACTGAAGTCTATTCACGCTAATATTTATATTAAATGTGTAAAGATATATCGTGTCCAATGTAACATTTTTTTAGTTTCATAAAAAAATGCATTACTTATGAGACGACGTAATATATCTTTCTACGTATAAAAATTGATTGTAGAATAAAATTCTTCGTTAAGATAACGTCGCACAGTGGCGGAGAAAATAATAAGACAAAAAAAATATAAAAATTCGTTAAAATTGACATTCTCAAAATGGTTCCTGGCTTTAAAGCCTTCAACAGGGTCATAGTGCTAAGGTGACCATAAGTCCAGAATTTGTTGGAGTTCTTTGTCCCGTTTCTTCTGATAATGTAAATAATTATTCAGTTTGATCACAACTGTCCAAACAATAAAAATAATACCACCTTCCGTTTTGAAAAAAATTGAGGAACTACCTTTTTGGCCTAACAGTCTCCTTAAAAGAATTTGTTGTAAATGGAAACATCAGCCCTCCTGAACTATTTAATAATAATAATAAAAAAAGGAAAACAATATTAAATCGATATATTCATTGGTTTCTTTGAGAGAACATCTCGTAACATTTTAAATAAACTAAACGGTATATATAATACTTGACATTTTTATCGATAGAAAAAGTTTAATTTTTAAACTTTTTTCGAATAGTTATTGTTTATTAGATTTTTTTTTTTACAAAACAATTCATAGTGTGAATCACCTACGATTTTAATAGCAAATTTTCGGGTTATATTTTTTAAGATTCCCACTTATAAATATACGTGTATAGAGGGTGTCTCAATAATATACGGTCGTACTTCAGTGAATCTACACACTAAAATAAGTAAAAAAAAGTGTCATATGAACATATATGTCCTATATACCTTAGTTTCCGAGTGATGGATGATTGAAGAAAATGTTCGAAGTGTCCGCCTCATGCCTCAACACACACTAGTTCACGTCATAGCATTGTGTTTCTGCAATCTCTCGAAAAAACGCCGAATAAATAAAATAAATATATGTATATACATATATACATATATATAAATATACAAATGAAGTCGATATCTTTATTGGTCTTTGAGTAAACACCTGTAAACACTTCATTTGGACCACACGGCGCACAAACACACACATTTTACTTTTTGCATTCAGTATTAACGAACGTAAATGTAAAAATATTTATTAACTCAAAATATATGTATTCTTATATATTTATATGATAATTATTTGGAATAACACCGACTTCAACGACACTGAAATATGTCGTCGGAAACATAATTTTAAGTAACAATTTTTCTCAATACTGTGCGTCATATATTAAATATTTGAGACGAGTGTAGGTTAGGCTTGGTACAAAATTATGTTGTTTTTATTGAAGTTGGTAAATTTCATTTATTTTCGTAAATGTTCTTCAATTTTGAATTAGATACAGTTGAATGATAGGCTCCGTTGGGATCAGTAATTGCTTCCTGTATTATCGACGGTCGAGTGCAAGTTAGTCGCGTCGCGTCCAGAGTGTGCGCAGTAGAGCGTATAAAACGATAAGCGAAACAGAATCGTCATGGACGCGAGAGAGATCGCAACTAAATGTACGTAATATCATTTTCACTTTGCCAAAGATTTGTAATTCAGTTCACTCGTTCGTCAAGGAAATATTCGTGGTCATATTTTTGTTTTTAAATACGTTGTTAGGGAGATTCTCTCGTGCGGCTTCTTTCTTGAACAACAAACTTTGCCTTGCGTGAATATTCGTTTCACCAAAGTTAACCTAAACCACCGATTGTGTTAGAATCGATTAAGTTTCATGTTTAATCCGTTGTGCATTGTTGGTTGTACCGACACACGTACGACCAAAATTGAACGTAATGGTAATAAATAAATTTTCAGAAATATTTTGAAAAGTTTTTAAACAACGTGTCTCCCAACAAAATACATATTTAAGCGTCATTGAAATCGGTGCTATGGAAATTTTTTCGAAATATGTAAGGATATTTATTGCACTTATGATTCGAAAAAAAAAAAGAATTTTAAATTCTCCCGCGTAATTTCACCCCCCGAGGATCAACCGTCCCGAATTTCATGCTGAGAAATATGGTCACCTTAGTAGTACACTTCGGAATAAAATTTCTAAAATATCAAAAATTTACTGTTAAATTTTCGTGTAATTAAAAGATACCTCCTCTTTACGATACCACTACAAATTTCATATTAGTATGTTCGGCCACCTCTGGGAAAAATTTTAATGGGAGATTCTAGAGGCCAAAATAAGACGAAAATCAAGAATACCAATTTGTTGATGGAGGCTTCGTTAAACAGTTATCAACAATTAAATTCAAAAATTTCAAATCGTTTTGGAAAAATTATTTTCGGTTGCGGGGGTCAATTACAATCATTTTTGGTGAATACACATACCCCCGAATTCCTACCCACTTTTTAGAAAAAAATTCTAGGTGTGAAATTTTTCGACGAAAAAAAAAAATTTCAAATCGTTCTGGAAAAATTATTTACGGTTGCGGGGGTCAATTGCAATCATTTTTGGTCGTTGCACATACCCTCGAAATCCTAAACACTTTTGAGAAAAAAATTCGAGTAGGTGCCGAAATTTTTGGGCGAATTTGAAAAGTTTCAAATAGTTTTGGAAAAATTATTCTCGGTTGCAGAGATCGATTACAATCATTTTTGGTCATTACACATACCCCCGAAATCATACGCATTTTCAAGAAAAAAATTCCTGACCGAAAATCTAATGTGAAGCCAGAAATGCACCCCCGAAATTTCATATGACTATTTAAAATGTCATAACTTTTGAACGGATCGAAGGATTTTAATGTTTGAAAAGCCAAATAATGCGTATTTCAGTGAAGAATATGTAGAAATTCTAACAATATTGAAAAAGTTATTCCTTGATCCCGTAAAATGAGAAAAACCCCATGAAAATGGTCCAATTTTCAAACAGCCATAACTCCTACAATAGTAAAGGTATCTCAATGAAATTTTTTTCTGTAACAGAGCCCATGAGTACCTACAAAAAAATATTAGACAACTTTTCTGTAGAGCGTGAAACAAATTTATTAAAAATGAAAAAGGAATTTAGGTGCCTAAATTTTTCGACGAAAAAAAAAAATTTCAAATCGTTTTGGAAAAATTGTTTTCGGTTGCGGGGGTCAATTACAATAATTTTTAGTGAATAGACCTACCCCCGAAATCCTACCCACTTTCTAGAAAAAAATTCAATACGGGGGAAACTTTAAACGTTAGTAACTTTCTAACGAAGCCTCCATCAACAAATTAGTATTCTTGATTTTCGTCTTATTTCGGCCTCTGGAATCTCCCATTAAAATTTTTCCCAGGGTTGGCCTAACACCCTGTACATTTATTCGCCTTATCGCAAATCAAATTAAAGAAGGTATCAATTAGTCGCTTTTCGTGAGCTAGCTCGCTAATTACGAATAAAATGACAAAAAAAAAAAACACGATAAAATGACATTGTGTTTATTTTATTTTTTGTGCCAACAAGTTGATATTGATTTGCAGAAAGGTGAATATGATCTGCAAAATGGTTAATTTGCCGTGCAAAACCTGTAATTTATTAATGTATGTAAGCATGTTCATGAAAATATAAATTACAAATGTAACTACTGATCCGTCGATGGGATCGTAATTTTGTATCAGTGTATCGTAATCGATGGATTTTGTTTTCCAAGTATCGTTAGACGTAAAAAAATTTTAATTTCGATAAAGGATTCAGCATACTTAAATAAATCTAAAATTTGCATGTATGATATATTTAGATCGTTGCTGGCAAGCATACGCCATCAAAAATGTTCAAACTTCTATTCACCAAGGATAAGGCTACGAAAACTCAAAATATTGACTTTTCAAAGTAACAATTTTACTACCAAACGATAGAAATAATTCAATATGTACTAACTAAGACAATCAAAATATTTGGCGTATTACGGATGGCGTTTTCCTCCAGGGAATACGAGCAAATCGTTACTAGCACATTTTTATTTTACCTCAAGAGTATCCTATTATCCCTCAGCCATCGTTTCGATTCGTTCGCACCAGCGAACATGTTAGATAATTCTTCTTGGTCTTTACTTCCTTGTATATGTATACGGCTATACCGCCAAAAAGATGAAAACATTTCGTAAGGATATCTTCCTTTCTGCGTTTATTAATCTTATTTCTTTGTTTTCTTTATTTATCTCAATACTCCAAAGAAAAATTTTCATTACAAACATTCAAACAAACAGAACGATACTTCAGTTTCTCGTTTATTAGTTTATATTGTGTTTCTTATTTTTAAATTTTATTTTATTCAATTCCCGTTCGAGTATTTTAATTGTGTTGATAAACTCGATTTTTACCATCAATTTACAGATCATTGTACGCGTGAAACATTTTTTACGGGGTTTCAAAAATAAAAATAATCCTTCGATTATTATATATACATAAATCATTAATTTCACATGAAAATTACGTATAGATGATTTAACTATTTACTGGCCAAGTTGACATTGTTACCGGGCGATAACGCTTCTTCGGAATGATAAACCTATTTGGTATAAAAAGCTATACACGATCACGCCACGAATCAATGAGACTTAAAATGGAACAGATTCATAGCGTTCGTCCATACGTTCGCTACAACTCCAATAATCCTACGACAACTCGGTCGAAATCTATTAGAAATTGTAAATAAATTTGACCCTGGGTTCGTCTGAAAAAGTACGCGATCCGGAAAAATATTATGTCAACGAAATGAAACCACTGCAGTCGTAGAGAGATGCTTGAAAAAAAATTCTGAAACGTCTATTTATGCGCCGTTAAATAATGCAACAAATTTTATACAGAAATCACGATCAAAGTATTCGTTACGCGACAACGAAAATTCGTTAATTTAAAAAAGAAAAAAAATAGCTTGGGGGAACAAAATTTGCGATTCGATCGTCGACGTAACAGTTTTTTTTCTTTAAATCCCGTCGATTACATTTTTTCACATGATCATAGATGTCACAGCACAATCAACACAATTCTCAAGAATGAAATTGCTACAAATCGATACATTGACTCACATAGTCTGACATCGGTTTAACACTTGCGCGAGGTCACGGAAAGGGTAATTCGAGAAACGATCGATGATTTTCTACGGTCGTCCACGGGCTTAAATTATTTTTGTGGTCCTAGACCGAAAGTGTGATCTGCGTCGCATGCATTGCGTCACGAGGGGAGGGGGGGGAAAAAAAAAGATGTGGCACTCCCTTGACGGTCGCACGACGACTGAGCAAGACGACCGACCGTGTGGACCGCCGGAGGAGCAACCAACCCCTTCTCCAGCCCGTATACATACGGTACTGTGCTCCGTTGACTTGGTGTCCCGCGAGGCGGCACACAACGATACGAGTCGGACCGCCCATTTATCTATCTCGCTCCCTTGCACTCAGGCAGTCTACGTGTGTGTGTGTGTGTGTGTGTGTGTAACTGCCGCGACGAATAGCGAACCAGAGTTCAATGCGTACGTGGGAATACGTGTATCCCTCCTACTTTTCTCGCATTCCTGCCACGGGACTTCAAGTCAGCGGAGTACAGTACACATAATGCGTTATCGAAGTGTACCGTATATGTATACAACCCATTTTTGCTGACGTAACCTTCTGCTCCGTTTTCACTTATTATCTACCTCGAGCATCGACTATTTACTATTTATTACGAATGTCGATTATGAGATAGAATCTTGGAAACTGTTGACAATACTAAAAAAAATGTTGAATGGTTTCGAGGGCCACATAATCTAATCTCATTCTTTCCTAAATGAACATGTAAAGAACTTTGTTTTCTCAAATGGAATCATATAGATTTTTGTTAGAATTTGTGCTACGCGCCACTATCATCAACGCGCCTTCACTTGTTCCTTTTCCTAACTTCAGTTTATTCCATATACCTTCATGCAATCGCTTATACATTGTATACACGTTTTTCCTATGTAGTTTGTAATTAAGTAAATGTAGTTGTTTTGTTCTACATCATGTTTCAATCTATTCATGCACCTATCGAAACAGGTTATGGGCCCAGGTGCTGCCCGTAAGTGAAAATATAAAATATCTAAACCTAACCTCAAAATGAGCCACGTGGGAGGTACGCAACACGTTGGAAAATTAGACGAATCAAATTACGAGTCACGGAAACTCCAGATGAAGAGTATATTGATCCGTAATGAATTTGTGGGAGTATACGAATGGAATTACACTTAAAGATGAAAGAAACCAAGTTCAATGGACAAGTAAGGATGAAAATGCATTAGCACTAATTTTCTTATCTGTATCCAAGAATCGATTAAACTGTATTAAAAAGTGTAATACATCATATGATGCTTGGAAACGATCAAGTAATATACACGAGTCCAAAGGCCCGGTAAGGAAAGCAGTTCTACATAAACAATTGTATCGCTTGAGAAAAGAGTCAAAACATGACACGATATATAAATAGTTTCCTAACTGTTTCGATAGACGCATGAAAAGATTGAAACAGGATGCAGAACAAAACAACTATATTTACTTAACCCTTTGCCGTACAATGACGAGTTTGACTCGTTACAAATTCTTAATGTCAAGTTTGTCATGAGGCTACTCGCTGGTCATTAAGTCTAATGTATTAAAATCATCACATTTTTACATTGACGAGGCGTTCCTAAAACAAATCTATTCTTTTTCATGGCCATTCCTTGTACGAGCAAATTTAAAAACATTTGAAAAATTATTTGGAATTAAATCGTACGCCAAGGTGTTAATTATGAGCTATATAGGTAAAACGCGTTGGCTATACAATATATAAGCAATTGCATGATGATATATAGAATAAACTGAAGTTAGGAAAAGAAATAAGCGAAGGCGTATGACACAAATTCAAACACATTTCCTATGCAAAAATATTATGTCACCCATGGCGAGAAAGCATCAGTTTAGAAGATATTTTAATTGTAATATTGTAAATTAGTGGCGTAACAAGAATATTATTAAAATATCCTCTGAATTAATGATTTCTCGCCCGTAAGTGATTCGGTAGTTTTATGTAAGGGGTCGCCCTAATTGATGTACATATAATTTCATTTAAGAAAAGAAACTTGACCTTCGTATGCCCCCCACGCGTCCATTTAGGAAAAGCTTACTTGCATCAGCAGGTTATGTATGACCTTTTACCTGAAACATTTGTCAATATCATGATCAGTTTCTAAGATATGTGATATATAGGTCAACCTGTAGATGGCATTAGATTTGTTCAGAATATTTTTCATAAAATTTAAATAAAATGGAATGAATCAAGTTAAGGGAAAAGAATGTTAGACAATTAACAAGCTGGTACATGAGTCAACCTGTAGATGGCGTTAGATTGTTCAGAATATTTTTCATAAAATTTAAATAAAATGGAACGCATTCAGAATGTTTGAATCAAGTTAAGGAAAAAGAAAGTTAGACAATTGTACGTTGCACTCGATGGGGAACGACAGGATTTTTAAGCAACGATTTTCATTGTACAAAAATACTACTTAATACAAACGTACATAATTTTTTCTCTGATAGAGCATAGAAAATAAATTCAACGACATTAACAGCTACGTCGGTTCCGATGATTTAATCTTGCAATATTTGCGTCTAAAGACAAATAAAATTTGTTACAGATTCGCGTGGCGTATCGATTCGTAAACATTAGCGGTACTTGGAAGCGATAAACCAGTGAGAACAATCGCTTAGTCTTCCTTCGTTTCTATTCCAAGTGTGAAAGCTAACAGAATGCGTTATACAGGGCAGGAAAAATATTCCATACAAAAGTTTGTTCTTTTTTTTTTTTACGTAGGATAACAATCTGTAAATAAAAATATAGGTTTCTACATTTAAAAAAAAAAAGTTATTTTTCAAACGTCCACCAAATAAAAAATAAATAATATATATTTTCCCCCTGAAACTAAAAAACTTTTGTATTTAATATTTTTGCCAAAATTGTTTTCGAGATACATGGATTTAAAGTTTTCAAATGAACGTTTAAGAGACACAATATACATAGTCGGATATTTCATAAACGGGAAAAATAATAGTATAATGATAACATTTATGCTGAGGACTATTTTTTACAAAAAAAAGTAAGAATGGATTGAATTGCATAATTTTGCTTCGTTTTGCAAGGGATATTTCTTATTATATAAGATTAAGGTTTCCTCAAGTTATGTCACTTGTTATGTAGGGTTTCACCTTTTTTCGGATACTACAAATTGGATTTCAAAGTATCGCTTCGACATTTGAAACAAGATAAACTGCACAGTGATCAATTCGTAATACAGGCTTACGAAGCGCGTAACACGTAACAACAGAACATTTTCGGAAATATTTAACTATATTTTATAATAGAGTCGATTGGACAAATTTTATTCGAATGACAGCGAATAAAAATAATAAAACAGTTTGAAAACTAATTTCCGTTTACGTTTCGTACGTGAATTAATTTTGCAAATTACAATTTAAAAATGCCTATAACATGACAAATAAATCTAAAGGGGGATGTTAAAAAAGCATATTTTTGGCATTGCCTGAAAATGAAAAATTCATAAAAATTACTAGAAGTTCCAAATTTTAAAGTTACTGGATTTAAAAATTCCCTATAGCACTTTCTCCTACGCTAAAGTTTCGTTTAAGATTTTCTGTGTGTCGGTAAATTAGTATGTTTCGCTTTACTTTGATAGCATGCTTTGCAATGTGTATAATTCAGACCAGTAATAGTTCTTACGTGCTAGTTTTTTTTAGGGACATATTACTGTTAGCACTAAAGCGCCACCTAGAGTTCTTCTGACGTACTTACTATTACACCGTGTGTCTTTTGTCCGTAACGAAGCCTCGTGCTCGTTAAATGTGTGTTACTGAGAGGAAGTCGAGTTTTGCTCATTCGAATCCCCAAATTTCCACGATTACAAGATACACAAATCTTATCCGTTTGCTATTTGCACAGAATTTTTGACAGGATTTAACACTGTTTGACGCTACAAATTCAGATTAATGTGGCGAGACCTCAAACGAACGTAAACAAGTTCTTATCTTAAACTCGATATTAACTGTAACATGGGATCCTCAACATAAACAAATATTCGAGTACAAGAGCATGGGCAGACCTCACAACCGGGGCAGAAAACAGTTATGATTGTTTTTGGTTATCATAAAGCTACATCTCTTTACTTTGATTTGCCACAATTTGTTGTTACTTTAAAAATATACAAATGTATGTATTTTTGGTGATAATAATTGAAAGTTATTGAACGTATAATGGATACACGTATCCACCAGTGCTCGCAAAGCGATGAACACGTTGTGAGTGTTGCTCTCACGTAGTATTGATTATTCGATACTTCGAATTTCCTGGATTTCAAAGCCAAAATTCATCTGTCCGTAATTTCCCGACTAATTTTTAATTTTCCTAAACTTTCTCATAGTTTATTCGAAGAAATGGTGACATTTTTTGTTCCCTAGAAAAATCCTGAATGAATTTTTCATTTCCAAGCGATGCCAAACAATGGTAATTAAATAAAATTTTCCCAAAAGCTAATCTAAAAGATGTGGACTGTTTATAAAACGTACACCTGGTATGATTTAGAATTGGAATCAACGACGATTGAATTACTACTCTTAATTTTCAATTGAAATTAACGATTACGTTATTTTTAATTATTAATCGAAATTAACGATTAAAATTATTTTGATTATTAGTCGTGTAGCGTCGCCTCCCATGCTCGCCACCAGAGGGATCGCGCTCTCACAAGCGCTCCACCGACCCCTCGATTGCTATATACAGGGTGTTCGGCTACTCTTGGGAAAAATTTTAATGGGACATTCTAGAGGGCAAAATAAGACGAAAATCAAGAATGTCAATTGGTTCATTACTAAGTTATTAAAAAATTTGAAACATTCTGGAAAAATTATTTTTGGTTACGGGGCTCAATTACAATCATTTTTGGTGAATACACATACCCCTGAAATCCTATCCACTTTCGAGAAAAAATTCGAGTAGATACTGAAATTTTTAGACGAAATTAAAAAATTTCAAATTATACTGAAAAAATTATATTTAGTTACAGAGGTCAATTATAAGCATTTTTGGCGAATAGTGATACCCCGAAATCTTACGCACTTTCGAGAAAAAAATTCAGAAATGCTACCCTAAAAATGCGTATCTTTAAAATGTCATAACTTCTTAACGGATTGGAGGATTTTAATTTTTCAAGATGCGAACAACGCATATTTTAGTGGAGAATATGTAGAAATTCTAACAATATTGACAAAAGTTGTTCCTTGACACCGTAAAGTGAAAAAAACCTCCCAAAATTGGTCCAATTTTCAAACGCCCATAACTCTTACAATAGTAAAGGTATCTGATTGCAATTTTTGTCCGAAGCAGAGCCAATAGATACCTATAAAAAACTATTAGACAACTTTTCTATACGGCGTCAAATAAAATTACTAAAAATCAAAAACGAATTTTTAAGAAAAATCCCTCAATTTTTCGACGAGAAAAAAAATTTCAAATCGTTCTGAAAAAATTATTTTCGGTTGCGGGGGTCAATTACAATCATATTTGGTGAATACACATACCCTCGAATTCCTAAGCACTTTTGAGAAAAAAATTCGAGTAGGTGCTTTTTTGTGCGAATTTGAAAAGTTTCAAATAGTTTTGGAAAAATTATTTTCGGTTGCAGAGATCGATTGCAATCATTTTTGGTCATTACACATACCCCCGAAATCATACGCATTTTCAAGAAAAAAATTCCTGACCGAAAATCTAATGTGAAGCCAGATATGCACCCCCGAAATTTCATATGACTATTTAAAATGTCATAACTTTTGAACGGATCGAAGGATTTTAATGTTTGAAAAGGCAAATAATGCGTATTTCAGTGAAGAATATGTAGAAATCCTAACAATATTGAAAAAGTTATTCCTTGATCCCGTAAAATGAGAAAAACCCCATGAAAATGGTCCAATTTTCAAACAGCCATAACTCCTACAATAGTAAAGGTATCTCATTGAAATTTTTTTCTGTAACAGAGCCCATGAGTACCTACAAAAAAATATTAGACAACTTTTCTGTAGAGCGTGAAACAAATTTATTAAAAATGAAAAAGGAATTAAGGTGCCTAAATTTTTCGACGAAAAAAAAAAATTTCAAATCGTTTTGGAAAAATTATTTTCGGTTGCGAGGGTCAATTACAATAATTTTTAGTGAATAGACCTACCCCCGAAATCCTACCCACTTTCTAGAAAAAAATTCAATAAGGGGGAAACTTTAAACGTTAGTAACTTTTTAACGAAGCCTCCATCAACAAATTATTATTCTTGATTTTCGTCTTATTTTGGCCTCTAGAATCTCCCATTAAAATTTCTCCCAGGGTTGGCCAAACACCCTGTATGCACAATCCTCGACCGACTTCCCAATAAGCAGAGCCTGCTAGAAAGCCTTACTGAAGAGTCCTACTACGAAATTCTCCGAGTTCCCACCCGCAGCAAAGCGGCGCCACAATCGCGATTAACGATTAACAGTAATAATACAATCGTCGAAAGAATAAATTGATTAATGTTTTAACTATTGACCAATTTAGCAATTATACATGTTTAACAATTATTGATCGTATTAGAAAGTAACAATTTAATCGTGAAAAATGAAAATTGAAATTGATTTTACTTACTTAACGGTCAATTGCCTTTGTATCAAGAGCTTCTTTTCGATTTGTTCGATCGGAAATTGTGGAACTTCGTAGGGGGCTGAAATTTCATTGGGTAACTCGTGCGGGACGAGTCTCAATGAGGTTCCACCACCTGTAGCTGTCGCGTTACCTTCCAAACCGAATACTGGACTTTCGCTTCCTGTAACGAAAAATTATATAGTACAGATCCAATGTGTTTTTTTCTTCATATACGTTGAACTCTATTTTAAATTTTATTTTAAATTTTACAATTATTAAAGGAAAATTAGGATTCGTTAAATTGTTTTCTTAGCTCGAATTATATATTTTTACGATTTATTTATCATCGTGAACGCATAGCGTATACTTTCATTGTTATAATAATTCCTAACGTAAATATACAACGTTACGTTGCGTCCGAAAAATTACCATTGTTCTCTGCTTGCTCAGTTTTCTGCAACCATTCCGTTACCGAATTTCGTTTACATCCCGTCAAGTATTCATTATCATTACCCAGTACCATCTTGTGACTCGTTTTATGCGTCTAGAAAGATTTTTCTCAATTTTAATTATCGACTTTATCTAATTTTTACTATTCGTGATTCGAACCTGCTGATCGTCGTATTTTGATGCATCGATGCAACTGCATCCCTTTTTCAAACGGAACTCTATAATTTTCATTAGATTGTTCGATGCAGTTTTTTAAAATCTTTACAAAAAACTATTAAGATACTTAAACCCTAAATCTAATAGTTCAAGAGTTACAATACTTTAAAATTTATACAATGAAATTTGAAAATGTTTGAGACACAACATATACCATATTTCGTTTCTAATTTTCGACAACAGTTTACGCAAAATACGTACGCAGAGCAAATGATTTAATGTTAGCTCGAAGACATAATTGTAGTCAAATATACAGGGTGTTCAGCCATCCATGGGAAAAATTTTAATGGGGGATTCTAGAGGCCAAAATAAGACGAAAATCAAGAATACCAATTTGTTGATGGAGGCTTTGTTAAAAAGTTATTAACGTTTAAAGTTCCGCTCGTACTGAATTTTTTTCTCGAAAATGCGCAAGATTTCGGGGATATGTCTATTCACCAAAAATTATTGTAATTGACCCCTGCAACCAAAAATAATTTTTCCAAAACAATTTGAAATTTTTTTTTTTCGTCGAAAAATTTAGGCACCTAAATTCCTTTTTCATTTTTAATAAATTTGTTTCACGCTCTACAGAAAAGTTGTCTAATATTTTTTTGTAGGTACTCATGGGCTCTGTTTCAGAAAAAAATTTCAACGAGATACCTTTACTATTGTAGGAGTTATGGCTGTTTGAAAATTGGACAATTTTCATGGGGTTTTTCTCATTTTACGGGATCAAGGAATAACTTTTTCAATATTGTTAGAATTTCTACATATTGTTCACTAAAATACGCATTATTTGCCTTTTCAAACATTAAAATCCTTCGATCCGTTCAAAAGTTATGACATTTTAAATAGTCATATGAAATTTCGGGGGTGCATTTCTGGCTTCACATTAGATTTTCGGTCAGGAATTTTTTTCTTGAAAATGCGTATGATTTCGGGGGTATGTGTAATGACCAAAAATGATTGCAATCGATCTCTGCAACCGAGAATAATTTTTCCAAAACTATTTGAAACTTTTCAAATTCGCCCAAAAATTTCAGCACCTACACGAATTTTTTTCTCAAAAGTGCTTAGGATTTCGAGGGTATGTGTATTCACCAAATATGATTGTATCAAATTGGTATTCTTGATTTTCGTCTTACTTTGGCCTCTAGAATCCCCCATTAAAATTTTTCCCAGGGGTGGTCGAACACCCTGTACAACATAGTATAAATCGCAAAACGTTTTTACTATTTTAATAAAACTTAAAATACAGGAGAGATTCATTTAGAGATAATATTAAAAAGTAACCGTTCTAAAATAGTTAACTCCAGAAATGAAGTGACAATAAATGGAAGAAATAAAAGTAATAAGAAAGCCATATGTCAACCACACGAAATACTGCTTTAGGTGATACAGTTTATCGTCCTTCCACAAGAATACGGCACAGCGTGTTTACATCCCCACTCTTGCTGCAGTCCGCTGATTGGCTGTCACCGATTTTCGTCACCGTTTTCGACCAATACCCGTGAGTCACAGCAAGAGTGGAGATGTAATCACGCTGTGCCTTCTTGTTATGGAAGAATGGCACTTATAACCTATAACTCGAAATATCCATTAGCGAATGAATCTTTTATAAGCAAGCTTTACGATCAAACGAAATATTAAATCCAAGCAACAATTTTATCTAGTAACTGTTGGTTGCAGAATTTTGAACGGCGACGAAATAACAGTTAGACATATTTGACGCCCTCCATTCTTTAAATAGTGTTATTAAATAAGCACAACCGGAAGCGAATAAAAATAATTTGGAATGTTCCAGTATTTGTAAAATCCTTAAATGAATGTAATTAATTCTTTTTATAATTAACAAATTTATAACGTTTATATTTGTTAATTTTACTTTTTAACCAAATTATTGTCTTCGCAAGTAATTTCCAAGTTTATAAACATTGTAATGTTGCTAGATTTTGATGAACGAAAAAGAACTCTGGTCGTACGAACGAAAAATTTTAAGCAGCGGGGATTTATCGGGATATATTTTTTGTTTTTACATTTATAATTTTCATTCACGCTCTCGAGTAAACACCGAGCATCGGTTTATAAGGTATCAGCGTTATCAGACGTCGATAAAAAATAATAACAAAATCAATATGCATGCTGACGTCATTTCTTTTCAACATGGCGGCCAATGGTATGAAATGAAGTATTTTTAAATATGAAAAACTCCTCAGCCCATCCGTTTGCGTTTCTTGGAATCTACTTATCTTGAAAATCTTTGGTACAATAAACTTTCTTGTTTTATTGTATCTTTTGCTTATCAATCTTTAAAATTTCATTGTAAACTCTATTTGTCAGATAAAAGGTTGTTACTTTTCCTTGCAAGTACGCAGAGTAGTTTTGAATATATGAAACTATCGATTTAGCTAATGATCTTTACATCGTCTCAATTCTTTCCAGCGAAGTATATAATAGTTTGCGTTAATGATTATTTACACAAACATTTTATCTTTATACTTTTGTTTCATTTTCAGACCAATTTATTCAAAGTACATTCAATTAGAATAGTTATAAAAAAGAGGTTCGTTGGAATCCACTAAATCTTATTACTATTTTAATTTCCCTTAAAAAAACTAGCTTGTAGGTCGCTCGAATCAATTCTTTTGTTTGGTTAAACTCGATTCAATTTCTTACAAATGTCTATATATTATGAAAGCTAATCGACTCTAATTAAGAAAAAGATCGTAATTACAAATTGATAAATATTTATACGGATAATTATGTTTAGCATTATTACAATTAAAATTTCCCACTGTTATTATCGATAAACCTGTGCTGCTCCGTTAAAGGAAATATCCATTTTCCTCCGTTGGCTAATAAACTTTCTGTGAATACGCATTATAGACTTTTATAATGAAAGTAATATATATAGATTATTAATACTGTTTTACTAATCTTAACAAGGAATATTTCCAATTAATTTTAAGTGATGTACAAAAATGTTAGTCACGAAATATTTAAACCTTTGCATGCTATTTGTGCAATATTTAACTTGCACTAATAGAAACTGATTCAACAAATAAACAAAATTTAAAGTATAAACATTTATGAACTTTTATCTGTATTTGTTAGTTACAGAAAAATCGTCAGATGTACATATGAACAATTGTGTTTCTAAACTGTGCAGTCGTAAGAAATTGTTAGTTCTTGTTCTTGGTAAGAAAAGCGAGACGCGCGAGGATTACTGAACGTTTCTGCGCAGTATTGCTCCTCCGTCGTCCCATAATCGAATTAGTCGAACATGTACCGTTTTCGTATCTATAAAAAGATTTTTTGCGCATATATTTAGATGAACCGGTTCCAGTTAGCAATGTCAACTCGTTAACTTTCATAAGAAAAATGTCTAGCTTATATCATTGACGGTATAATTCCAAGAACGTTAAAAAAAGACCTTGGATGCAATACCGCCGACTACCAAAAATAAATCGTATCGATTTGTTTACGTACTTTCCATAGTTCACACTTCCAGATAAGATATGACATACAAGATAATTTGTCAAGCGTATCACAAAGAAAAGAAAGAACAAACGGCACTATTTCATCGTAAAGCGAACATCATATTTTCAACGATGAAAAGAAATAAAAAAAATATATAATGTCCGTGAAAAACATTGCATCGTTAATAATATTTCGATCATTTGCACGTTCACGTTAATAAACGCAATTAAGAGCAAAGAGTCACGACCAAACGTTTACCGTTTGGTAAAATTTCAATTGTATTAAAGAATTTTAATCGTGCACGTGAAAACTTGTTAAGGAACATAAACGATCAACATTTCGAAGATTCTTAGAAATTTAATTAATAGTACCACGCTCTTGTCGTTTCGTACCGTCAATTGTGACTTTAAATTGCAACGCGACACGAACACACAAATATATCACGCACGTTTCTCGACGGAAATTGACACTTTTATTCGACGAAATATGTGAGAAAAACTCTTCCGAACCGACGGTAGAAGGAACGAGGCGCGCCTAGTTCGTACTTTAGAGGGCACTGACCACCTTAACTCGTCGCAAGCGTCGAATACACTAACTATAAGCTATAATCTGTAACGTGGAGTTAGCGCTTGGCAGAGTCTACCAGGTAGACATCCTAGAATTATTTTTCACGTATCTCTATATACTGAATGCAGCACGGGTACTTGAGGAGGTTCTGTGCCACCATGGGGGCAGAAATTACCATAGACGCCACCCCGTCGGTGATTTAGGTACTACGTTTCTGGGCGGTCAATTCAAAAATAGATATTCATATGTAGGTTGCAGATATGATATTCTGGGTCTCTTAAAGGCCAAATTGATCAACTATGAAAAATACGAGGTAAAAGAAATCGATACTATAAACATTATTTAACATTTGACATTATTCATTTGAAATTGAATTTACTGAAAACGAAGTTGTTCAATTTGTCTTCCGAGGGGCTCATCTATCTATCTATCTTCTCTTCTATATATATAAAAATAAGTTGTCCTATGTTCGTGATTTTATAACTCGAGAACCACTCAACCGATTTTCAAACGAGTACATGCGTTGGAAAGGTCTACTTTCACTGATGGTTTATAAAAAAAAATACATCGAAAAATTTCTACGAATATGCGTTATACGCGCACTTTTATGATGGTGTGTTTCCCCTATATAAAATGTATTTTTTTTTCTTTGTTCGCGCAAAACTCAAGACCTATTGAACCGATCTTCCTCAAATTTTGACACGTTATTCCTGCATACTCTAGGACGGGCATAGGCTATGTAGCATGTCTCAGAAGCGCGTTATTAACATGTAATTTATATGCAAAGATTTCATGTGTACGACTGTTGGCAGACCACGTGACCCCTGTATACGACGGTCTACTTGCGCGCGCATGCACATATTCGAGCCCGCGCGATACCCCGCCCGTAGCAGTACTGCGATGTTACCGCCAGGTGGCGAAGCTTCTCGAGCGCTTTCTCGCGAGAGAATTGCATTATCGCGGATATGTATGTCAGGACGATCGTCTGGTTACAAATTGCTTTTGCACAAGTTCGGGCGTAGCCGTGACGGGGCATGCTAGTATAATGATATACGAGATATGTACATAAACAAATATTGTTTATTAAGCATAGAATCTTAAAAAGTGGAATACTATCTATATTATTATTCTTGTAAAATTAAATATAAAGAATATATACATTCTTTTCGATTGAAATAACAAAACATTTCACACAGAATATAGGATATAAGTATATTGTTTATAAGTGTATAAGTGGTTTAACATACAATTTTAGATCTATAAAATCAATATTTCTTACAAATATTAGACATATTTATAAATTATATGTGGATTTGAAATTTACAGTATGTGCATACTAATATAGAAATATAACATTGCATTAAGTTAAAAACACAGTTTGGTGATGCTGCAAAATTTGAAGTGGCTGCATCTGAAAAAGAATAATTTGATAAATTCACGATTAACAAAAGATTTTTATCAGTCTTTAGGTGTAGTATACGTTTATAAATTCTGTGCCAAGATTTCAGACTTTCTCGTTTTTTGGAAATCTAAACAATACATTATTAAATTAAAATACTATACAGGGTGTTCGGCCACCCTGTATATTACTCCCTTATCCTAGAGCCAAAATAACGATCTACAAAATTCACGGATAATTTTACGTTTAACTGATACTCACTTGTGAAAGAATACTTACGGCGTCGGCCATTTCCTTTTACAAATTACACACCTAACCATACAAGATATTTTAAATCACACTCACTATTATATCGCAATGAATTTACTCTACTCTCAGCGTTGCTGTTGACAACTAGCGCGTAAATTTTTATAACTTCCTGCTCGAAAACTATGCAACGCGAAAAACTGCAAAAGAGCACATTACGGCGTCTCGAACAAAAAAATAAAAACCGAAAAGTTACCCCCACCTTGTGTAATAGTATCGTCCTTCCACGAGAAGAAGGCGCAGCGTGTTTACATCCCCACTCCAGTTGCAATTCGCTGACTCACGGGCATTGGTCGAATACGGTGACGAAGATCGGTGACAGCCAATCAGCGAACTGCAGCCAAGAGTGGGGATGTAAACACGCTGTGCTTCTTCTCGTGGAAGAATGATACCTTAGACACCCGATGGGGTGACGTTGCTGATATTTTCTCAATTTTCGGTACCCATGGTGGCATAAAAATTTTCGATTTCAACCCACATCGCATCCAGATTGAATATCCATCCAGTGTGCGTATCATACACTAAAGTTGTAGGCGCTTAAATAATAGCCGAGTGCATCGTAAACATAACCTAAATTTATTAGAATGGCTTCTCGTGATAAGTACATGTTTCATTGTCTAATTAATTCTAAATAAATTCTGATACAATTTAATAAATATAGTACAGTGCAAATTTATTCTTTATAGAATTAATTACCTATGCGTGTTGCTGTGTTTCCAATTGTAAGGAAAATGATGACAACAGTTTACAATCTACTGATTCATGTGTTTTTATTTCCGAAGAACGAAGAATTGTAGATTTTGCATTTTATAGTTTTCATTTTGCTGAGAATAATGTTGTACAGAGCCTGTGCTACTCTAAAAATTTATCTTGAAAGATACAGATAAAAAAGTTATTCAAAAATTTGAAGATTCAAATCTGGATCCTACGTTTTATAGAGATAATGAATATTCCTACAGAAAAACTTGTAATTTTACAAACTTGACTACGACGATGATCTTTTAACCCCTAAAGCTCAAATTGTAATTGATGGAAAAATGTAATTATACGTTTTTCGTGATGGTAACGATCAGTTCCGAGCAAAGTTTATCTCGTGTACTAATTTAAAAATAATCATTTCAATTGATCTTAAGTTCTTCTTGTAGTCAATTAATACGAGTCACCGAATGATTTGAAATAGATGGTACACGTTGACGTGAAATTATCTAGGTCAGGTGATGATTTACAGTTACTATCGTTTCTTTTATCATTGTTACAACCAACAAATACAATTTTTTCTCGCATCAGATCGACGTACTATAACTCCTATTTAGAATTTCCAAATTCTTCCCTCTAATTGCACGTATGTTCATTATTCATTTTGCAGCGTACATCTATCAGCATTTGAAGCTAAATTACCATATTTTTTACCCCTGTATTTGGCTTGTATCCTTTAAAGCATGATCTCTGTAAAGCCTCAAATTATGAAATGGTAACAGACTTCTTGATTCATTCTGGTAGAAGAAATTAATCTTACAGAGTCTTTCATTTCCTGTAAAACTATCTTCGCGTTTCTCTTGGTCGCGATAAGATGTACTAATCCATTAAAATTTATTAAACAGAAATTTGTATCAAGATGAGAGACTACTCCACGTGTGATGTTCGATCTATGTGATTGGACGCGGAACGATCTATATCAAAGTACGAATGTCTGGATCAGGAAGTAATAATAACAACGATCTGAAGAAAATGAAATTATTGATGCCCGATCTTCGATCGTCGTAAATGGTCCGTAACGTATTTTAAGTACTGTTATATATGATTTTCAAAATAACAGTAATTTTAGAATTGTTTTGCATTCAGTATCGAGTTATAAATAACGGATTCTATTTCTTGATGCAAACCGTTTTTAACTTAATTTATAATACAATGTTTACCTTCGTCTTCAGGATCTATAAGAAAATTCGGCAGCCGTAAGGAAACATAAAGGTCATCTTCCATCGACGTAACGCCTCTGCTCGACATTTTTCAACTTTTAGTTTCTCCCCGCACGCCACTTTAAATTGTATTTCCAATAAAACTACGAATAAGTTTTTTTTTTCTTCTTTTTTTTTCGACTCTGAAGTATACACCCGATTGCCGTGTTTTCTTCGACGACTATAAACTCTGGTCTCGGCCGTAGCGTTGCCGTTAACTGAATTTAATGTACAGACGTAAAACTCCGGTACCAAGTATAATTATCTGTTTGACGTTATGACACGTATGTACTAACTGCTTTGCTCAAATAAATATTACTCGATGCGTACGGTGCTCATGATTTGTGCAGGGTACATGGCCAAGTCGTTTAAATTCATTTATTATCGATACGATACTCGATTAGTAAATTTTTGAACAAGTTACGGGCGACACGGTTCGCTCGATTGCACGAATTTTTTAAATAATATGCCGAAAATATGTCGTAACGAGATTACATAGAGGACGGTTTTATAATACGTATGCATCGATACGGAGAAAATTATTCAAAGGCGGATGAGCGTCGTTCTATTAATCGGCAAACGAGGTTAATACAAGTTGTCTTATTTCTATTCGCGTACTAAAACTTCGAAGCAAGCTAGCATACTGCGCGCGAACGGCCAGAGAATCTCTGTACAGTGGCAAAAATACTATTTGATGCAAGAGGGAAAGAGAGCGACCTCGAAAGAAAGAAAGATGTCGGCTCTTTGCCAAATATCAGAAACGCTACCTGACGATACTACTATCAAATACGCTAACTTCATAGACGTACGTATAACAGTAGTATTATATCTAATAAATAATAGTATGCTACATGCATGTAATCTACAAAACATTAATATTATCGCGTTCTACGTTCAGGCTTTATTTTTCTGAATAAATTTCGTCGGGGCTACTGTTTAAACAGGGCATGTTATTATTATTTTGTTATTTGAATAGCTCTTATCGAACCGAATAACGTTTACTTGAACCATTTTTTTTTTTATCATTCGTCGGTACAGAGATAAGGCAAAAAATGAAAACTGACTCCACAAATATGTACGTTCAAGGATATGTACGTAAGTATTCTAGCTGAAAATACGAAGATAATTTTCTGGTACATTTAGACAACGATACTGGTCTTGTTTAGATTTTCTACAGAGATGAACAGACCCATAGTCTTCCTTGGAAACGAAATGCGCTACGAAACTTGTTAAACATGACAACGATGATCGCTACAGTTTTGGCAACAGTAAATGTTGATTCACGCTCGAGAATATTTGGCAACTAGTTATGAGAATTAATGTACTTCGATTTTAAGGTCGACATTTTAATGTGGACAAACAGATTAAATTCGGCCAATTTCAATAACATATTAATCTAATCTAGCTTATGTGTGCATAGTGCCGCACTCGTTCCGGACCACAAGTGGCCCTTCACTAGGCGACGATATAGCTAAACCTAACCCAATCACTAAATCTAATTACTTAATTTAATCAGTACTCCGACAATTGGTTTTAGTGATTTGGTTAGGTCTGGCCACTTGTTATTTCGACAGATATACGGCCATACTACTATACTAGTGAATTTTCCCTCTAATGACTACTACAAGCTTCAGCTGATCTCTGCTGACTGTTGCTGACCACTTCTGATACTTTTGACAACGTATAACGATTACTACTGACTTCTACCTGCTTCCGCTGACCTCTGTTGACCGCTGCTGACCATTCCTGATACTTTTGACAACGTATAACGATTACTACTTGCTACTGCTTACTCCTGCTGGTCTCTGCATGCCTCTGCATCCCTTTACTAGCCTCTGCTGGCCCCTGCTGGCTCTTGCTGACTATATGTATTAAAGCTTTGTATAATGTAAATCTATAAATGATATAATTTCGAAGAATTCTATGTGTTCTCATCATTTTTACCTCCCTTTCCCTCTCCAAATCTTTCCCTTAGTTATAAGAAACCGTTTTTCCAGTTAAAACTGGATTCCCATAGTGCCCAGAACGTTTTCTGAAATGCCGGTGACCATGACCTTGATCTTGGCCCACTTTCGAAATTGGGTCAAGGCCATCCGGATTTCCAAAGTGTCTGGAATTTTTCTAAAATTCGAATGGCCTTGACCTTGACCTTGACTCACTTTCGAAATTGGGTCAAGGCCATCCGGGGTTCCAGTCTCCGGATTTTTTCTGAAATTCGAATGGCCTTGACCTTGACCCACTTTCGAAATTGGGTCAAGGCCATCCGGATTTCCAAAGTCTCCGGATTTTTTTCTGAAATTCGAATGGCCTTGACCTTGACCCACTTTCGAAATTGGGTCAAGGCCATCCGGATTTCCAAAGTCTCCGGATTTTTTCTGAAATTCGAATGGCCTTGACCTTGACCCACTTTCAAAATTGGGTCAAGGCCATCCGGGGTTCCAAAGTGCTTGGAATTTTTCTAAAATTTCCAATGGCCTTGACCTTGACCTTGACCCACTTTCGAAATTGGGTCAAGGCCATCCGGGGTTCCAAAGTGCTTGGAATTTTTCTAAAATTCGAATGCCCTTGACCTTGACTGATTTTCGAAATTGGGTCAAGGCCATCCGGGGTTCCAAAGTGCTTGGAATTTTTCTAAAATTTTAATGGCCTTGACCTTGACCTTGACCCACTTTCGAAATTGGGTCAAGGCCATCCGGGGTTCCAAAGTGCTTGGAATTTTTCTAAAATTCGAATGGCCTTGACCTTGACTTTGACCTTGACCCACTTTCGAAATTGGGTCAAGGCCATCCGGGGTTCCAAAGTGCTTGGAATTTTTCTAAAATTCTAATGGCCTTGCCCTTGGCCTTGACCCACTTTCGAAATTGGGTCAAGGCCATCCGGGGTTCCAAAGTGCTTGAAATTTTTCTAAAATTCGAATGGCCTTGACCTTGACCTTGACCCACTTTCGAAATTGGGTCAAGGCCGCCCGGATTTCCAAAGACTCCGGATTATTTCTGAAATTCGAATGGCCTTGACCTTGACCCACTTTCGAAATTGGGTCAAGGCCATCCGGGGTTCCAAAGTGCTTGGAATTTTTCTAAAATTCTAATGGCCTTGCCCTTGGCCTTGACCCACTTTCGAAATTGGGTCAAGGCCATCCGGGGTTCCAAAGTGCTTGAAATTTTTCTAAAATTCGAATGGCCTTGACCTTGACCTTGATCCACTTTCGAAATTGGGTCAAAGCCATCCGGATTTCCAGTCTCCGGAATTTTTCTAAAATTCGAATGGCCTTGCCCTTGGCCTTGGCCCACTTTCGAAATTGGGTCAAGGCCATCCGGAGTTCCAAAGTGCTTGGAATTTTTCTAATATTTCGAATGACCTTGACTTTGACCTTGACCCACTTTCGAAATTGGGTCAAGGCCATCCGGGGTTCCAAAGTGCTTGGAATTTTTCTAAAATTCTAATGGCCTTGCCCTTGGCCTTGACCCACTTTCGAAATTGGGTCAAGGCCATCCGGGGTTCCAAAGTGCTTGAAATTTTTCTAAAATTCGAATGGCCTTGACCTTGACCTTGACCCACTTTCGAAATTGGGTCAAGGCCGCCCGGATTTCCAAAGACTCCGGATTATTTCTGAAATTCGAATGGCCTTGACCTTGACCCACTTTCGAAATTGGGTCAAGGCCATCCGGGGTTCCAAAGTGCTTGGAATTTTTCTAAAATTCTAATGGCCTTGCCCTTGGCCTTGACCCACTTTCGAAATTGGGTCAAGGCCATCCGGGGTTCCAAAGTGCTTGAAATTTTTCTAAAATTCGAATGGCCTTGACCTTGACCTTGATCCACTTTCGAAATTGGGTCAAAGCCATCCGGATTTCCAGTCTCCGGAATTTTTCTAAAATTCGAATGGCCTTGCCCTTGGCCTTGGCCCACTTTCGAAATTGGGTCAAGGCCATCCGGAGTTCCAAAGTGCTTGGAATTTTTCTAATATTTCGAATGGCCTTGACCTTGACCTTGACCCACTTTCGAAATAGGGTCAAGGCCGCCCGGATTTCCAAAGACTCCGGATTATTTCTGAAATTCGAATGGCCTTGACCTTGACCTTGACCCATTTTCGAAATTGGGTCAAAGCCATGCGGATTTCCAGTCACCGGAATTTTTCTAAAATTCGAATGGCCTTGCCCTTGGCCTTGACCTTGACCTTGACTCACTTTCGAAATTGGGTCAAGGCCGCCCGGATTTCCAAAGACTCCGGATTATTTCTGAAATTCGAATGGCCTTGACCTTGACCTTGACCCATTTTCGAAATTGGGTCAAAGCCATCCGGATTTCCAGTCTCCGGAATTTTTCTAAAATTCGAATGGCCTTTCCCTTGGCCTTGACCCACTTTCGAAATTGGGCCAAGGCCATCCAGATTTCCAAAGTGTTTGGAATTTTTCCAAAATGTTGGCGGCCTTGAGAAGAAGTGGCATGTATCTTATAACTAAGGGAATGATTTGGAGAGGAAAGGAAAGGTAAAAAATGATGGCAACACATAGAATTCTTTGAAATTATATCATTTATTGCCATAAATTTACATTATACAAAGCTTTAATATGTATGTATCATGTCAAAAGTTGTCAACAAAGGTCAGCAGTGATCAGCAGGGGCCAGCAGAGGTCAGAAGAGGTATGCAGCGGCAAGCAGGGACCAGCAGGGGCAAGCAGTAGCAAGTTGTAATCATTATACGTTGTCAGAAGTATCGGGAATGGTCAGCAGCAGTCAGAAGAGGTCACTGGAGGTCTGTAAGAAAATTCAAAACTACATGTAGTCGTGCCTTGTACCTCGTATTTTTACCTTATGCTTCAGGTAAAAGGGGGTATAATTTGGTAAAACAGTTTTATGACATTACCTGCTAATTCAAATTACTGTTCTGGAATTAAACGCTATGTTTTGTACCTGTGCCTCGAAACATATCGAGGAAAATCATTATTAATTAATTTCTGTAAGAATTCATTCTTCTGTTTTGTTCATATTATAAAAATAAGAACACTTCTTAGTGAAAAATACTACAGTGTGCACGATACTGGCAAAGAGTGGACACTCATTTTAATTTATTAATTTTCAATCTTAAAGTATTTTGTTTTTGAAAAATCGTATTAATAATATACACATGTACGCTCATACATAGGAATAATGAAAAAAAATTTCTTTTTTTTCAATAGTTAAAATATGATTAGGGGGTCTTAAAACGTGTATTTCCATAAAAAAAATTTCACAAAATTTTTTTCTCATTATGGTACTTTGCTTATGTGAACCTACGTAGATCGGAAATTAAAAATGCCTGAGCAGTTGAGATTCCTAGTCGCATGCCGTTGACGCGAAGTCGGATTTCAGTTATTCGAGAGCGAGAAGGCAAATGTGTTTCCCTCTCGACTCCCACGAAGCGGTCCGAAACTACTTCGGGCAGCTTCGGAGAATCGAGGAAGAGGGCATGTGTCAGTTTGTCTTTGTCGACTCTCCGAAACTCTACGAGCTCACGTACACGTGATCTGGCATAGTGTGAGTAGTACACCTGGTGCTCAATTTGGCATCTCTGGTCATCAATGGTCATCAGTGGTCAACAGGGGCCACCAGAGGCCGCTAGAGGCCAGGAGGAGCAAGCATCAGCTAGCAAAGGCCAATAGAGGCTGACAGAGGTCAACAGAGGTCAATAGTTATCAAGAGTTACTATTGGTTTGGACCGAGTTATTTGACTAGGTCAACGTATGTAATTTCAAGTTACTTTGTATTACACTTAGCGTGATTGTATGTTTACGCACAAAGAAATGTAGAAGTTCCAGTTACGCAAAGCAGAAGTTGGCAATGTTTTCGAACTAACGCAATGGAAACTATGGCTTGTGGGCATTTTGCCGTTGAGGTCGAAGCATTTGGATTATTATTGCTCCGTTCTCGTAGTTATTTTTACTCGTAATTGTAATTGTTTTTATATTTTAATTGCTTCCGAAATAATTGAATTCTTCTATTAATTAGTCTTAATTCCACACATTAAGCTTGCAGGGATACCGAAAGTGTCTTTTAACCTTTGTGTCAACAGCAGAAAAATTATACGTACGTCAACAACAGCATACCCGGGTATGCACATACATTTTGTATCGGAAATGGCATGGCGTTGTGACAAAAATGTGAATAATTAACACATTTCTTTTAATCTGGCTAACTTTTTATTGTTATGTTCTTGGAAAGTATGTTTATATTAAGTATGTGAAAAAAGGTTTGAGAAATATGTTATTTTAATGTATAAATAATGAGTTTCATAGATCACACTTTACGGTGGTGGTATCTGAATGTATGCAAAAAGATTTGTTTAGGTACAAACATGTGGGATCTGATAGGAGGGTTTAGGACAGTAAATGAATATACAGTAATTCCTCCCTGAGGAAACACACGCCAGCAACGCAAACAAACTGACAAAGCAGCAGCAATAACGGACATTTGTTTGATGCTGAACAGCAATCTACGTAGCAATTATGTAGCAGGAGCCAACGTCACTGTCGATGAACAACTGTATCCTTTCCGTGGTGGTACTGGTTTCACGCAATACATACCATCAAAACCCGCTAAATATGGAATAAAAGTGTGGTGGGTATGCGACTCCATTTCGTCTTATCCATTGAAGGGACAAATCTACACGGGAATGGCGGCGTCCGGTCAACGGGGAAAAAACGTAGGTGAAAGAGTGGCGAAGGATTTGTGCGTCAATCTTTTCCGTGGAAGTGGGCGAAACATTGTGTGCGATAATTTCTTCACCAGCTACAATTTGGCAAAAAGTTTGATGATGCAAATTATCGATGTTGGGCACAGTAAATAAAAGACGAACATTTGTGCCACCAAAATTTCCTATTGCAAAAGGACGTGCAGTGGAATCCACCATATTTGGTTTCAGCAACAATATTACAATGTGTTCCTGCGTGCCGAAGAAAAATAAATCAGTTGCGGTCCTTTCAACAATGCATTACACGACCGAAGTAGAAGGTCCAAACAAGAAGCCACTAATGATATTAGATTACAACAAAACCAAAGGTGGCGTTGATAACATGGATAAATGCCTGGCAGAATATTCAACTAAGCGGCGAACGAATAGATGGCCTTTGGCATTTTTTTATAATATTCTGGATGTGGCTGCCTTTGCTGCGTACATAATTTACGTGGAGAAGAACCCAGACCTGAAGGCTTCTACGAGCCGGCGTAGGATGTTCCTTCATCGACTTAGCGAACAACTGACGAAACCTGAGATAGAAGTAAGAGCCAATAATAGTCGAATATCAATAATATTCTCTACACGCAACGCCATTGAAGCAATAAACGGCGATCCCTTCACGGGCAGAATCAAAACAAAGGGTAATTGTTACATATGCGCCAAACGTCGCCCAACAAGGAAAGCCTGCACATTATGCAAAAGAGACCCGTGTCTGCAGAACATTCTACTAATATGCCGCAATGCAATAGATGTAGTTAAAAACTTAATAATTTCCAATTCGTTCATAAATTTTTTATTTTATTATATTATCATTATATTCTCTGTACTATTTTAAGAATTTGATGAAAAATAAAGTTTACTTTTCAATTATATCAACATATTTGCATGCGTTTTCATATACATACCCGGGTATGCAGCTGTTGACATAAAGGTTAAAAGAATATAAAACGTTCATTCGTCGTCTAAAAATCTATTGACATTGTTAGCTGTCATTCTGTGTATTTGTTTAAATAAATTTTCTTCGATAATCTTTCTGCCATAGTTATTTAATTAATTACACCTATTCCCATATATTTCTGGATGTTACGTACTCTGACAATGTCTTTTATGATCAAAAACAAGTATACGCGTAAGTACGTATGGTTAAGTTGTGAAATGTACCCCTTATGTGGATATATGTATGTATATAGACGAAATAAGATATATACACTTATTTCGTCTTAAGCATGCACGAAGATTTATTCGAATAATTGAAAAATCGTACGTTCGTTAAATTTGATTTAATTTATAACTAATCATTATCGAGAAATATATCATACTTTTTATCACGCATTCGATAAGCGTACATATGTAACATAAATACATATACATACTAAATAAACTTGATCAGCGCAATGGTGATTTGTTTTTTATCAGTGTAGCAATGTTTGTTGCAGTTATCTATTAATGGTCAAATGTGCGTGTCATCAGGTGATTGCGTACTACGGAGATCGCAATAACAACATTTAACGCAAGGTTTTCGATTTGTTTGTCACCTGAACGGGTATCGTAAATATTAAGGTTAACTCAGAAGTGGTAAATTAAAGTGACAAAATTTCAATGTGATTAAAAGCCCAATTAGAGGAATCGTTTGGTAAACGATGCGCTTGCATTTTAATATCTGTGTGATAATTTCGTTGTTTTGTATCATACCTGTGAAACCGTGGCACTACGCAAACAAACAAATATCCCCCGTTATACTTGGTAACCGTTTTCCATTACACCAGATAACGCTTGATCAATTGTTTCTTCTTTAAAATTTAAGCGATTCTTGTGCCAAAAGTTCCAGGTGATGGAGGCAGTCAAGTCGAAGCGAAACTCAATAAAACAATCACGGTGCATTATTTGTGCGAAAAGGTATCCACAGAGTATTTTAACATTTGGTTGAACCTGGAATTACTTGTACCGGTTATTATAGATTGCTGGGTATGGACTTTCTTTTTACGCCCTCTGTATCTTCGACAAAGCGCAGCAAATTACAAAAGCATTATTATTTTAAGATCGATAACATGAAATTAATTTACGACAACGCGACGAGAACAACAAGAAATCAAGACGGCGTCGATATACGTATACCAGGCTGGGGTGATCCGTTCTACGTTGAATATTTGGACCCGAGCAAAGCTTCTCCCGGAGTATATTTTAAAGATATCGGTAACATGTTGGTCGATCAGCTCGGATACGTTAGAAATCAATCTTTGCGTGGAGCACCTTACGACTTCAGAAAAGGACCCAGTATGTATATTCGTTAGAATCGTTTATGTAATTGCAAATGACAGTAAGTTGCGATCCAGTCTGTTATAACGTTACCTTTAGATGAAAACGACGAATTTTTCAATAAACTAAAGACATTGGTTGAAGAAACGTACAATGCGAACAAAGAAGTTCCCGTGACATTGATAGCTCATAGTATGGGTGGACCTATGACGCTCATATTCTTACAACGTCAAAGTCAAAAGTGGAAGGACAAATATATAAATTCTCTGATTACGCTTTCAGCTGTTTGGGGTGGCAGTGTCAAGGCTGTTAAAGTCTTCGCTATTGGTAAAAAAAAAATTATGTAACGCATGTGTTACGTGTTACGATGTATGTTCTTAATTATTTTTCAATTTTAGGGGATGATTTAGGCGCGTACGTTCTACGCGAAGCTACTTTGAAAGACGAACAAATAACTAGTCCTAGCTTAGGGTGGCTGTTACCATCGAAATTATTTTGGAAAGAGACAGAAGTATTGGTGCAAACCGAACAGAAAAACTACACGTTGTCCACCTTAAAAGACTACCTAATGTACAGTACGATGTTATAACGTGTTATTTCTATTACAGTATAAATAATGACAACTATTTTTACAGAGATATAAATGTTCCAAATGCGTGGGAATTCAGGAAAGATAACGAAAAGTACCAACTAAATTTTGCTGCTCCGGGTGTCGACGTACATTGTCTATATGGGAGTGGTATAGATACAGTGCGAAAGTACGTTGATTCTATCGCAATTCATTAATTTCCGACTATGTATTGTTTTATTTTAATATTCGTGTATAAACGATTTTTAGATTATACTATAAACCTGGCACGTCGATAGAAAGTACGCCTCAATTAGTTCCCGGCGACGGTGATGGCACTGTAAACATAAGAAGTCTGGAGGCATGCAAGTACTGGACGACGAAACAAAAACAAAAAATTTATTCCCAAGAGTTTCCCGGTATAAATCATATGGACATTCTTCGAAATATTAAAGTTTTAAATTACATCAAAACAGTTTTACAAGTGTGATTGTATCATCCAGGCTAAATTCGCAAATTGAAATAATAGAAGACTAATGTACCATGATTACAAAAAATAGTACTGTCCCTATGTATAGTGTATAGATATTTGTATTAAGTAAAGTCGAATGTACATAATTAATGCTATAGAATCCAATTCTTATCAGGATTATATATAGTTAGAAAGTAATCGATGTATTTCCTACTTGTTTCGTACATTTCAAGGTTTGATATTCTTTTTGCATTTTTATATGTTTTCTTTGATATTGTAAATATAGACCTGCACAACTAAATTTTAAGAAAATTATTTTTATTTTGTATGGCGATTGTGTAAACTATTAAAAGTCCTACCACGAGAAGGCACAGTGCGTTTACATCCCCACTCTTGCTGCAGTCCGCTGATTGGCTGTCACCGATCTTCCGTCACCGTTTTCGACCAATGCCTGCGAGTCAACGGACAGCAACAGGAGTGGGGGTGCACATTGTGGATTCTCCTCGTGGAAGAATGGTACAAATTTCTTTAACATCCAAATAAATGACAATGAAATGTTAATTCCAAATAACAGTCAAATCTCTATTCCAACAATGTTTATTTAAATAACGTCGCAAACAATTTACGTATCATTTGCAAATAAAAAGTTATTACTTCGTTTACGTTTGGGATGAACAAGAATAATAAATAAATATTGGTCTTCCAGTTCTTGCCAATTTTCTCAAAAACGAAGCCTTCCACGCAATTACTTGATTTTCATCTGGCCCAATTTGTATCATTTTATTTTAATTTAATAAATTACATATATATCGGGCAAATCAATTTTTGTTGCGACGAAATACGTATTATATGTATTAAAGCTTTGTATAATGTAAATCTATGGTAATGAATGATATAATTTCCCTAGTTATACCACAGATGAGGTCTGTGGTTATAAGAAACCGTTTTTTCGGTTAAAATTGAAATCCCGAAGTTTGTCGTGGAATAGTTCGTTATTTTCAACGTTAGATGGCGCTTATTTTCGACCACAGGCCCTCTGGTGCTAAAACGCCCTAGTTTGTCGTGGAATAGTTCGTTATTTTCAACGATAGATGGCGCTTATTTTCGACCACAGGCCCTCTGGTGCTAAAACGCCCTAGTTTGTCGTGGAATAGTTCGTCATTTTCAACGCTAGATGGCGGTTTTATCGACCTCAGGCCCTCTGGTGTTAAAAAGCCCAAGCTTGTCGAGAAATCCATCTAGCGTGGACGATACGAACTATTCCACGACAAACTTGGGCGTTTTAGCGCCAGAGGGCCTGTGTCGATAAATAAGCGCCATCTAGCGTTGGAGGCAACGAACTATTCCACGACAAACTTGGGCATTTTAGCGCCAGAGGGCCTGTGTCTGTGGGGTCGAGACTTATGGTCTCGTCCGCACAAGAGTATAGGGGAGCAGTTTCCCGTCAAGTGCGAATCCGCCGTAAGGCTGCGCGCGCAGCGCAGCAGGGCGAAAGCGCGTCCTCCCCAAAATGCAAGGACGCTCAAACAAACCACTGCTTTGTAAGAACTGCGCGAAGAAGCACCTCCAAAATATCCAGAGTAAAAACTCCTGCTAAACAAAGACTTGTACGCCTAGCGTGAATAAAGAATACTTGTTATTGTTGTTGTTGTTACATACACGCGTTCAGTCATTTCAAATATTAATACCCGTGGTCGTAGGGGTGGGCCTACGAACGCACGCGCATCATACGTGGAAACGAACCACGTGCATCAAGTCAGCATAATCCCACAACCACAGGCCCTCTGGTGCTAAAAAGCCCAAGCTTGTTGAGAAATCCATCTAGCGTGGACGATACGAACTATTCCATGACAAACTTGGGCGTTTTAGCACCAGAGGGCCAGTGGTTATAGCGTCTACGGCTATACACACAATAATGTTCAGGACGAGGTGGATGAATATTTGGTATATATTCCTTTATTTCTCAAAAAGTGTTAACAAATGTAACTAAACGTAAATCAACAACGTGTCTCCTCGTGCTCTTCCGCGCGCGTTGCCCAAGCTACCTTATTGTAGCTAGAGTGGTCACTCGATTTTGGGAAAACCCCATTAATTCGCTGTCTGTCCACCAGGTGCATCACGGTGATGACCGAGATGCGCCAACGTTCCGACTGGCGGCCACAACCACAAGGCCCTCTGGTGCTAAAACGCCCAAGTTTGTCGTGGAATAGTTCGTCATTTTCAACGCTAGATGGCGGTTTTATCGACCTCAGGCCCTCTGGTGTTAAAAAGCCCAAGCTTGTCGAGAAATCCATCTAGCGTGGACGATACGAACTATTCCACGACAAACTTGGGCGTTTTAGCGCCAGAGGGCCTGTGTCGATAAATAAGCGCCATCTAGCGTTGGAGGCAACGAACTATTCCACGACAAACTTGGGCATTTTAACGCCAGTATCAAAAGCGATCACGAAGAATCACGAATCACGGTGAAAAATCACCATGATTGGCAGTTCACGCCATCTGTAACGTGAACCGCTACTGAAACGCCATCTTTCGGATCACGGTCGTGAACGGAGTTTAATCACGGGCGTGATCGTGATTTTGTGATCCTGTGATGAATCACTGTCAGTGATTTTGCGCGCCATCTTTAGACTGCACACAAATCGTTGTGCGGCCTGAAATAAAAATAAACAGCGTGTTTAGCCTAAAAATGTTATATATTTACTGACATATCGGATAATATTTAATGTACAAAATAGTACTAGAAGACGCGTCTATGTAGATCAGAATTCAGCCTTTTTATTTTTAATGTGCTAAAATGCCAACCGTTATAGCATTGGACGTATCTCTGTCAATGAGACGTCCCGTATTAGGAACCGGTTCCACTGAAAATAATCAAAATGAACAACTGACGAGGCATCATCTAGCTGTACACGGGATAAACGCGTTATTACATTATTTACAAGTGAATTCAAAGTTGGAATTCGTGTCCTTAGTAAGCATCGTTTGAGGTTATGTTATGCCGCTTTGTTATTGTTTTCAATGATCCGTACTATATTTAGTTTCTACGCTTCAGGTTGTCTTCTCTTCGTTGTACGAAGTTGTTTGTCCATTCACTCGCGATTACGACTGCATACGTTCAAAATTACAAAATATAGAGGAATGCGATAAGACTTGTATAGAAACTGCTCTTCATGGCGTTAACAATGTTATTATGGCCGAGTGGGGTAATACCACAGCCTGTCAAGTAGTGCTAATCACGGATGGCAATCCTGGAGTAGGTCCGATGTCTCTAGGCGACTCATTGAATTCTTTAAACGTAACCAGAGACGTAAATCCATTCCCGTTACCTTTTCCTTACCCAGGAAAGTTAAGCGTTGTATGCATCGCTCCGCAACAAGGTATATTTAAAGAAATAAAACTGTTTAACAGTCCTTAGAAGAGATTCATTGGTACGAAGTACGTTCCTAATCTTTGATACATTGTTAGATGCTGGGTTACAAATGGGCTTACCGCTTTATCAACGATTAGTCGAGTTAGCCGGAGGCGACAGCGTTGTACTTGTGCCTGAGGCGCCATTGTCAAAGCATTCGATCGCTGCTTGTTTCCAAAAATTAGCAGAAAGTAATTACGTTTCGTTTCAAGGATATTTAAAATGTGGAAATTTAGGTTCGTGTATTCTTTTATCGCCAGCACCCATGGTAAGCAACAAAATATATAAGAAAGAAACAGAATTACTCTGGAACCGTTGCAATATGCGTATATTATTTTAGCCTTATACCAAGAAAACAGATTTCGAATTAGTGTCCGGTTTAATGATATCAAAAACCATAGAGATTTGCGGATTTATATCAGTGGCGGATGTCGGTAGCCCCAGCGCTATATCTAGACATTTAGTTTTACCATTAGCTACGGAGAAGGGTCCAAGTATGCAAGGCATATCTCTCGAAGAAGATTCGGACACGGACGAGAACGGAGACGAAGGAAAAATACCATCGTTTTGCGTGTTATTGCACGGAGCATTGAAGGTAGCGTTTTAAAAAAAAATTTTTATTTTCTCGTTATCGAGGATACGATAAATTCGTATGTACGTACTACAGGTCGAAAATATGGTAGCGCTTTGTTTATTGAATAACGAATGGTACGGATTTATATACTCGTGGGCGGATACCAAAAAGAAATCAAATTTAATGTTAACGGTATTGGAACCAGGCCTGGACGTTGTACCGTGGTTAGGTAATTTCAGTAATTTAGGCCCGATAGATGCGGCCAAGGGAGCACCCGTTAGCTTTCCAGTTAGACCAAACGAAAAGAGAAGTTACACTCAGAATGCGCCATCTTGGATTCGCCAAGTTGGATTGCAATCTGACATTCAGAAAATTTTAAGGCACGCAAGAAAATTGCCAGAGAAAACGCAGAACTTTTACAAGGTAAAACGATCGTATTTAAAAACCACGAATTCGTTTCATCCCTGACGTTTGAATTTTCGTGCAGGAAGTGAATCGACTGCGCAGAGCCGCCGCGTCGATGGGATTCGTGGAGCTACTGGAAGGTTTGGCGTGCATCTTGGAAAGAGAGTGTACATTGTTGCCACCGAATTTGAACCCCGACTGTACGATTCAACTGGGCCACGTAGCTTCCATGATAAGAAAATCTGAATTTCTCGAGCTTAGGTACAATATACCACCGGCGCGTACCAGGTTCCAACACGGAGGATCGTGAACGAGACGACAACATTCGTGATACGATGTTATATTTGCATGAAACAGTAACAATTTTTACATTAAAAACGATTCTGATGTTTTACACCGAGATCATTTTTTTTTTATCTAAAATACAATTCGTAAGTTATTTTTATAATTTGTTACGCCAAGAGGCTCATCCCACGACTAGCAACGACCAATATTATCCTTCCCTCGCGCATTTAATCATACAACGTAAAATGTGAAGCAAGCCTTTGGCAGTTCGAAGGCTCGAATACGTAGTAAAATCAGGAACATGAACGAACAATACTTTCGTAGGCTCTATATGCAGAGATTGGTAAAATACATATTCGCAAAGAAATCTACCTGCATCGTACGAGACGCAAGCACTGCACTCCGTTTCCATTGAATTTTCATTTATCGTGTCGCAAATCTTATGAGCATCGACGTTAGTTATTAATACCTCCTGCGTAATCTTACTTTCATCTGGACATTTATCGTATATGTCTGGTCTTTCGTAGCCGTTGCTGTGCGCACAACATTCTATAGTTAAACAATCAACTTTGTGCGACACACCGACGTGTAGAATTACCTGTGAAAATAAATTTTCTTATATTTAATATAACAAAATTTCGTTGGAGATAAAGATTTACCGTTGGATTGTATTCTTTCCAGAGTTTGGGTACGTAACTAGCTACATCGTCGTATGAAACTGGTATCTCTTCGACAATCAATTTAACATCTATGAACTCCTTCGAATCGGCGTGCAGTTTGCTTAATTCTTTCACAGCCTCCCAGCTGGCGTTAATAACATGATCGCCGAACGGTCCGAATCCAGTTACTATAACTACGTATTTAAAATCAGAATCCATCGTTACTTCGTATTGTTACATTTACGAGATCTTTGTTATACAGTACTTAGTACCGTTTCGTTTATCATTGTTTACCATTGCAGAAATCCTGATAATCATGTCACCGGGGCGGATTTTTAAAAGTACTTTGTGATGTCATTTGCGATAACAGTTATACCGCATAGATCGCGTTGCTCGCTACTTAAATTTTCTAAATATACAATAATCGATACGAAACTTTCGATACAAACTCTCGAGAAAGAGTTTTGGGCTATTTAAATTTTCTAAATATACAATAATCGATACGAAACTCTCGAGAAAGAGTTTTTAGGTTATTTCGTTAACGGATATAAAATTAAACCGCGTTTCTTCTAATTTTCTCTTTCTATTTTAATTGAATAGGCGCCCGTATCTATGGGTACGAACGGGTACGTTCTAAATAAAGAACGATAATATTGTCCGTACATACTATCTATATGGTTGAGATCTAAACTTAATTTCTTATTTCCAGCGTATGAAACACTATCTAGTTTGCACTTTACCAATGATGCACGAGAAAGAACCAGTTAGGGAAAATGGCTGACTATGCATTAGGTGATGTTTTGACAATTTTACTTCTTTGATTACGGTAGTCGGGGGAAAAAAACGGTGTTGTCGTATTTTGAAGTATGATTTAAATCGTACCGCGTGACAAATAGTTTAACGAGGGGTAAAAATATTTGTCGGTACACGTGATCCGATCGACCAAGAAAATCCTGTCAAAACTTGTCTGGACGTGTTTTAAGTAGCTGCCATCAGGAAATACTCATTATGAACGCTTGAGAAAAGTTTTTCAACAGCGTTCGCGAGGAAACAATTACTATAATAGAATTTTTATACTATCGGTAAATATATATTCACGTTTATATACGAAATTTATACGTGTACGATTTCGTCATAAATAGCAAAAGGTTCATTTCTTCCTGCAAACTTTTTCTATTACGATCTGTATAGTTAGAAGAACGTTTGTTACGGAATAATAGTTTCTATAATGTATAATATCGAATTGCTTTGTTCTAGATGATCAAAAATTCATACCGATTGGCAACTTATGTGATATAATATAATGATAAAGCGTAACGTGAAAGTATTTAGAATATTCCTATAAAAGAAAAACGAAAAAAAAGAGATACAAATGATATACCTTTGAGGCGATAAGATGCCTGTCAATCCATTTAATAATGGGACAGCATTTCGCTAGTCTCAGAGAATTTTTTAGAATGGATAGCGAACGGCAGTCTTCCGAAGTGTGCGCTAACGTTATTCAATCGTCTCAGTTAGAAATGACGAATCAAGACGGCATAGAGAATTTACACGATAATAAAAATAACGGAAATGTACCTGCGTTAAATTCAAATTTGATCTTGCACGGCGAATGCAAGTTTGACGGAAATTTGGACAACGATCATTTAAATTTAGACTTAGATAATCACAATTCCAAATTTGAGACCTTGTATAGCCAACCGGTCGAAACTCAGGATTCGAAGCAGATCTGTAGCAATGGGAATGTTAGTAGCGAGATACGTTTTAAACAACAGGAACCGTGTTGCAGTAGCTCAGAGGGTAGTAATACTAGTAGTAGTTCGGAAGATAGTCCCGTAAACCCTCCTTTAAGGAGATCTTCTAAAACATTATCGTTTGGAAAACGAAAAGGTAAGAGACGTATTACTTTCATCTTCTTTACGTTCGATGTTTCTGCCTGTTAACCTCTTGCGTTGGCAATTAATTAGCGTTCCCACTTTAGAAGCAACGTTCGTAGTCTTTCCGGCGCAAGAGGTTATGAATATTAATCTCTATGCGTATACGTGTTTTAATATGTTCAGGTAAACAGCGTAACAAGGATCAAAGTCCAGTGTGTACCCACGTTCTATCTTCGAAAAAGAAACGCAGCAACTGGGTGTTAAAATTTAATTGTGCCAAGAGTAAAGGTTCCAAAAGCACGGACATTATTCCTGGCCACGGTAACAACAATTCAGATTGCGTGTGTACTGGTTACAGACGAACAGAAGAGCACTCTATGGGGGCTGGTGTCATATTTAATAGTCGATCTGCTCCCCAAAGTCCAGTACTTGGACCGCTCCCTCCCAGTCCTGTAATTGACCTCTCAAGGTTCAATCCGGAGGAGTTTCCGATGGAGGTACACAATACATTTTCTCTTCGATAGGAGCACTTTCACAATTTTATCGTCTTGTTACAGGACTGCGACGAAAGAGCTCGATTGCAACGGGCACGAGAAATGGAGGAAGGCGTTGAACCTCCTCCCGGTTATAAGCCTAATTATTCTTCAGGTATACAAGTGCATCCAAATGGAATAACAGTGGACAGTTTAGCGGCGCTGTTTCAAGCGCATGCTGGCATACAAGCTGCCGCGCTCACAGCCTTATCTCAAATCGATTTTACGTTAATTCCAAACATCGAAAGGCTGGCACATACACAGGTAGATTGTAATCGCGATCAGTTTATTTACGTTTGTTGCACACCCCGTTACGTTTCATTACGTATATTTACAGGTCGATTACGTTCATTGTCTTGTGCCGGACCTAAGATCGATCACAGCTTGTTCGTTTTATTGGGGTAAAATGGATAGATACGAGGCAGAACGTTTACTGGAGGACAAGCAAGAAGGCACGTTCTTGTTGCGGGACTCGGCCCAGGAGGAGTTTCTGTTCTCTGTTAGCTTTCGAAAATACGGGCGCTCGCTGCATGCCCGAATCGAACAGTGGAATCACAAATTCAGTTTCGACTCCCACGATCCGGGTGTGTACGCTTCGGAAACGGTACGTGCTAAAATTATTTTCTTTCCGGAGAAGAGAAACGAGTAACTGTTCTCAACACGCGATTTTCCAGGTGTGCGGTTTAATCGAGCATTATAAGGATCCGTCTTGTTGTATGTTCTTCGAACCTATGCTCACGATACCGTTGCATCGAAATTTCGCTTTCCCGTTGCAACACCTGTGTCGAGCGGTGATAACTACGCGAACGACGTACGACGGTATAAATAAGCTGCAATTGCCAAAGACGCTTAAAAGTTATCTAAAGGAATACCATTACAAGCAAAGGGTACGAGTAAGGCGATTGGACACTGAAAACGATTTGCAGTCGGACGGAAGATCCATATCATACAGTAGCTCCCCCTGTCAAGTAAGAAAATCGGGCCCGCAGATTATTTTGAAGGCTGGTTAAAGGCCGCGAATTTATCTCGCGTTTGGATGTAGCACGAAACCAGCCGTACGGAAGAGGAGAAGTGAACACATCCGAGAGCGAGCGAGATATCGAAATTTCAAAGTGATGCATATCGATGTATCGACCGCTAATGCGAAATAAAAATTTCTTTATCTTCGCGCGAGTATCGTTAATAGATCGATGAGGTTTTCTCGATGAAAGTGAGCCCTCGTTCAGACTATCTTTAATTATACGAATCGTTTCTAAAAACCTTTGGTACAGAGTGTTCGGCCATCCCTGGGAAAAATTGTAGTGGGTGATTCTAGGGGCCAAAATAAGACGAAAATCAAGAATATCAATTTTTTGCCTAATGCCTCGTTAAAAAGTTATTAACATTTGCGCCTGTATATAGGCAACCTGCGCACAGCTGCGCGCGCCAGCGTCTCGCAGGCATAACTTTAAACGTTAATAACTTTTTAACGAAGCCTCTATCAACAAATTGGTATTCTTCATTTTCGTCTTATTTTGGCCCCTAGAATACCCCATTAAAATTTTGTCCCAGGTCTGGCCGAACACCCTGTACATAATTTAAGCTTGTTCGAGTAAGGCGGTGTTTGGTTTCGTTTTCACTGGAAAAATCTCACCGATATGTTAAGAATACTTTCGTACAGATTAAGAAATGTAAGAAAAAATTTGATGATTTCTATCGGAGGATGAAATTCGATACCTTATCACTTTCGTCTCGGGCCGAATCAACGTAAACAGTGGTGAAACGGAAACTGTTGTATTTATCTTTAATATGAGTCTCTGTATTCATATTCAATAGAACTATTGTACGTTACTTTATTAATTTTTCATTCGCATCTACCACTCTACTACAGTCATACGTGGCATATGTACAGTATTGGGACCAATATCACTGCCAGGAGTGTCGATACTTACATGTATTGTTTTGCGACCGTTGAAAAATTTAAGAAATGATCCTTTTCTTAATAATTGTCCGTCCTCTTTTCTTTTTTTTCTTTTTCCCTTCGTTTTCTATCTTTCCGAATAAGATTCTTCTACTGTTACGAGCTTGTGTATTTTACATTCCTGTGATAAGTATCGATAATTTTTCTAACGAAATGTCTGATTTAAGGATTGCAGAAAAGAACGATTTGGATCCACTATTATCATATGCACAGTATTATAGCGCCGAGGGGTCGGAATTCGTTTCGGCTCTTCACTCAAACAGAACGATTGCAATATTAGCAAGTAAACCGTACATATTCTGCATAAAACAGAACAGTAGCTTAATTTAAACAGTAGCTATCGTTTTTAATCCTATCACGTCTACATTCACATCACAGATAATATACGTTAATTTTGAGGAAGCAACTTGTAAATACATTACAATGGCCGCTTGAGATACACAACATATTATAAGTTTCATTGTGTTTCTTTAGTAATTAAAACTCTTATTATTATGTTTATTTTTCAACGTTTATTTGTAATTTAATTTAATCGATATTCATAGAAAATACAACTGGATTTATACTTTAATTGTGCTTGCGAGAGATTATAAATGCCCAAAGTTCAGTATCGTGGTAACGTTTGTCTTTTAATACGTTTTGTTAAACATCAATTTCCAAGAAATTTTATTCATATCGCTCCTGTTGTGCCTACTTAACACAAAATATCATTGAAAAACTGTCTGTGTTCGTGTTTAACATTATTAAATATAAAGAAAATAAGAAATTATTTGTGTATATGTAAATTATCCTTGGTACGGTAATGTCCACGCGAAATGTATCGTTCGTTTATGAAAGAATCACGACAAGTCAGTTTCTCGCCCTAATAATTAACTTATCGTACTAGAAAAATATGCATCAAAATATAAAATAAATAAGATTCCGTTACTAATTGTTTGTGTAATGACTTTTTAATTGCACATGCTTAACGTTTCGATATCTAACAAGTAACATTATACTTAAAAATCGGAAGAAAATATAGCTTTGCTTTCTGTAAAGCCTGTAACAATCTTGTGCATGTTGCTTTTTTTTTTTTGTGATACGATTTCTTTCAAGTATGCAGCGTATATTGCATAACAGGCAGTAATACTTTATAATTAAACAAAAAGACGAGAAAGAAGAGCGTAACAAGAAATATATCTATATTTGATATAGGAAATAACGTAGTTAAGTGTTTGTTTATAAACGAGAATAACGATTCTGATACGAAAGTTTTTCAATATATTTAAGACACGAGAACGTATATTAGAATAATTCTATCGAGTTATATCGTTAGAGAGATCTTTTAATCGGAAGTACTTAATACAAAAATAAAGTAGGAAACAACATGGGACAATTATACATACGACAATACGAAAGAAATTGTGATAATCGTTAATGTAAGACACGATGTAAATTTACGGTACGATGTTGCAGAAAAATTTCATACACTTCTGAAAAGGATACTGGTAAAATTTCTTTCCCATTTTTCAACCATGTACAGCTCCGTGACGAGCATATATCTAAAATACCAATATTGGAGGAACGAGAATAACCTTTGCAACGGATTAATCATGTTCGTAAATATTTGTTTGACGTCCAAGTCCGAGTAACAAGGTTAGGTATTTCATAAAACGCACTGCACCTTGTTACGTTTGGAGCTGCAGTGACACTGGGGTATTTTCCCTAGATTTAGTAAAATGCGCGCGCGCGCGCGCGATTGTTACGCCATCTGTTGGCGAGATATTTAAGGTGAGGTCGCGGGGAAAAACACTTCGTTTCTATGTGTCGCGTCACAGCCGACTCTAGTACTCACTAGCCGTGCTATGGAACGTGGCAACACCGCTCATGTGCGGATCGGGAGTACTATTTTCAATAGTGGAGTTTTGTGTTCAGGATTACAATTAACGTTATTTTGCGATATAAAATTATACTGATATACAGTATTTTTTATTAATTATGTATAAGGAATATATGAATATCATGGCTATAGTAAGTAGAAGTAATACAGAAGTATATTAATATTTATAAATGTGGTATATATTTTGTGGACTGTCGGAATAGTTTGGTGTTGCGATGCATTATATTTGAAATATTTACAGAGATTTCAAGAAAATAGAAGTGCGAAACAAGTTAAAACCGTCTTTGAACCAAACTGAAGGGTTTAAAAATTGATAAAGGTATGTATAAGTTAATGGAGACCTGAAATAGGCAAAATTATTGGTACGAAGCCAAACAGGTTAAGTGCCCGTGGAAAAAGAGGCTAGCATAATTAGCTATTGAAAGGAACAATTATGGAGTTAATTATAAAATCGTGTTAGAGGACAGTATGATAATTGTGAAAAATTTCCTCACCACCCTAGGGGTATTTACCATGGCGCGTTACCTTTTTTTTTTATTATAATGGGTGGTTCGCCAATAGCCATATAATCCCATTTTCTAAAATAAAATTAATATTTTTAAATAGAACATAACAAAAACATAACTTTTGTGTTCTTAAAGAAATAAAGTATTACATTTTGAAATAATAATAAATAATTTTGAATAATATTAATAACAAAACATATCAAAACATAGTTTGAAATTCTCTTGAAATACAACTAATAAAACTTTGAATCTTGCGAAATAGTATTCATAATAAAAATATACTAAGCAAGTAAATAAAACTCTATTAATGTATTAAAACATATTGAAAGGAATAAGTTTAAATATATATAAAAATTAATGTTTTAAGAAAGATGAAATTAAAAAAAATCATTGAAAATCTAGTTCCTATTAAAAGTTTATAATTTACGATTTTTAGAAGTGATGTCTGTACGTGTTTCCAACTGACTATTATTTACAGTTTTCACATAATCGTTTAATAAAATATATGAAAAAATTGATAATAATTTAAACGAAATACTTTGGTAAGCTCGACCACAAACGCATGTATCTGAAAATGCTAAATAATGTATGTCTGATTGAATGCTAATATATGTTAATTTACATAAAATACACGGTCTGTCCCGTTTCCGATGAGACTGTTCAAAATTAACAGCCGATTGCAGCGCCATCTATTGATTCATCTATTGAATTTTGTAGACACATCTTTCATCTATCTTCACCCCGAATTTCGTAGCATTTCCATTGTTCTGTCAATAGTTACGACATTATAACTAACCGTCCACTTTGTCAGTCTGTCGAAAAATCGCTACGGAGCATGATAATGCGCCGTCGCACAAAGCCCTAATTGTACGCGAGTTTTTCGCCAAAAAAAGCATCATAACGCTCGACCACCCGCCATATTCGCCTGATCTAGCGCCGTGCGACTTCTGGCTATTTCCTAAACTCAAATTAGCGTTGAAGGGGAACACTTACAGTACGATTCCTACCATCCAGAAGGCTTCGACCAACATCCTGAACGCTATTCCGGCACCCGAGTACCAGACATGCTTCGACAAATTTTATGATCGGTTTCAACGCTGTATTGACTCAGAGGGGGATTATTTCGAATAAATACGATAGAAGAAATGCACTGTAGAGCGTCTTCTTTTTTTATTTTTGAGCAGTCTCATCGGAAATGGGACAGACCGTGTATGTTTATGATTTTCAGATTACAAAAATTGAGATTCTAAATTGCCATCATTTATTATGGCTTCCATTATTCCATACATATGAATAAATGAGGCTATCGCTTCTTCAGTGGGGACAGAAAGGCCCCCTCTTTGTAAGCGATCAAAATATACATCGCCTACAGTTTTACCTTTATCATCCACAACTAATAAACGACATATATTGCAATTTAATTTTTTAGCAACAGAATGGGACCCGTAACCAGAAATATAAATTTTAATGGAATCATCTACAACACAATCGGACAAGTATTCGGTATCGAAGATTCCTGTGAAACAAGTCGCATCAGTGGGAAGATCATGAAGATCGTTATTATTGTCATCACAAATTCGAAATTTATTTTTGATTTCAGTAAGAGAAAACGAATTTGCCGATTTTCTAAATATATGTTTTAATCTAATTTTTTTTTCTGCATGAATTATTTCGTTGTATGACACATGATAATTACAACCAGATAAAAGTCTATAATTTCCAAATCGTTTTTCTAATTTTTCGGTTGTAAAATGTAGGGTACTACATTCCTTATAAGCCTTGGACATCTCAAGAAAACATTCTCCAGTACACCATCGGGCGATAGAATACCGTGGTACCTTTCAATATCAGTTTCTGCAAAATGCAAACTACAGACGGCAGAATATTTTGATGGTGTCCAATTCTTACGAGGATTAGCAACCCTCCATTTCTCCCGCAATTCCTCATCTTTGGGGAATAAAAATATAGAATTGTAATTATTATCTTTTAAGGTACTATCGTAATTTCCCTTGCAATTGGGAGCACAGCAACGCCGTGGCATTATTAACGAATATGTGAAATTTATAAAAAAAATGTATATAAAACAAAATGTCCAAAAATGCTATAGATTATATTAAATAAGTGTGCTGCACACCAAAATCAGGATCTGTAGAGTTAATATAAATAAATGAAACACCTGGATTATTGCTCCGTTGCTCACATTTAATGGACTTCGGTACATTAATATTTGAAACATTTGAATGATAGGCGGGAGACCGGAAGGCCGGTAGATGGAGCCTATGTAGCCCAGAGGCCGGTGGGTAGTGGGAGGCTGTTACGGTAGGTTGGGCTAGGTATATCGAAGCCGGACTCCCGCGGTGTTGCCATTTTACCTTCAGCACGGCTAGTACTTACTAGAGTCGGCTGTGGTCGCGTCCACATAAAAAGTAAATTATTTGTACTGTCCTCCGCTCACTTGAAGTCCCGCGAGACGGCACAGGGGCAAGGGGAGTCGGACCGCCCATTTATCTGTCTTGCTCACTTGCTCTCAGGCAGTCCACATGTGTGTGTAACTGCCGCGACGAATAGCGAGCTAGAGACCAATGTGTGCGTGGGAATACGTGTGCCCCTTCTACTTCTCCCGCATTCCTTCCGCGGGACTTCAAGTGAGCGGAGGACAGTACTAGTTACTGTCACCTAAACATTAAATAAAAATAATCGAGTAAATTTCATTATATTCATTGCACTTACAATTCTATGTTAGACGTTTTCATATATAACGTTTAAGGATTTCTTTTAAATACAATAGTTTTGTAACGTCGCGTAGTGTACGTCTCCCCACTCTGGCCCTATATTATGTATAGTTAGTTACCAGATAATAAATAACTAGATTACGGAAACCGTCTTACAACATCACAAAACATTATAACTATTATATTCATTAAGGTCTTGTAAAAATCCATAAAAGTTAATTAATTAGTCTCCCACTCCTCTGATTGACAGAAATCGGGACGTTTTCATATATAACGATTTCTTTTAAATACAATAGTTTAGAGCGTCAGAAATGAAAGTTTTCACTCTACTAACAGAATTTTTATTAATCCCTGACAAATGTTTCGAAAAAGTACCAGGTATATTAAGACAGATTCTTGAGTATGTAGTCATTGAATGTTTTCAACGTGGCTTGCATATCTGTGTATTCAGCAGTGGAACAAGCTTCTTCGAGCGGAAGCCACTTGAACGCTCGATGTTCGTCCGACATTTTGATGGGTTTGTCGGGCTTAATTAATTCGGCTAGCCAGTATATAACAATTTTTGGGTTTCCATTCACTTTGTAATTCAGTTCTTGTCTCGCGTCTTCGAAAATCTTGATATCGTCGGCCATTAAGCCAGTTTCTTCTTTTGTTTCGCGCAACGCGGTTTCCATGTCCGTTTCGCCGGGATCTACGTGACCTTCGAGCAAAGTATGGAAAATTAACGGCGATACACGGTCGTGTTCGTTTCAAACGGAGAAATTTTAATCCTCGTTCGCTTCCTGTTCGGTGAAAATTTTCATTTCGAATCGAGCAAGGGTCACGCACGTGGAACTCGTGCAACGGAAAAAGAGACAATCTCGTTACGAACCTTTTGGCGGTGACCAATGATCGTCGTACGTGGCTTGCATAAGAAGATATTCAATTATTTCGTGCGCTCGACGAAATAGAACGAATCCACAGGCGCGTCGTGACATCGTGTCCTCAGGAAAGTCGACAGTTTATCGCGATTAGAGACAAGTACTTATCGAAAGAGCAGCGATGCGTCACGGGACTTCCAGCACGATCGTAATTGGATTTAACGAGATTTAGGACTTGGGCTTAGAACATGGAGAATCGTGATCTCTGTCTATTTACATTGCTTCTGTGAAAACTAATAAATACACCTTTTTTAATAGCAAAATATTAACACGATACTCCAACTTCCTTTGCGCGAATTTTGTAATTTGAAGAAATTAATCTGTTCTGCTCGAGCATTATATTTCATAATTGAGGTGGAAGTTAATTTTACTTGAAATGGGTAAATCTTTTTTTTTTAAAACTTCAGCCGAGAAGGCATAAAATTAAGAATATTTAACCTTCCGTCAACATAACCTATTTTCACTAACATGGACGACATAACGTGTCTTTTAAGTCCAGGCCTGGTTTTTTATTATTTTATGCATTACAAAAATTCCAAGGCGCATATTAGAGCTTCTATTTCGACGAGTCATAGGTAGAGGGAGCAAGGAGCAAGGAAATTTTCGCCTGGACTTAAACGACCCAACGGAGGTCAACGTTGGATTAATGATTCTCGATTAACTAAGCAGATAAATCGAAGAGATCACCGTAGAAGCCAAATTTCTTTTAAAATCATCTGTATCGTGTGCTTAGGATATCGCAAGGCTAGCGAAGATTTCAATTTTAGGTTAGTTGCGTTTGAATGTTGGTAAATCACTGTTTGCGATGTTAACACATCGATGACAGGCAATTTCACACAGAATTCTAAACAGAATGAACAAAGTTTTTGAAATATTCTATTACGTCCTGGGGTTTCACGAATCGAAACAGATAATGCGTTACTATTGTTGATTGTTACAAGCCATGTAAATATATGTATATGTTACAGTGAAACACCGAAATCTGGAGAATGTCGACTTTCACCGGTGAATGTCAACATTCACATAGTCGCTTAGTGTATGACCGAAATATTTGCTAAACACCCTCATTTCTGACTTACACCGGTAAATGCTAACATTCACCATGCACTAATGGTGAGTGTTGAACATGTTGGAGATTTATATTTTCTTCTCCGTAATTCAGTCGCTATAAAACGTCACAAGGGTGACGTAACTTTTTCGCCTCTCTTTCAGAAAGGATCTAACCCAGACCTAACCCAGACCTAACCCAGACCTAACCCAGACCTAACCCAGATCTAACCCAGATCTAACCCAGACCTAACCGAGATCTAATCCAGATCTAACCCAGACCTAACCCAGACCTAACCGAGATCTAATCCAGATCTAACCCAGACCTAACCCAGACCTAACCGAGACCTAACCCAGACCTAACCGAAATCTAATCCAGACCTAACCCAGACCTAACCGAAATCTAATCCAGACCTAACCCAGACCTGACCCAGACCCTAGATTTGGGTTAGGTCTGGGTTAGGTCTGGATTAGATTTCGGTTAGGTCTGGGTTAGGTCTGGATTAGATCTGAGTTAGGTCTGGGTTAGGTCTGGGTTAGGTCTCGATTAGATTTGAGTTAGGTCTGGGTTAGGTCTGGATTAGATCTGGGTTAGGTCTGGGTTAGGTCTGGGTTAGGTCTGGGTTAGGTCTGGGTTAGAAAAAGATCACGATTTACTGCAGTATCCATTTAGTATAAATTAGGGTATCGGAAAAAAAATTAAGAAAAGGTTGCTCGCGTTATCAAAGCTTGCATAAGACTGACAAAGCTGATTTACTCCGAGCAGAACAAAGGATTTGGCAGGAGAGAGCCAGTCGCTTGTTTTTTGACTCTTCTGTTTTGGACCTCCACCAGAGCATATCTGTGATTGTCGACACACACCGGAGAGGGTCCGAATGTACAACAATGTAATGAAATATTCGATCTTTCACCGTCGTATTTGGTATCTGTTGGCATTCACCGGTGAAAGTTGACATTCTCCAATTTCGGTCATTCACGGTAACATATACATAGATATATCTATGTGGTTAGATGTAGTCACGTGAATTTCTATTTGGTCCAAATATGGTTGCAACTTTGTTCCAACAGTGCTGAACATGACTACGATTACAATGATGGTCGATATAGATGGGGCAAAGACATCGTTAAATCTAATTATCCTAGATATGGGTAGAGCTAAGAATTTAGCTTTATTAATCATATTTAGTAGTTTTGGGTCGTGCAAGAGTCGTTTGGAGTCGATGTCTTGAGTGAAAATGACGTTTCGTAACACGAATTCAGTTGGTCCACTAATCCGCCATATTGAAAATTTTCGATCTTGACATATCTTTCCCTGTTTCTGTTCTTCACTTTCCTCCAACTTCTTATTTCTTTCTTCCTAAAATACATATACCTCTTTCGAGGCCCTGCCCGTCAGTAGACGTGGATTAAACAAAATGTTGGATTTTCGGGGCAATAGAACCGGTCAGCGGTTCCTTCGAAAGGAATCTGAATTGGGAAACAATGTGTGTTACCATTTTATTATAAATGTTTCTGCTACATTTTTTGTTGGCTAAATACCGATCACCAGAAAACACTTAGCAAAGCTGTATGTACGTACCTATCTACAAACTGTCACGTGTATGTATTGCATGTGTGTATGTGCGTGCAGGGCGAAGTGTGAATGCGGCTGGATGGATGACGAACCGGATTCGACCGGTACCGGACACGGTATAATTTGTATTCTTTCTCTTCCTGTCGCTTTATTACTTACATACAAAAATCACAAAAACTTTCTGCCGGCGCGGCGGGTTCGACGACCAAAGCGTCGCTCGCCGTTCAAGATTATTATTTTTTTTCTTTTTCCAGGTGTCATCCGTTCAGCGCCTCTGGCGGTGGGGGGGGGGTTCGTATTTTTAAACCGTCGAGAGCCTCCCTTTGAACGCGCGTTCTTCTCGATTAAGTATCGATAATAAGTTTTTTTTTTTTTTTCTTTTTTCCTTTTACATTTATTCGACAAAGCAAGCGAGCGGCGAGCGAACGAGCGAACGATGGGTTTGTGTTATGTATATATCGTTACAGTATAGAATGGTGTTTTTTTTTTTTTTTTTTTGTTCATTTTCGCCTATTTGCGTCTTACAGGCATATACCATTAAACGTTATCGAAGGATCTTATACTCTGTAACATTAATTCGTAACCGCTATCCGTAAAGATAAATTTTTTTTTTTTTTCTCGTTTTCTACAATTGTCTCGCGTGCCCGTTTCGAGTTACGGCGACCGCGCTTCGGAATTATACAATGGATTTCTTCGAAATATCGAGATACGCACGATCGCTGTAACGCGCGCAAACATTGGTACTAAACGCACTATAGTGTTCTCGGTTTAATCCCATTTTGTTTCGTTATCGGCTGCTTTTTACATTAAATGGAGTCAACAAAAGAGGAGTTTTCGGATCGTACTCCGCGGACGTGCTGATTCTCCGTCGTTGATCCAGAGACGGGCGAAACATTGTGTTCGAATAACGGTCGTGAACTTTCGATTTATCATTTTTATCGAACGAATAACGAATAAAAGGTTACCATGCGCTTCCTTCGTTACACATTTGCTTTTTTTTTTTCCCCCAAGATAGTTTCGCCCGTCTGAAGAAGTACCCGTTGGCGATTTCAGCGAAGGAAGGAAAGTTACTTCTCGTTAGATATCGTTAAGAGGTTAGCGAGGGGAGGAATGGAGAAGTTTTATGTAAGTCCCGATGCCTGTTACCGCGTACAGTTTTCCGTCGCGGATCGAAAACTTCTTTTTCGTTAGTATTGTTCTTGAAAGTGAACAATTCCGATATACACAGACCGTCGACGGTACTTAGTTGCTATCAGTCGTTTGTCGATTTGAAAAGAGCCACGCATCGGAGGAGCACGTGTGTGTGTGTGTGTGTGTGTATGGAGAGTAAACACATTCAGCTGGGTCGAAAATGTTTTCACTCGGCGTTTTGGAATATACAGGGTGTGTTCGGCCACCCTTGGGGAAAATTTTAATGGGGGATTCTAGGGGCCAAAATAAGACGAAAATGAAGAATTCCAATTTGTCGATTGAGGCTTCGTTAAAAAGTTATTAACGTTTAAAGTTATGCCTGCGAGACGCTAGCGCGCGCAGCTGTGCGCAGGTTGCCTATCTACAGGCGCAATTGTTAATAACTTTTCAACGAAGCCTCAATTGACAAATTAGTATTCTTGATTCTCGTCTTATTTTGGCCTCTAGAATCTCCCATTAAAATTTTTCCCAGGGTTGTCCGTACACCCTGTATATTCCATGTCCGTGTACGTGTACCTGTGTGTGGGTTGTCTTTGCACGCGCGTGCGTGTGTGTGTGTGTGTAACGTATGTATTGTATGCGCGCGCGCGTGTACAGCGCGTGTTAGAAACGTGAAAAAATCATTCGAGTTTCGTATTTATTTAAATAAATTAGTCATTGCCTATAAGTAATACGTACTCGATTAATCTTAGGCAAATATAAAAAGTTTTTTGCGACACTCGAATATCCCGAGGTTTCATTTTCTCCGTCCGGTATTCCCTCGTTCCATTGTTTTATATATTTTTTTTTTTTTATTTCTTCTTCTCCGTTTCCGGCTATCTTCCGCTGGCTTCCCGTTTGCATCATTCTTCGCGTTTTGTTCTTCATTTTTGCGTTATTTTCTTATTCAACTGTTCTTGGTGTGAGGCTTCATTTATTTGGTTAATTTAGTACCTTCGTATATTATTATTATTTATATACACCAAGTCTCTCTAGTTCGCCTCTACATTTACAATAATTCCTAATTTAATTTCATTCAACCGCGAATACATCTGCGAATAAAAGGTTAAATAGCGTAATAGTGTATAGCCAATTACAATACTTAAATATAATCTTACATGATATCCTTCGTAGAAATAACAGATCTCATTTGTCGACGTTGTCGTACGCGCGTGCGTGTTTTTTCTCTCTCTCTCTCTCTCTCTCTCTCTCTTTCTTTCTCTCTTTCTCTCTCTCTCTCTCTCTTTCTTTTGCTAGGTATTATCCCGGAATTCTTTCGGAGCGAAATACTTGGGCGTCGTTTTTTACTCGCACGAGCTACGAGTAGGAATCGCTTCGACGACGATTAGTTCCTAAATAATTGTTAAATAATAGCTCCTCTTCGTCTTTCGCCTTCGTTTCTCGTTTAACATTTGTGTCGTAATATTACTTGTATACTATCCATAAAAATAATCGTAATAATAATAGTAATAATAATAGTAATAATAATAATTAATTATCGTTACGCATTGATTAATCGGCTAACGTCTATAGTGCTGCATAGCTTTAAACTTACGATATAAAAAAAAAAAAAAAGAAAAAAAAAAAAAAAATGAAGGAAGGTAAAGTAGCGTAAAAATATTCGAGAAGTAATGGTTCGGCGCGCGTCGCTTTTATAAACGGTTGAATTTCCTGTCGACGCTAAATGGAGGATGATAAGTGTGTGAAGGTAAATTTTGTTACGAGTACAATTCTACGTGTTTCCTTTACAGGTTTTTATCGTCCGAGAGGTTCGATCGGTTATTTACAAACAGACCTCTCGATTTCCTCGAACGTGTCTCTTACGCGTCTTGAATCGCAGCTAAAAGACAACGTTGCGAAAAGAAAGACTCTTTACGTCGCGGGTTTTCGATACGTATACATATACATATACATATACATACATATATATATATATATGTATACATAATGCGCGTTCATCGAACGTCTTTCACTTTGACAACCCCACTTCTCTCCTCTGCGGAGTGCACACGTATTTCCTCCACCTTTCTTCACTCTGCTCTCGCTTCATCGATAACGCATCGTTAGGCACAGTTGAAGTACAATGATCGTGTCTATCACCGTTCGGATAGTTCGAAATCTCTAGATCCTTGGCGAGAAGAGAGGACAAAATAAAAGGACAAAGAGAGACGAATGTCCGGGTCACGTCGTGGACAGCCGCGACATCTATCATCGAGACAATGTGAACTTCGAATAAATAATACTGTAAGACGCGCCGTGGCTCAGCTACACGGATCGTCCCGATGTTGATCGAAACTGAAGTACACGGTTGTACGCGCGAAACAACGCGTTTCTGTCGCTTTCGTTTATCGAGTCTCGTCGCGAACGGGAAAGAATTTCGAATTACCCAACGACCGGCTTAATAAGCGATTCGCGGGGCCATCTTGTGTGGTACGCGCATGCGCGCGCTCGATCGGCGGGATTCCTCTGCTCCTCGCGTTCTTCCCCCACTCTTCTCTCCGTCGGTGGACGCGGTACACGCACGCAGCAGTATTCTCTTCTTCACCCCCCCCCCCCGTTTTTTACCCAAACGTGTTCCTGTCTTTCTTCCGTTTTATTTATCCGTTTTCATGAACATCCGACCTAGTCCCACATTTTGGCACTCGGGAGTATTTGAGTAATTTATACGTGTTCCAGCCCCGACGGATCACAGGGTCCCCAGGCTAGGTGGCGTTCGTGAAACAAACGATTCCGGAACTCGTGTCGCGATCGATGGGTCGACGATCGTTCGAAGCTTTCTCGACCATCCGTTGACGTAATTTTCCGTTGCTCGACCAGGGCCCGCAGAACTCATCAAACGAAGATTTCACGGGTGTTCGATTCGGGATCGGGATCGGGATCGGGATCAGGATCGGGATCGGAATCGGAATCGGAGTCCCAGACGAAGAAAGAGCGAAAATCATCGTCGTCGTCATCGTCGTTGTCGTCGTTGTCATCGTCGTCGTCGTTGTCGTCATCGGCGGTCGCGAGGAATCCGTGCGATCGATCACGAGGGCGTTATGGATTGGCGCGGGCGGCTAGGGAGCCTGTTGTCGGCAGTCACAGCTTCAGCTCGTTCGCTATCTTGCTGGCAATATTTTTGAAACCGATCGACGTGCCCGAGATGCGTTTGAAACGCACGCCGTTCAGAGAGAGTCGTGGCAGTTTACACACTTCGATCTCCCATTGTACCTGGCTGTCTGTCGCCGCATCGCCGTGCGCGCACAGCAGCAGAAACCTTTCGCGTTGTTCGTACTGACATTTATTGGCGTCCAGTACCTGAAGCGATCGACAAACCGGTTAGTATACAAGTGGATTTTCGGGCGACTGGCGTAATTTTTTTCAAAAACTACGTTCCGATGTCCGTGGACTACACAAAAATAACAGGAATTATTTTTTTTAATCATGATTATTAACCCTTTCATTCCCACTGCAGCCACACCGACCACTTTCATTAAATAATCACATTACTGTTTTCTTCTTAATTATTAAACACATGCAATATTACTCTTTTAAAAATAATTAGAATTGAATTGAATTGAATTTAACCTAACCTAACCTAACCTAACCTAACCCAGACCTAACCTAACCTAACCTAACCTAACCTAACCCAACCCAACCCAACCCAGACCTAACCTGACCTGACCTAACATAACCCAGACCTAACCTAACCCTCCCTTTGTACGATCAATTACTGTTTTCTTCTTAATTATTAAACACATGCAATATTACCGACCCGATTTTGAGAGATCTAGACATTAAATAAATTGCCCTTTAAAAATAATTTGAATTGAATTGAATTGAATTGAATTTAACCTAACCTAACCTAACGTAACCCAACCCAGACCAGACCTAACCTGACCTGACCTAACGTAACCCTCTCTTTGTACGATTAATTACTATTTTCTTCTTAATTATTAAACACATGCAATATTACCAACCCATTTTTGAGAGATTAAATAAATTGGTCTTTTAAAAATAATTAGAATTATTAAACGGAATATTACTGTCACTTATATTTTCAACCACAGGCAGTAAAAAAAATTCTGTAATCTGTTACCTGTAAAATAGTATTACCGTTTTAAATAAATGGTTATATGAAATTATTTCTCGTTACAGTATTATCTTGATCAATATTAAAAAAATCACAGTTCATCCATTATAACTGAAACTTTGAGAAATGATAGAAACAGTTTTAACTATTTTGATCTAAAAAAATCCACTGCAACGAAAGAACAGAGAAATATTTTTTGCCCATGACTGTTTCATAATTTGGGAATGAAAGAGTTTGAAGTTTACAATTTCATACTCTAGTTTTGTTCAAAGTATGCTTCGTGCGAGTCAAATATACTTGTTCAGAAGTTTCTTCCACTGCTGGAAACGCATTGCGCATAAATGCACGTGATCCTTTTTAGTTCTAAGTCCGCCACTGTTCGTTTGTTAAACAGTTCGTGGTAGAGAACGAACGAAGATGAACGAAGAGACCTATCGAAAGGAAAGTAGAAATAAAATCATCCAAGATCATCACCGGTATTCCCCATTAAAGAGTTCCTGAAAACTTTTCCAACAGTGGAAACTACGTTAGGTCAAATGTATTGACTCGCGTGGAGAGTACTTTGAAGAAGACTAGAACATGAAATAGTAAATTTTAATAAACACGTTAAAAGAAAAATAATTCTAGTTATTTTAGAGTACCCTTTCGTGCACTGGATCAACAATGTTTCCGATACACCCTACTTAAATTTCTTAATGAATTTATTACAATGTGTTTATAAATGTTTTTGTCTGGCAGGCTGTGATCTTTAAAATGAATTTCTCAGTCTTAACCAAGCTTTAAAAATAATAGGTGTACATTCTATAGGGAGAGTATGTATTTCAGTTGGATGGGTGCTTCGGAGGTTGGAAGTTTAAAATTTATTGATACTACAATCAAGCAACATGTTTGTTTGAATATATTAAGGGCAAACCCAAAAAGCAGTGCCGAAAAGTTAAATACTGCTTGCTGTATAATGTACCAAAACAATTAATACATCATCTTAGATACTCAAGTATTTATAGCGAAAAAAACAAATGAAAGAACAAATAAATTTCCTTTTCAATACTACGAAATGAAAATATGTTTGTAAAAAGCATTGTAACATTGCGATGGATTCGTTAAGAAACTCTAGTGGCATGAGAAACATTGTTGACCCAGTGCACGTCAGGATTGGCCGAAACTGTGAAGCATTAAGTAATGCAGCATGACCCAATATGTATACATAAATGATTAATTACGTTGGACAAACAAATTTGTCTGTCGATCTTCGTAAAGGGTTGACGATTATTCAAACAATTCTGGAAATTGGTATTAATTTTTTACACTGATGTACCAAGGATAAAATAATAAAACTTGGTTAGCATCGATATTTATCATTATTCCAACCAAGTCTTAGAATATTTAATGTTCAGCATGAAATAAGTAGTACAAGAAAACAGATACAACATCGAATAAACAATTGCACAATGTAATTGATAGAAATAAATGTTCGAAATTGTACCTGTTTGCAAATACTTGAATGAGCATTGAAAATTAATACCAAGTACATTTTCTATGTAATCGATAGATGCCAATATTATTGTAGAGGCAATAAAAAAGTAGTACTTCGTTAGTAGACTGCCAATTTTTATGCAAATTCATATATTTAATAGAATTAATGAAATGTGAGCTTCATAAAGGGTTTCCTCGATCCCTAAATATAATAATTTGTATCTAATTTTGAGTATTCCTTATATTTTTACATATTAAGTGCATTCTGTAGTTTTTTCAGTCTATTCATTAGGTACTTGTGTACGAGTTTCACTAATGTATAATATTCTCGTTATACATACTGGGTCATTCTACATGAACCCAATACTCAACAAAGCATAAGTTCAACTCGAAACTATATTCTCGCTACAGCGTTCATTAAAAAAAAAAAATTGTCCCAAGAAGGGCAACGAATAGAATAGCTTTATGTTCCAGTGCAATACCTTTCGAATTTCAGACATGATTTCGTTTGGATCTCGACTACTGGTAGTTTTCATACTCCAAGTGAAACGTAGACTGCGTGGTTTAACCTGCTCATCGTTAGTGGTTGCTCCGCTGTAACAAAAGAATGTCTTAAATCTGCACGATCAAGCCGCGCGCCAAAACATGCGACAGACATTATTCTTTAAGTGGTCGTGCACACGAACGATTCGCATCGTGTCGGCCATTTCTTTTTTCTTCGCCAGTCGCGCGTGGTCGCAACGTTACAAAAGCGACCTTCCTTGTCGTTCAAAGACTTTTCTGACGATCAACGGGATACGTCTAAGATTAATAAACGTGCGCTAGGCTGATTCCGTGGGCCGTCGATCGCGAACTGAACGACGGCAAAGTAAAAACGTAAAAAAAAAAAAACGTCACACATGCGTGCCATGCATGCAATTCGTGGCCGCGTATATATGTATATTTATTCGTATATACACACTGAGAAATTTACGAGGGCAGAAGTAGTGTTAGGATATAAGTTCTAGGTTAGGTTCTAGTCGTACGTGACGGGTGGTGTCGAGCATTTGAAAAATGCATGTTCGCCCAGAGTCGGGCGAATTTTATCAACGGACGCCATTTTTAGATTCGTTGGTAATCTAAAGGTTTTGATCGTTGTTTGCGGATAAAATTTGCCCGAATCTTGGCGTACGTATGCCGGAACAGATTTTGGAAAGCTGCAAACGGGGGAACAGAGAGCGTTTGGAGCGTGTCGAAAGCGGGTACGTAGCGATCGGGCGCCGAAATAACAAAACTTGTCGATTGCTGCACGTCGACGGTAAACAAGATTCGTGCGTGCTTTCGTCGAACCTCGCACAACAAATCGAAATCACGAACGAGTAATTTACGTAAACGGTGGACGGTTTTGTCCAGCTTCGTTCACCGATACGAGCAATATTATCAATACGGTCACTGTCCATGACCCGCATATGGGTCATATCCGCTACGCTATTGGATACGTCGCCGAGAGACCGGACAGTGAATGCATTTGACCACAATTCGAATTTGCGTCCACGCTTGTTGAGAATAATCCAGACTTTTTTAGCGAGTCATTATTTTAAAAATTGTTTCTTAGACTCCCAATAATTATTTGGATTTTATTATGATTTTAATGAGTCTCGATATCGTGGTAAAAGGATTTACTGTTTGTGCACTGTTTGCATTTTAAATGAGCAAAGAAGGACTCTCAAGAAGTATCTCTCCTAGTACGATATTTCCTCGCTTATTGCGTCGATGTTTCCTCTGATCATCGCTGTCCAATGACCCACACGTGGGTCACTGCGGTTTTTACTCGACAAACGTCGCTCGTTTAAACTGAAAGCTTTCCTCCCTCGCTTATTGCATCGATGTTTCCTAGATCTTCGCTGTCCAATGACCCACACGTGGGTCACTGCGGTTTTTACTCGACAAACGTCGCTCGTTTAAATTCAAAGCTTTCCTCCCTCGCTTATTGCATCGATGTTTCCTCGATCTTCGCTGTCCAATGACCCACATGCGGGTCACGGGCGATTTTTTACTCGACAAACGTCGTCAATTTAAACTCAAAGCTTTCCTCCCTCGCTTATCGCATCGATGTTTCCTCGATCTTCGCTGTCCAATGACCCACATGCGGGTCACGGGCGATTTTTTACTCGACAAACGTCGCTCGTTTAAACTGAAAGCTTTCCTCCCTCGCTTATTGCATCGATGTTTCCTCGATCATCGCTGTCCAATGACCCACACGTGGGTCACTGCGGTTTTTACTCGACAAACGTCGCTCGTTTAAACTCAAAGCTTTCCTCCCTCGCTTATCACATCGATGTTTCCTCGATCTTCGCTGTCCAATGACCCACATGCGGGTCACGGGCGATTTTTTACTCGACAAACGTCGTCAATTTAAACTCAAAGCTTTCCTCCCTCGCTTATCGCATCGATGTTTCCTCGATCTTCGCTGTCCAATGACCCACATGCGGGTCACGGGCGATTTTTTACTCGACAAACGTCGTCAATTTAAACTCAAAGCTTTCCTCCCTCGCTTATCGCATCGATGTTTCCTCGATCTTCGCTGTCCAATGACCCACATGCGGGTCACGGGCGATTTTTTACTCGACAAACGTCGTCAATTTAAACTCAAAGCTTTCCCCCCTCGCTTATCGCATCGATGTTTCCTCGATCTTCGCTGTCCAATGACCCACATGCGGGTCACGGGCGATTTTTTACTCGGCAAACGTCGTCAATTTAAACTCAAAGCTTTCCTCCCTCGCTTATCGCATCGATGTTTCCTCGATCTTCGCTGTCCAATGACCCACATGTGGGTCACGGGCGATTTTTACTCAACAAACGTCGCCCATTCAAACGCAAAGCTTTCCTAAAACTGAAAAATGCAAGTATTATTTACAAGAGGAGATTGCTCGTATACCGAAACGAAGTCGGGACTAAACGGTTTCGTCCACTGTTCACGAAATGACTGTTCAACATCAGCAAGCAAAACACAGTTGCGTCCCTACGACTCATTCGTTTAAAAATTATTATTGCAAACGTGTTGTGTATCGTTGCTATGGCTACGATAGTGTCGTACGTCGAGTGTCAAACGTTTCGATTCGCAGGGAAAGGACGCGGCTCACTTCGTACCAGTCGCCATCGTTAAAAGGTGTTAAAAGAGAGAAGTTTCACGCAAAGAGAAAAAGTAAAATGAAAGTAAAAGAAGGAAAAGTAAAACGAAAAATTTGGACGAGTGTGAAAGAAACGAACGAACAAACAAACAAACGGACGGACAAAATTCAACGACAGAAAAAGAACAGAGGAGGCGTAAATGAAAGAAATTAGAACGTATGGGCGGTGGTATTATGGTATGCAGCAACGTACCTCACTACTGGGTGCTTGGGGGGTACGGATGGGTCCATGGGGCTGAAATAACAAAACAAAGGCAGTTGCTAACAAACACTAAACATGATAAATCGTCAAATCAAATTTCAGTTTATATGTATAAACCACCACCATTCTATATCACCACTTGCACACCTATATTTTTTGTTTTTCTTTTTTTTTACGATGCAACGAGAGGTCGTATAGCGTTTGGGACGAGATGTAACAGTTCTTGAGACTCGTTAAAATTATCTATCGTTAATATTAATTGGTAATTTGTTCTTAACAAAAAAAAATAAAAAAAGAAACGGAAAAAACGAGATAGTTAAACGGCATTACAAACTACGAAGAAACATTTTGGCAATCGTCGTACCTAAAAAAAAAAAAAAATATGTATTCACGTAACGCAAATATATGTATAGCTATGTTGTTCGAAACAAGCGAATTCGCACGTAAACACCTCTAATCGAAGACGCATGCACAAAACGAACACATGGGACCGAGATTTGTCTCGCGCGCGCTGGTAAAATATGATTCCTTTTTAATTGAGGATTCGGAAATAAATTGATACAACATATACAAGACAGTTTCAACATGTTTATTAATACGAAATTATTACTATTATTGCTTCTTAAAATTATTTTAAATAATATTTCTATCCTGTCTCTACGAGCCATTTACTGCCCTCCATTTTTATTTTATTCGCTTTTTCTTTTCTCTTGTTGCAATGATCTAAGGCAGACGTTTCTACAGGTTCATCGATTCGAAATTAGAAAAAAAAAGGACGGAAGAAAACAGAAATGCTAAAAACGATCCGGGCGTTTTGGACGGGCGTACAGAGTTGTGGAGTGCAGCAAAGAGCGTTCAAAACCATTTACAAATGCGCTATGTTCATTTATTACTTCGACGTACAAACGGTTGCGGCTGATACTTCGTCCGTTTATACGTTCTTTTTTTTTTTTTTTTTTTATAATGCGTAAAGACGATCGAGTTGCTTCTCGTTACCTTCTCTCGTTTTCTCACTGCCGTGCGCAACGCGTTAATATTAATTTGTCGCGCGGCCGTTTTTTTTTTTTTCTCTCCACGCATTCGATCTCGGTCTGAGCACGACAGGAATTATTAGAGACGATAAACCGTTACGTTTCAGCGAACACGCGTGCGTTATCAGACGCGTACCAGCGAGAACCGATTTACAAAGAAAATTCGATCGACGTTGTCGCGCCTCGAACAAGTAATTTGACGAAAGGGCATTGTCTGCCACTCGATCGAAGAGGAATCCGCGGATCAGCAACGCGTGCTGACGTTTCCATTTGGGCCGTCGATCGGCCACCCAACGAAAGAAAGAATCCGCGGATCAGCTGTGTTGGGAACGTTGACCATATCAGGCTGATGACCAATCCCCAAAGAGAGGGGAAGGCGCATAGAAGGCAGTGTCGAGACAACGGGTGAGGATTGACCATTAAAAGTTACGAACAAACCACCTATCGTTCTGCATTGGTGAAGTTCCATTTGCCCCCAGCTCAACAAGTTGGACCCCGAGGGGCACATCAGGATCCTCTGGAGAGATAACAAGAGTTCAAGAGGGGATCCCGGACGACTATCAACAGAAAGACCTCTTTCAAGCATTCCCAGATCCTTTGCAGACATTCCTCTATCTTCGTCCAGATACGATGGAGGAAGATGTTACGTCAGTTACCTCAAGAAGTTAAAGCATCACGATCCTTCTCCCACACTAGCAAAACTGTACCCCTCGTACCCTCTTGGTACCCTCTTGCGCTGGAGCGCAAACCTTAGCTTACTTAGAATATACCAAATCTGTTCATCAGAGAAGAGGAGGATCTGTTCATTATTTTCTTCAAGCTATTTGTATAAAAAATGAAATATCCTTTAACATCTGTAGAGGTGGTCCTAGGTCTGGCGTCTATGATCACTTCCACTCCAGAACTCATCACACGGCGTATCTAAAAGGGATCTTCCGTTGGTGCATCCTCCATTGCTCTTCAACCACATCTTTGATGATCTAGAAACTAAACTGACAGCACTTGCGGATAGAGTCATTGGTCTCATGAATTGACCAATAATAACCGCTGCCACCAAATAATGTTGTGCCCCTCAGGGTTCAACGCGTTGTGTGGGAAGATTCGGGAGTCGTTGAGGAATAGGTGGTTTATTCGTGACTTTTAATTGTCACGGCCTTTTATGCGCCTGCCCCTCTCTTTGGGGATTGGTCATGAGCCTGATATGGCCAACGTTCCCAACCGGGAGTCGCGATCAGCACATATTGCATACAGCTGATCCGTGGGATTCTTTCTTTCGTTGTGTTTGGCCGATCAACTGCCCCATTATCACGTGTTGCTGATCCGCGGATTCCTTTTCAATTAAGCGGCAGACAACGTCCTTTCATAAAATTACTTATTCGAGGCACAACATCGTTTATCGACGATAAAAAATACAAGCCATGTCGAACACTAAAGAAATCGATCCATAATCATATTTTCGTAATTTCGGACGATGGTATATCGGTTAAGAAACACTAAAGTTTACATGTAAAGCATACTTGATATCACCATGCAGTTGAAATTAAAGTAAAACGTAGGCACAAACTTATATTCTGATCCGTGGAAGTGGACTTAAATAAGATCTTAGTCGTTAACTGTAATCGAAATAAGCCACGCTCCGTTCGGTCATTCGTTCGCGCACGCGCACTCCACCTTTCGCTCGCGCACGCGCACTGAACTTTCTCCCGCGCATGCGCACCACCCTTTCTCTCGTTCGTTCGTTCCACGCATTCACGATCTATCGTAACACATTACAAACATGTTCCTTTGTTTCTCTCTCTCTCTCTCTCTCTCTGTCTCATCGTGTAATTTTTTTTTTCTTTTTCTTGCTTTCTTATAAATAATAGTATGATAAATTGTTATTTCTGTTGTTGTTGTTGTCGTCGTTCGGCACGTACACGATCTACACAAACACTGACCAGATTACTCTACGCTAAACTCGCGATGAAATTCTTGAAAAACTAGTGAATCGGTTTTCTTCTCCTTGTTCGTTTCTTCGTTTAGCAAAATACGTGTGAAATGTACAATATCAAAAAGAGGAAGGCACGCAGTTTACGATAACGGGGTAGTATCCGGTCTACGCAAAGTTCATCTTCGTTTTTACGATATATTGCGCCCCCATGCAAGCCCAATACACGCGCTTAGTAGAGGATAACGAGCCGGATGTTTTGGTCGCGAGCAAAATTATCGCGTTCTTGTCGTGAATTTTTATACTAAGCGCGGCATTGTCTCGTCAAGAAACACAATGGATAAACAAAGTAATTTCCTGTCGTCATACGATGACTGCCAAAAATATATATAGTATTTATATATGTATATATATATATATATATATATAGGTCTATATATATATATATATATATATATATACAGGTCTCTATGTTATATATTTCTATTGATTAATTAGTACAATATGGATCGAGTTACAATAATCAATATACAAAGAAACGAGTAACCAATAATCGTTTATGGCCTGTCTGTACCGATAAATCTTTGCACCTGTTCACGCGTTCCCTTCGAAATCAGTTATATACGCAATCGACGTTGAACCGTGATAGGTTGAATGCAAAATAAAAATAAATGCGAATATCGCGAATTGCCGGTCACTGCAATCGAGTAGCACGCTATTGTTTAATTCGTTAGTCGGTTTCGATATCAGTCTCATACAAGGTTAAGAAAGGAAAGAGCTTCTTGCTGCTGGTATTTTGTTGTTGTCGTGTGTTTAATGTAAAATATACAATGTAAAAGAAAAAAGGAAAAAAGAAAATGCACATTTACGGTCGCGAGGCGTCGTTCCTTTTTGTTATTCTTTCGTTCGGATTGAAATCGTCTTCGCGCGAAAGGGAAGAAAAACAAAATAATAATAACAGCGGAATGCCTTTAGCCATACATTTCACCGATTACGCGTAGCGATTCAACATCGAAAAATGAAAGTGTATAATAGTACTCGTTGAATTGCACCAACCGAACAGTGTAAAAAAAAAAAAGAAAAAAAAAAAATCCTAATCGTTTTTACGATCGGACTCGTTAAATGCCGGAGAAACCAAGGAAACCCGATATAAATGGTCGCGAAATTTTCGCGTGATCGAACAACTGAACATCCCCTCGTTATAACGACTTTTTCCAATGTAATTGTATTTACAAAAATTGCATGTGTGTAACGCGATATACACACACACACACACACACACACACACACGCGCGCGTAATTCGCGCGTTATCGGGCGAAATTTTTTCATACGAACGAACGTTTTCGAACGACGAGTAAAAAAAAAAAAAAAAGAAAAGAAAGTTCACTCGTATAAAAACGACAATTTATGTTATAGAATGAAAATATACGTCGCGTGGTAAACGAATAAAAATTTCACTGTAGAATCGAATAAACGTCGCGAACGAGTCCGCCGCGCATCGCTTTCAGTCGTCGTTCGTCGTTCGAACGAACCGTTTCCGTCCGCCCGCGCGAATTCGTACGGAGTAACGGGGATTACCCCATGGTGGTTCTCGCCTGAACGAGTTCGCGTTCGACGTGGACCGCGCGTCAAAAAACTAAACGCAAATTTCACACTTTCGTGAGGAACCTATGCTGGATATCATATATATATATATAAAAAGAAACAATAAAAATAAAAAGAAACGAAGTTAAGGACTTTGTGAGAAGAAAAAGGGAGGGGGGGTAGAGTAAACGAGTATCGAAACTCGGAAAATGCAACTGTTTCTGGTATCTTGGGATGACGCGAGAAAAACAAAAATGAAAAAAGGAAAAAGTATTGCACTAACAGGGAAGAGGAGATTAATTGTTATCCAACATATTTTCCCGGGATCGTAAGAATACGATACAGAAATACGGTAATTACAGGGCGATAACGTTATTCTACAGTTTCATCGTAATCCTACGTAATATTGTTAACAGAGAGATAAGAAAAAAAAAAAAAAATGAACGTGAGAAGGATTAAAAGAATACGCTACGTAGGAAGTCACGCTTGGCCACTCGATCAGATTTTAACTAGTTCTTTTTATTTAGCCAAGCAAAGTGGCTGGCGTGTATATCGGGCCGTTGCTCGATATTCGGCGTACGGCTCGCTCTCATTTCAGCTCGAGGGAAACAAGGCGAGACTTCACCCTTCACTTAGAAAACCTGTCAATGCATGAATGAATTGTTTTACATGTACTCCATTTATCTTTGTGAAATCGATCGCGCGACGTTTTGTTAGTACAATTATATACCACTTTGACGAACGTTCGGAGTGCTCGCGCGCGCGCGCGCGCGTACGCGTTTTCGTTTTTGGCCGTCGACAAAACACGTCCAGTGCAAACAACGGAAACGGGTGTCGAGAATAATCGCGATTGTTCGACGGACACGGAAATTGCTATGCGTCGTTACGGTGCTGAAGCTTGAACGCCAACCTAACCTAACTTCTAAGCACCCACAGCACCGGAAGATTTGATCTTTCTGTCTTTAAATTCGCGACAAACGTTTTTTTTTATCGACCGTCGGTAAAGACGAAACCCCCGAATGCTCGCGTTTCACGTCACTGGATTTCCGACTTCCGTCGAAAATTGTTCTGGATCAGAGCTGCACAACGCCAGACATGTTCCGGTAGCCCACGCAGTATAATCGTAATTCGATTCCGTGTTCTGTCCCAGTCTCGCGTGTCGATAGAAACAAAGTACGATCGATATTACGGATCGAATGTCAGTCTCGCTCGTCGTGGACCCCCCCCCCCCCACTATTACTTTAAACGAAAGCGGAGGGAACTTCCACGACAGGCTACTGCGTCGCCGATTCGCGCAGTAAACGCGATAGTCGAGCGCGCGGCTACTGCGCCGCCGGTCTGCGCAGCTCTGTTCTGGATCATCGACAAACGGTAAACGCGCGCTCGTTCTTACTCTAGGGGTAAAGAGGGTAAAGAAAAAAACGAAGCCGAGGGTATATGTCACGACGTACGAATACGTATAAAAATAGAAAGAAGATCGGGTATATGTATATCTTTAGATGAGCGGCATACGAGTGCACGTTCGGTATAGTTGGCAGGCTGAGTTAGGAAAGGCACAAATTCGAGTGCTACATCTAAGTGGATAAGGCGCCTTCCTGCATCGTCGCGCGTGTCAGGAAGACATTCGTATTCTCGAATCGTTGCGTTCGCACGACCGCGAGAGACAGACCCGCGCGAGATCCTCCGAATATTCGCGAGAATCCCATCGCACCGTCACGCCTGACACCCATGACATTTGTCAACATATTTTTGCATGTTCGTTGAAATTCGTGTATCTCGTTTGGATTTAGTTTCCTCGACAATTTTTTTATAGGCTCCCCGTGAGAAAATATCGCGCATAGAACGAATAAAAAATTAGTTATTTACAATTCTTTTTGACGGAAACGAGAATTTTGCCCGCTTTTGTTATCGGCGTTTGCGATTCTTATAGAATTCCCGCGCGTTTCCGGGGATCACCGACGGGCTGTCAATTGATATTCGTTCGTTCGTTTATATGTTCCCATCGCGAGAACGGGATTCTCGAACCTTACACCTCGGCGACACGCCACAGAATAACGGAGCCAAAACGTCGTTTCTTTTTTCTCTCCAAACGCGTCCCCCGGGCGAGAACGATCCGGTCGAGAGCGTTGGGTCGTACACAACGTGCGCAACGTTTCTGCGCACGATTCCTCGAGGCCGATCGCACAAACAAATGCGTTAGGCGGTGTGTGTGTTTCTGGTCTCGGCAGCACATTTGGTCGCATGTTAAGTTTTCGCGCGTCTCTATGGCCATTTGCTTGTCGGAACCCGAGCGAAGCCAAGCTTTAATCGGTTCACGTCCTGTAGCATAGAATACACACACCGGTATAAATTAATGTCGAAGAATTAAGCGATGCACCAATGGCTATGCTCTGTGTTCGAGAATTGGCAACAAATGGAAAAAAAAATGAAAAAAAAAAAATTCTTTTCGGTTTTAATTCATCCGCCCTGTATCGACGATGAGTACAGTGACCATATCGTGAAAGTACGTGTTATTTTTTTTATTTTTTTTTATTTTTATTTTTTTTTTTTTTACAAGCACGAACCCGGGTTTACTCTCGTTATTCTGTGGCCTCTGCGTCCTCGGTTCCAACTACACTTTCATTATAAACCGTTTCGCTTGTTCTCTCTACGCGTCTAACGCAATCACGCGTCCTCGTCGCTTGTACGATTACCGTAATGGCGGCAAGATCAAAGTCCCATGTTAAATATATACGTGTACGTATATAAAATTAGGTAATAAATCAAGGATTATGCCTCGCTACAACTCAAGTCAAAAAGGGATGCACAATGAGTATGCGAGGTGGCCCGAACTCAGCCAAGCAGTATTACTTTCGTCGACGGATACCGTAGGGCACATTCTCTGTCAATACTCGAGCGTTCGAACGTTAAGAGAGCATCGTAACGACGGAACGGACACGGAACGTGGAACGGAACGTGGATACGGACCAAAATTGTACGTTGCACACGATGTGTATATACATATATATATATATATATACATACGTTTGCGGTTCTTTTCTACTCGTCTCTAACAAACGAATCGTACTCCTGTAGGACAGAGAGACCATAACGTTTTTTTTTTTCTTGTCTACCAAGAAACGAACTAAAGGGGTTGGGGTTTAGAGAGGGGGGGAGGGGGCTATAGAAACCTTTCGAGCAAACGTTTGCGGGACAAAATAGAGTAAAGATAGAGAAAATAAGGAAGAAAGAAAATGAAAGAAACGGTACGAGCGAGCGAACGCGTTTCGGCTTCGGGATAAAAAAATTGGCGCAATAAATAAATAAAACTACGAAACGTCATGGACAAGCTACGTGTAATTCGTGGCTTTCACTGATAATGGTCGCTGCTGGCTCATCGGATCTGTTTAGCCGATCATACTGTATAGTTTTCGTTTTCACAACATAGTGTATATACGTGTTACAAAAGAGACGTATACGATATAGAAATGTATATCGTATGTATATACGGTTTTCAGAATTACATAGTCATTGTGCATCCTTAAAACAGAAATATCATAATCGCATGCAAACGATAGGTTCGACTCGTTTAAACTATTTCAGCATGAATGTAAGAAAACACAGTCCAAGATTCGTTCGTTTTTGTCGGATCCATTAATACGCATGCATCTGGGGGAGGGCCCACTGCAAAAGCTCTCGCGCGTCTTCTATTGCTTTTTTTGCCTCGTTCTGCGTTAGTTTTCGATCGATCCGTCCCGGTGAAAATATCAAATCGTACCGATCGAATTGGTTCGCCGCGCGACGAGCGTAAAGGAACGAAAATCTGCCGGCGATCGTGAATTCAAAAAAAAAATTTGCTCTTTTTTAATTTCGCGGATCTCCGAAAAACCGTTATTTCTCAAATGCTTCGAATCGGTTCGTTCGTTCGGGTCGACTTTTCGATTTTATAAAAAAATTAGTTACTTGGCCGACGTTCGATATACTTTGCGGACGAACAGTGGTATTTTACAGTGGTACATGTACTAGCATGCTGTCAAATATCGGAAAAAAGATGTCTAGTCGATATATACGTTTAGTTAGGAAGCGACAAATAGAAACACTTACCGTTTGGAGAACCTCGACGATAATTTTGAGAAAAAGGACGGTCTCGCTAGCGGGCTAATTGCATTCGTGTCCTGCGTGTGAGTGTGACCCTGAAAAGACCATGAAAAATATTTGTAGGATTATTACGTCGCTTTATAATACATTCCTTATAATTAAGTATACTATATTTGTATAAAATATTATTTCAGCATTTTGTATTCTGGTTTAGCTGTACAAATTTGTGAAAAAAGTATAACTAGTTAAAATATATTATTCAATAATAATAATAATAATAATAATAATAATAATAATAATAATAATAATAATTCTTTATAATTAAATATACTATATTTTTGTATAATAGTATTTCAGCATTTTGTATTCTGGTTTAGCTGTATAAATTTGTGAAAAGAGTACAGCTCATTAAAATGTACTATTCAATAATAATAATAATAATAATAATAATTCTCTATAATTAAATATACTACATTTTTGTATAATAGTATTTCAGCATTTTGTATTCTGGTTTAGCTGTATAAATTTGTGAAAAGAGTACAGCTCATTAAAATGTACTATTCAATAATAATAATAATAATTCTTTATAATTAAATATACTATATTTTTTTTTATAATATTATTTCAACATTTTGTATTCTGTATTAGCTGTATAAGTGTGAAAAAAGAGCATAGCCGTTAAAACGTACTATCCAATAATAATAATAACAATAACAATTCTCTATATGTGAATATACTATATTTTTTTGTATCATTTCAATATTTTCTATTCTGGTTTAGTTGTATAAATTTGTGAAATGAGCAGAACTCGTTAAAATATATTATTTAATAATAATAATAATAATAATAATAATAATAATTCTCTATAATTAAATATACTATATTCCTATATCATTTGAATATTTTGTATTCTGGTTTAGCTATATAAAATTTGCAAAAAGAATATAACTCGTTAAAATATATTATTCAATAATAATAATAACAATTCCCTATGTTTGAATATACTGTATTTTCACATCATTTTAATATCTTTTATACTGGTTTAGCTGCATAAATTTGTAAAAAGAGCGTAACTCGTTAAAATGTACTATTCAATAATAATAATAATAATAATAATAAAAATAATAATTCTCTATAATTAAATATAGTATATTTTTATATCATTTTAATATTTTGTATTCTGGTTTAGCTGTATAAATTTATAAAAAGAGATCATTATCACTTATTAATTATTATTCAACAATAGTATACACTGGAAACTGATTAATTGCTACAAAAATAATAATACTGATTTATATTTGTAATAAATAAACTTCTTCTCACACGTGTAAATCTTTTTATAATTAATAATACTACAAAACAATTATAATTATATTTGTTACACGTAACACGTTAAAAATTGAATCGTAACAAAATTCATCCGGGTTACAAAAACGTAAAATAATTTTTGTTTGTTTCTATTCCGAGAACTCGTGTATCAGATAAGAATAAAAGACGTACGAACCTGAGTATGATTTCGCTGCGCTCTATTTTGGCCAGAGTGGAACGTGCTACGACTTGGAACATTTCGAGGAAATGCTGGTGTTGTAGGTGTTGCCAGTCTATTACTTGGAGACACACCCAAGCTAATTAGAAATAGTTGTTTTTGTTATATTAATGTTGCTCGATATGGTTCGCTGCGTGTATAGTAACTATGTGTAAATAATTGCTTTGTCCGTGTCGATTTCTTTGCTACCGTTTTTGTCTTTTCTCTTTATCACGACTTTCGTTACGGAGGAAGCAAAAGACAAGATGCAAAGAAAACACCAGGAAAAAAAAAAAAAAATTTAGAAGAAGAATAGTAGGATGTAAAAAGTAAACAAAATCTTCGCTTTCAGCGCGACAAATGTCCTTTAAGAGGACGGTTTTATAATGCACAAGCGATGTTTCTACGTCTTGCAAGACAAGCTTCGATAGTTTTCAGCTAAGAAAGCAGAACTTGTTAAACAATTTACGCTAACGAAGAGAGTTACACGAATGATCGGGGTACAATGTACCGAGAAACATTTGTTTGCAACATGCGTCGATAGAAGAGAACATTTAGTAAAAGTTAGTCGGTTTTTACTGACAACGCGACGAGACAATAACAGAAACGGTTAATTGCAACGGTAAATATACCGGCACGTGCATGGATGGTTCATACATAACCGACTGCTCTTCTATAGAACTCTAATTATTACGAATAATACTATTAAATGTGGTTCGTATATAAAAATGTTCCGAATGCCTACAGTACATGATGTTAGAATTAGAATCTTTATTAGTATACCTCTATGAAGTTCGTATACTAATTTGAAGCGTTATAATACTTACTGTAAGTCTCTCACACTTTCGAAAAAAGATACGCTACAACGTACATGCGAATTACTCCATAAACGGTAAAGTTAAACTGTTCTACGTATACTGTTTCTGTATTTTAATGGCCGATTTAGCTTGTGTTCGCGGTAGCGCGTGAGTCCGTGGAGTACCAATCGAGAACGATGTAACGAGAAATGAGGTATAAAGAAATGAAAGAGGCGACCAAAGCCGGATGATCAGAATAGAAATAATAAATTTGCGATAGATAGACGTGCAAGTTAGAAACAAAAAGGAAAGTAAATGGAGCTAAATGACCAGAAACTGTCCTAGAGAACCTACGAAGACAATTTCAAATCCTCGACCGCGGGTCCTAGTTACCCTAAGAGAGTTAGTGGCCCAGAAATAAACAAGTAAACAAACGAACGAATTGGTGGGGAGGGGGGAAAAAAATATGTATCCGAATATATCTCTCGCAAGAGTAGGGTGCTCCAATAGTCTAGCGTGGAATTGCAAGTTACTTTTCATTCTTCGATGATCCACCATCGGCGCGATCGACTTAACCCTTTTAATGTGCAGCAAATTACAAAAATTTAGTTAAAAACGATATCAGTAGTTGGTCATTTATTGTCAGATGTACTGATAAGAATGCGGAAAGAAATGAATGTTAAATATTTGCTACGATAGATCATCTGCATCTTTATGAATGTAGTCTGGGGGAAAAAGAGAGATTGGATTCAGGTTAAGAGGCATATGGTAGACCATGAGTAACTAAAATGAATACCCGAGTAATATGTTTGCATACAAGTTGCAATTTCAAGATTGATATTTCTTTACGTTGATATTTATGCTTCGCTTTCTGTACATAGTTACATAAGGCAACGACTAATATTTTAGTACTTTTTACAAGCCATGACAGTTTTGCTATGTAGCATTAAATATCCAAAGTTGGATCCTGATGTAAACCTGCCAATTTATGTTGCTTTTAATATTTTTAACTGAGAAAGCTAGATGCCCACAGAACTCTGACCTTCTACGTTCCTCAAGGGATTCCCATGACTGATATTTTCTTCTACAATAATTTCTTTACATTCATATTTGTGCCTTGTGTTCTGTACATACTTATATAAACTAACGACTACTATTTTAGTACTTTGTACAAGGTATGACATTTTTACTATGTGGCTTAACCCTTTTAATGTACAGTAAATTACAAAAATTTAGTCAAAAACGATATCAGTAGTCGGTTATTTATTGTCAGATGTACTGATAAGAATGCGGAAAGAAATAGATGTTAAATATTTGCTACGATAGATCATCTGCATCTTTATGAATGTAGTCTGGGGGAAAAAGAGAGGTTAGATTCAGGTTAAGAGGCATGTGGTACACCATAAGTAACTACAATGAATACCCGAGTAATATGTTTGCATACAAGTTGCAATTCCAAGATTGATATTTCTTTACGTTGATATTTATGCTTCGCTTTCTGTACATAGTTACATAAGGTAACGACTAATATTTTAGTACTTTTTACAAGCCATGACAGTTTTGCTATGTAGCATTAAATATCCAAAGTTGGATCCTGATGTAAACCTGCCAATTTATGTTGCTTTTAATATTTTTAACTGAGAAAGCTAGATGCCCACAGAACTCTGACCTTCTACGTTCCTCAAGGGATTCCCATGACTGATATTTTCTTCTACAATAATTTCTTTACATTCATATTTGTGCCTTGTGTTCTGTACATACTTATATAAACTAACGACTACTATTTTAGTACTTTGTACAAGGTATGACATTTTTACTATGTGGCTTAACCCTTTTAATGTACAGTAAATTACAAAAATTTAGTCAAAAACGATATCAGTAGTCGGTTATTTATTGTCAGATGTACTGATAAGAATGCAGAAAGAAATAGATGTTAAATATTTGCTACGATAGATCATCTGCATCTTTATGAAAGTAGTCTGGGGGAAAAAGAGAGGTTAGATTCAGGTTAAGAGGCATGTGGTACACCATAAGTAACTACAATGAATACCCGAGTAATATGTTTGCATACAAGTTGCAATTCCAAGATTGATATTTCTTTACGTTGATATTTATGCTTCGCTTTCTGTACATAGTTACATAAGGTAACGACTAATATTTTAGTACTTTTTACAAGCCATGACAGTTTTGCTATGTAGCATTAAATATCCAAAGTTGGATCCTGATGTAAACCTGCCAATTTATGTTGCTTTTAATGTTTTTAACTGAGAAAGCTAGATGCCCACAGAACTCTGACCTTCTACGTTCCTCAAGGGATTCCCATGACTGATATTTTCTTCTACAATAATTTCTTTACATTCATATTTGTGCCTTGTGTTCTGTACATACTTATATAAACTAACGACTACTATTTTAGTACTTTGTACAAGGTATGACATTTTTACTATGTGGCTTAACCCTTTTAATGTACAGTAAATTACAAAAATTTAGTCAAAAACGATATCAGTAGTCGGTTATTTATTGTCAGATGTACTGATAAGAATGCAGAAAGAAATAGATGTTAAATATTTGCTACGATAGATCATCTGCATCTTTATGAAAGTAGTCTGGGGGAAAAAGAGAGGTTAGATTCAGGTTAAGAGGCATGTGGTACACCATAAGTAACTACAATGAATACCCGAGTAATATGTTTGCATACAAGTTGCAATTCCAAGATTGATATTTCTTTACGTTGATATTTATGCTTCGCTTTCTGTACATAGTTACATAAGGTAACGACTAATATTTTAGTACTTTTTACAAGCCATGACAGTTTTGCTATGTAGCATTAAATATCCAAAGTTGGATCCTGATGTAAACCTGCCAATTTATGTTGCTTTTAATATTTTTAACTGAGAAAGCTAGATGCCCACAGAACTCTGACCTTCTACGTTCCTCAAGGGATTCCCATGACTGATATTTTCTTCTACAATAATTTCTTTACATTCATATTTGTGCCTTGTGTTCTGTACATACTTATATAAACTAACGACTACTATTTTAGTACTTTGTACAAGGTATGACATTTTTACTATGTGGCTTAACCCTTTTAATGTACAGTAAATTACAAAAATTTAGTCAAAAACGATATCAGTAGTCGGTTATTTATTGTCAGATGTACTGATAAGAATGCAGAAAGAAATAGATGTTAAATATTTGCTACGATAGATCATCTGCATCTTTATGAAAGTAGTCTGGGGGAAAAAGAGAGGTTAGATTCAGGTTAAGAGGCATGTGGTACACCATAAGTAACTACAATGAATACCCGAGTAATATGTTTGCATACAAGTTGCAATTTCAAGACTGATATTTCTTTGCGTTGATATTTATGCCTCGCTTTCTGTACATAGTTACATAAGGTAACGACTAATATTTTAGTACTTTTTACAAGCCATGACAGTTTTGCTATGTAGCATTAAATATCCAAAGTTGGATCCTGATGTAAACCTGCCAATTTATGTTGCTTTTAATATTTTTAACTGAGAAAGCTAGATGCCCACAGAACTCTGTCCTCCCACGTTTCTTAGGGGATTACCATGAATGCGTTAGGAGGGTTAATGCTTCGAAGGCGACCAGGTGAATTGCAAGCGTTAAACCAAGGAGCAACCGTAAAGTTCGTCGAAGTAACGGATTGCACGTTAGACTTTTGGCACAACTAGCATGGGGAATTGTATATAGGTTGGCTGATAAGGCGTAGGGGACCTGTACCTCTGTCTAAGAGGGTCAGCAGTGGCGAGTAAGGAGTTGTGGGCGTTGCGTGGTTGAGGGTCCAGTAGTGAATGGTCGCTGGGGGGTACGCCACTCGAGGAACGGTGACCTGCGCTGATGCTCGCAGACTTGGTGTGACCCCGCGTTGGTCTAGTGCCCTCGCCCAGGCTGTGCACAAAACTAATCAACAAACTGCCCTGCTCGAGACACCGGCTCTACCATTTCTACCGTTTAATAATAATTAGCTCTGCTGTTCTCGCAGATCGAATCGGTTCGTAATTCGCAGAGGAAGACGCGTGTTACTTTCCTCGTTGTCGCGATCGATAAACGGTTCTCTGGAAATCAGGTAATTTTTCGTCCGTCGAGAGAATTAAAAAAAAAAAGAAAGGACTGATCCAGCGTATGGGATACGCGATTTTCGTTCGACGCGTTATCAACCATCCACGGTGGGCACACGGGACCACCCAAGGGCCTTCCCCCATTTTTCTTTAACCTAAATGAGAGGTTATGTTGCATTGGACGTGTTTTTTTTTTTTGCAGAGCTATCGTAGATTACAATACTCTAATTATTTTTTGATAAATAATGTGACGACTGCGAAGTTGGCGGCCATCTTTGTTAGTCGCCATTGCTCTATCTTCGCGTATATGAAAAATCTTGGACGAATTTACATGATTAATACGTTTAAATACGATATACTGAGAAATTGAATACTATGTACATAATCGTTTTCACAATAGGATTGAATTTTAACTGGAAAGGCCCTTGGATTTTTAGCGATCGAGGGGAGTGCAACAAACAAAATGGATTCCCTCCTCCATTTTGGTAAGTTTCTAGGAAAATTAATTCTGTTAACGGTAACTTAGAAAAGACTAACTATGGAATACAGAATTATTAATTAAATATGTATTGCTTTGAGAATAAATTTAGTTACAAATAACAATACTCTTACTAATAGAATAAGAAAAGGGGAATCCTGTACTTTCCTCGAACGCCAAGAATGGATGGTACCGTGTCCATGGGTAAAAATGTAGCGAAACACAATTTTTCACTGATAAACTGGAGGATCCGTGGGGATGAAATTTGTGGGACCGAAGAGAGAGGACGGGTGTAAAATGAAAATACTGTCCTGTGCTACGTAATAAGTTTGGCTCGCGAGAAATTCTACGTCGAGAGGAACAGAATACGACGCTAAAACATAATAAGAATGAAAACATGTATGATGAATGTTAATGGTTGGTATCTATAACGCACACGACTTGTAGATCTAGATATACATTTGTAAAAAAAAAAAGAAGAAAGAACAGAGTAAAGGTCATGTGAATGTAACTGTGGCTCGGTATAATTTATAGCAAGCAATTTGTATAATTGTAAGTATTACACGTTTGATTAGACTATCTGTTCTGTCAACATCTGTCAAGCCATAAAGAAAGTGGTCTGCAATGAACGATTGGCAGGCAGCAGCCAACATGCTAGAGCAACACAACAAACAAATAAACTCCCTTGGGGCTTAATGACAGAGTCTTGGTTATTTGTCCGGATGTTTAAGTCAATCTTCTCGTTCAAACGTAGGTGGTTTAGTATACTTAACGCACGAGCAATCGGTCGCCTATGGTTAGTCGGTACAATTAAAGAAAAGAAGGGGAAAAAAAAAATATGGAAAAAAAATATACGTAAGAAACCACTGTTTAGTCGACAAGAAACTGTAAAAAAATAACCAATTACGAACCGAAGTTTCGCTGTGCGCGTTAAGAAATTGTATATGGTTTATCGGTGCAGACACTGGATCACACTCGAGACGCTCGATGTTTCCTCGAAAAACTTGAAATACGTTCCTCGAACGTTGTTTAAGCTCTTGTGGATCCAGTGTCTACGGCATCGTTGGTAGACTAAGTAATAATCGTTGCAATAATTCATGAATATTCATCGAATCGGTACATACGAAGATGAGAGTAGATAAAAAAAAACAATTGGATGTTACTATACCTGGGTGGATCGTTGGTTTTTTCGGTAGACGAGGAGGACGTTTTCGCTTGATCATAGGAGATGGTACTACGTCGACCAACAAAAACAACGCTAGGTGAGGTGAGTGGTCGACCACTACCACCTACCCCTGTATTCATCGTGTTGCTCTTGCCTGCCCATGCCCTACCACCGGGACTTGTACCCACGCCTAGAATGAACATTGTCACTGCAAGCCTCATTAGATATAGTTCAACACAAAACAAAGCAGCGGATACGTTTTAAAAAAAAATTATAACACAGGCATGGCAACGAGTGTCAACAAGGACTAAAAACATTTGGTATTGGCGGTACGTCGCATCTACTTCTCTCTGAATACTCAAAGTTTCAACTATTATTCTTTAACAATGTCCACCAAACGAATCACTAAAGGATTCAGGAAGCAAATACGACGCTGAAATTATTTACAAGTACAAATAACAATCTTCAACCCCAGACGAATGTCGTTGATGCTTTGGTAAATCTGAATTTATCAAAAATATGGCGAGATAATAAAATAGAGATATATTAATAATCACTTGTACCATGACGAGTTTTACTAAGTTTGTACAAAGGTAATACGGAAGTCTATGCAACTTTGTGCACCCCTAGAACTTCCAAAGTATGCGTTGCACAAAATATTTTGCATAAAAAAGTTGGTCTGAAGGGGTACGCTAGTGCATTTGTCTTTTTTATAGGCTAAGACGCAATATTGTTTTTTTACATGGAATACTTTATATACCCAAATGATGATCTTTATTAACCCTAAACCTAATATAACTAATGAGTAATTTCATTTTATTTTTTGAAAAGTTTCTTCGCGTAATATCAAAAGGAAGACTAAACCTTATTGCAAAGTTTTGCGGAACAGTGGAAATTGTCAAGAAATAATTCTATTAACAGTACTAATGAAATGCGAACTCTGTAGTCTCAACCCCTAAATATAATAATTCGTATCGTACTTTAAGTATTTCTTATAATTGTGTACATTAACACGTTCACTGCCAGATCGAAACCGTATGATATTCTGCAAACATGAAATTTTTATTTTAGACCATTGTAACCTAAAATTTATTTCAGTATTTATTTTTGTAACATCGTCAAAGTTCATAAATTCTATCCAAATTTATTTTTCTCAACGTTTTAACTTTAGAATTAATTTTTCTAGTATCGTAATGGTAAATCCTGTCACCCGTACCTGGGTGACGTGGCAATGAAAGTGTTAAGTGCATTCTGTAGTTTTTTGAGAATTTCAAATTCTCTAGTCTAGTTATTAAGTTTAGGGCTACTGCGGGTCAATACTTATTTACTCAGAATTTGATATTCTTTCATATTTTGGTATAAATAGTATTTCGTTGAAAAGAAACCAAAGTTAACCTTCAAATCTTTGAAACGCCTTCACCTATAAAAAAAGACAATTGAACTACATGGTGTATCCCTCCAAACCATGCAACTCATTTATACAAAATTGTGTCGAGCAACGCATACTTTGCAAGTTTATAGAGGTGCACAAACTTCTAACCGCAAACAGGTGTAAGTTTGAAGAACTGTAATTAAACGCACCCACGATAGGCGTCTGGGGTTAACCAGTGTGTAGTAACTTTTGGGGTAGTGGATGGGGCTTACGAATTAGGAGCACATAGAACCGTGACACAGAAGTATAAATAAAAATGTAAATTACGAAATCATTAAAAAATGTTGGAATTAGGGAACGAACCACTGCAACCTTATCCAAAGCAGATAAATATATGGTATATAAATATGTATATATGTTTTGCTAAAGCTTCGCAAAGGTACAACATCGCAAACGATTGGACAAGGATGGTGAGATTCGAGTGAAGGTTACGGTACAACAAAAAGAAGAACTCACTAGTGTCTAATTGCCCTGGACTGTTTTTCGGAGCCGAAGGACGGCTCGCGGACACACGAGCACTGTTCTCCTTGATCGTGGCTGCGTCTACGGTATTTTGTCGTTTAAAATTACTACCACCGCTTCCAGTCACAGTCCCGCCGGTCGCAGCAGTCGCGTGATTATGATTCGTCGCGTTCCCTGGACTCGGTGCTCCCCCTAGCGAGGTAAATGCGTTATACAACGGGTGTACGGACAATCAGACAAACCACGCCTCTCGCTCGTCGAGTAGTAAATTTCATTAATCGACCATTTCATCGACCATTTTCAAAAAGCATCGACGAAAAGTCGCTGCCAGACGTAGACGTTTCACCGAGGCGACGCATATATATATATATATATACACGTTTCGTCGACGATCAGACACAGTTTTTTTTTTTTTTTTAAACACTCTCTCGGGCCGCCTGGTATCTCTCTTACGTCCCTTACCTATATACGTATGTCTGCCTCGTTCGTTCGACGTTCGCGTCAACTCGGTACCGATAACGTTTCAAATCCGGACTGGCTAGAGTTTCGGTGATAAAAAAAAAGTTTCGAGAGCTTTTGGGAAGGTGGAATAACGTTTTTAAAACTTACGAAGCGATTCGATTACGGACGAAACCCGTCTACTGGGTTTTGGATTGCTAGCGGAAATACTTCTGTGAACACCTCTGTGCGATGGACTCTGCACGGCGCCACCCGTGACTCCTCCGGTTCCTCCGCCTCCGCTTCCGCCCGAACCAGCTTGCGGCGGAATGTTGCGCAACGACAATGAACTGCCTGACCGCGAACCGTCCGATTCAGGCTACGAAACGAATCGTTTTTTTTTTTTTTTTTCTTGGTTTGTTTGTTTTAAATTTATAACTAGATCCACGTCCACTTCTACCACGCTCCCCCGTTTTACTTACATCGGTGGTCTTTCTTCCTAGGAGTAAGTACGTGGCGAACACGTCATCGTACTTCGCTTGTTCTAAGGAATCTTCTATTTCACTTCTCGTGTACCCCATACTAGCCAGGGCCTCTAAAACAAACAGGCGTAGCGGCATAGTCACAACCACTAAGAATACTAGCCAGAATGATGCTATTAATTCAACAAACGAGCAACGCCCGGATAATACCCGTCTCCGACTCACGGAATCCACGCAACTACACGTTTCATTTTCTATCTATCGTCGCGCGGATCGGTGATGCATCGCGGGCAGGCAAACAAAGATTTCGAGAAGAAGCTCGGTGGTTCGCTGTGCAGGAAGAATGCGTTCGTAGACACCATTTTACACACTACTGTTTACCATTGTAGGCACTAAGAGACCGCGAGGAAATCGTCGTTCTTCTTCGTATCGAACCATTTACCAAAGGACAGTGCTGGAATTTAGAACCAGTCTTGGACCTCGCTGTCGAACTACTATTTTTGCGCAACTTGTATCTACGGTCAATTTAGTAAATGAACAATGGTCACTTAGTCGATTTCATGAATTCTATTCAAATTTATTTCCTTTTACACTTCAGTTTCAGAATTAATTCTTTGATTCCAAAGTGAAATGTCTTGTCACCCACATGTGAATGGTATGGCAGTCATATGTAGGTTAAGTTTGGGTTAAGTTCAACATTGGATAGTAAGAATGATCAACAGCAAATGTGCACTCTTTGTCTAGGAAGTCAATTTTAGAATTATCTAATTACTGAAAACGAAAGTTAAAATGGTGGTCATATGTAGGTTAGGTTTGGGTTAAGTTCGACATGAGTTTAGATACCAAGAATGATCGATAGCAAATGTGCACTCTTTGTCTAGGAAGTCAATTTTAGAATGATCTAATTACTGAAAATGAAATTTAAAATGGTGGTCATTTGTAGGTTAGGTTTGGGTTAAGTTCAACATTAGTTTAGATACCAAGAATGATCGACAGCAAATGTGCACTCTTTGTCTAGGAAGTCAATTTTAGAATTATCTAATTACTGAAAACGAAAGTTAAAATGGTGGTCATTTGTAGGTTAGGTTTGGGTTAAGTTCAACATTAGATACCAAGAATGATCAACAGCAAATGTGCACTCTTTGTCTAGGAAGTCAATTTTAGAATTATCTAATTACTGAAAATGAAATTTAAAATGGTGGTCATATGTAGGTTAGGTTTGAGTTAAAATCAACATTAGTTTAACTACCAAGAATGATCAACAGCAAATATGCACTCTTTGTCTAGGAAGTCAATTTTAGAATGATCTAATTACTGAAAATGAAATTTAAAATGGTGGTCATTTGTAGGTTAGGTTTGGGTTAAGTTCAACATTAGTTTAGATACCAAGAATGATCGACAGCAAATGTGCACTCTTTGTCTAGGAAGTCAATTTTAGAATTATCTAATTACTGAAAATGAAATTTAAAATGGTGGTCATTTGTAGGTTAGGTTTGGGTTAAGTTCAACATTAGTTTAGATACCAAGAATGATCGACAGCAAATGTGCACTCTTTGTCTAGGAAGTCAATTTTAGAATTATCTAATTACTGAAAACGAAAGTTAAAATGGTGGTCATATGTAGGTTAGGTTTGGGTTAAGTTCAACATTAGATACCAAGAATGATCAACAGCAAATGTGAACTCTTTGTCTAGGAAGTCAATTTTAGAATTATCTAATTACTGAAAATGAAATTTAAAATGGTGGTCATATGTAGGTTAGGTTTGAGTTAAGTTCAACATTGGATAGTAAGAATGATCAACAGCAAATGTGCACTCTTTGTCTAGGAAGTCAATTTTAGAATTATCTAATTACTGAAAACGAAAGTTAAAATGGTGGTCATTTGTAGGTTAGGTTTGGGTTAAGTTCGACATTAGTTTAAATAGCAAGAATGATCAACAGCAAATATGCACTTTTCGTTTAAGAAGTAAATTTTAGAATTATCTAATTGCTTCACTGAAAACGAAAGTTAAAATGGTGGCTCTAGTTTCAGTTCCATTATTTTACGTTTAACAAAGTTATATAAAATTCAGTTTTTATGAAAACTCTGCGTAACGAATTAAAAACAAGTGTTTTAACATTAATCTACTGCACTTGGTTTCCACTCGTTAATCTTTGGTTATTTAACCCCTTACTGTAGAATAAAGTGTCCAAATCATAACAAATTCTTTATATCAAGTTTAATGATAACAACACTACAGTTGTCAAGAAGTCTCATGTATTAAAATCATATTCTCAAGGTATTCGTAAAATAAATCCCTTCTTTTTCACGAGCATATACTAACAAATTTAAACAAAATTAAATAGTATACATTTGTGAAATTGCTTGTAATGGAATCGTATTAAAAGAGGTTAAACGACGCCATTTTGATACGAAATACTATTGCAAGTGAGAACATTTCAAACAAAAATCTTATTACTTTTTTACCAACTCCAAGTTTCCATATGAAATTTCAGTAAGCCTATTTTCTCTTTGCGACTACAAGTTTTCTTGAAACTTAAAATCAACACATTTTGCAAGACATTCGTGAAATAAATTTGTTCCATTGTGAGCTTCTACGAACAAATTTAAACAAAATTGCTTCTAATTAAATTGTATTCCAAAGGGTTAAATAAAGTTCCACGAAGAAAATTCTCTGAACGAATGATTATTTTGTGAAGATGGACTCTATCCAGAACGCGAGGCACAGATGATTTAATACGGCGTTAAGAGGATCAACTCCAATTTGGTATATCCGGTAATTAATATATCAAGATGTTGTTGCAACGTGAAATTCGAAATCACCATTTTCAATTACGAAATCGTCTTGTTTGCTCCTTGATCATGAACATGCTGACAGAAGGATTCAAAATGTCGTCCATTTTTTATTGTTCCAACGCTTTACACTACTTTTGCCTAAAACGTAAGGAACCAGAATGCCAACAACGTGGTTCGAAGGTTGTTCTTGAACAAGAAGACTCGAATGGAAACTTATACTCTACATTTGAATTTTTTCATATATCAATTACAATTTAAATAATTGCAATCCCCAGTAACCATGTATCCCTGTAGATACTTGCTCCGTAAAAATGTTTTATCTTCAGCGAGATCCAAAACGTTCTACCTTCTACCATTGTCCTTTCTACGAAGAGGTATCCATGCATCTATGCTGTGTCTACGCCATCGCACACCAATTCTCCAAATTGGAGAATTGGTTTGATTACGACCACCTTCGAGTCAGCAGTTACTATTGCGGTCAATAAACGCGTTCATAAACGGCGCATAGGCTCGTCCAAAACGGACGTAATTTTTAATTGTATCGCGACTGGGTGGATCTCGACGCTGTGATCGCCACATTCACGGGCGCGCGAGGTGGTCGTAAACGATGCAACTACATATATATTATATAAAAACAATAAGTAGTAAGTGTTATGTACATACTGGCAGACTCACCTATCCTCTTGTGGTCTTTATAATCGGGCTCGGGTTCTAAGTACGGTTTTAGTTCGTCGTCGTCGTATCCCATGTTCATCCATTTGTCTTTCATTATAGTCTACGGGAGATCAGAGAGAATAAATTAAGTTAGAAGGGCCGATTCTCTATCAACCTTAAACGCAACGAAGGCATTACATGTTTCGGAACACGATCGAACCTTGTCGCCACGTACCTCTAATGAGGCCCGTTTCGTCGGGTTGAGCACCAAAAACTTCTTCAAGAGGTTCTCGCAATCGGTGGACATGTAAAACGGTATTCGGTACTTTCCTCTCAACACCCTTTCCCTCAATTCCCTCAACGTCGAGCCGTCAAAGGGCAACGAGCCGGACACCAAAGTATACAATATCACCCCCAACGACCAGACGTCCACCTCTGGCCCGTCGTACTTTTTACCTACAGGGTGACCGGAAGAAAAACATCGTCAATCGAGTCGTTCGCAATTTCTACGCTAAATTTAACAAAAAGTATACAAAGACGATAACGCAATTGTTGTTCCTGTACCCTGAAAGAGCTCGGGCGCTGCGTATGGCGGCGATCCGCAGAATGTGTCCAACTTGTTCCCGGGCGTGAACTCGTTGCTGAAACCGAAGTCGGCGATCTTGATGTTCATCTCGCTGTCGAGAAGCAGATTCTCCGCCTTCAGGTCCCTGTGGATGATCTTCTTCTGATGGCAGTATTGCACGGCGGACACGATCTGCCTGAACTTCGCACGTGCCTCCTTCTCCTTCATACGACCGTGCAGGACCAGGTAGTCGAACACCTCGCCGCCGCTGGCGTACTCCATTACCAGGTACAGTGTCTTTTCAGTCTCGATCACTTGGAAAAGCTTCACTATGTTCGGATGGTCGAGCATCTTCATTATCCTCACTTCCCGGAACAACTGAAACAGGGAATCTTGTTAACAATGCGCTCTAGGTACTTGGGTGGGTGGGGTGGGGTCCCGTTTGAACAGATCCAAGTATCTTTGAAAGTATGGGTGGGATAAGATTCTTTGATCGAGTTCTTAACTTTACTTTTTTTTAATTTTGAAATTTGAAGACTCGAAATGTTTATATTATTTGTTATGTGTCCAACCAAGAAATTTGTACTGTATATATACAGGGTGTTCTAGATGGGAGATTCTAGAGAATCGAGAATCGAGAATTTTAATTTGTTGATTGAGATTCCGCTAAAAAGTTATTAACGTTTGAAGTTTTTTTTTAAAGAATTTTTTTCTGGAAAGTGCGTAGGAATTCGAGGGTATGTCTATTCACCAAAAATGATTGTAATTGACCCCTGCAACGAAAAATAATTTTTCCAGAACGATTTGAAATTTTTTAATTTTGTCGAAAAATTTGTCCATCTACTCGAATTTTTTTCTCAAAATTGCGTAGGAATTCGAGGGTATGTCTATTCACCAAAAATGATTGTAATTGACCCCTGCAACGAAAAATAATTTTTCCAGAACGATTTGAAATTTTTTAATTTTGTCGAAAAATTTGTCCATCTACTCGAATTTTTTTCTCAAAATTGCGTAGGAATTCGAGGGTATGTCTATTCACCAAAAATAATTGTAATTGGCCCCCGCAACCAAAAATAATTTTTCCAGAACGATTTGAAATTTTTTAATTTTGTCGAAAAATTTGTCCACCTACTCGAATTTTTTTCTCAAAATTGCGTAGGAATTCGAGGGTATGTCTATTCACCAAAAATAATTGTAATTGGCCCCCGCAATCAAAAATAATTTTTTCGGAATGATTTGAAATTTGTTAATTTAATTTGTTAATAACTTTTTAATGAAGCCTTAATCAACAAATTAGTATCCTTGATTTTCGTCTTATTTTGGTCTCTAGACTCACCCATTAAAATTTTTCCCAAGGATGACCGAACATCTTGTATATTAACTCATTTGATATTAATTTAATTTAATGACACAATTTTAATATTAATTTTGAAGCATTTAAATGAATTTATAATGTATATTTTCGCAAGATTTAATTTAAATATAAATATTTCTACATTACATATAGCACTTTCGAGAAAAAATATTTTGTACTAACTTTTAGTGAAAATCAGGTTGATGGTCAGATTAATATGTGGCGAGAATGTTATTATTGTATTGGTGAGATTCATCCGATGAAAATGAGTCCAAACACGACCTGGTTCGGAGTACTATTAATTTTAACTTACTCAAACTGTTTTTGAAAAATTTTCGATGATGTAAAATTAAAAGTTGTCCGAATGGTGTCGTGTTTGTACTCGTTTTCATCGGGAAATTCTCGCCAATCTCATTTTGCAAGAGATTGTTACCGAATCGTACTCACATTTTAAATACGAAAATTAAACTTTTACTGACAGACACGTTCAGATTAAAATGTGATTTTTCTATTAAACTTGTTTTAGAATATAAATTCATATACATACATATAAACTCATTTGATATTATATTTAATTTAATGACACAATTTTAATATTAATTTTAAAGCATTTAAATGAATTTATAATGTATATTTTCGCAAGATTTAATTTAAATATAAATATTTCTACATTATATATAGCACTTTCGAGAAAAAATATTTTGTACTAACTTTTAGTGAAAATCAGGTTGATGGTCAGATTAATATGTGGCGAGAATGTTATTATTGTATTGGTGAGATTCATCCGATGAAAATGAGTCCAAACACGACCTGGTTCGGAGTACTATTAATTTTAACTTACTCAAACTGTTTTTGAAAAATTTTCGATGATGTAAAATTAAAAGTTGTCCGAATGGTGTCGTGTTTGTACTCGTTTTCATCGGGAAATTCTCGCCAATCTCATTTTGCAAGAGATTGTTACCGAATCGTACTCACATTTTAAATACGAAAATTAAACTTTTACTGACAGACACGTTCAGATTAAAATGTGATTTTTCTATTAAACTTGTTTTAGAATATAAATTCATATACATACATATAAACTCATTTGATATTATATTTAATTTAATGACACAATTTTAATATTAATTTTAAAGCATTTAAATGAATTTATAATGTATATTTTCGCAAGATTTAATTTAAATATAAATATTTCTACATTATATATAGCACTTTCGAGAAAAAATATTTTGTACTAACTTTTAGTGAAAATCAGGTTGATGGTCAGATTAATATGTGGCGAGAATGTTATTATTGTATTGGTGAGATTCATCCGATGAAAATGAGTCCAAACACGACCTGGTTCGGAGTACTATTAATTTTAACTTACTCAAACTGTTTTTGAAAAATTTTCGATGATGTAAAATTAAAAGTTGTCCGAATGGTGTCGTGTTTGTACTCGTTTTCATCGGGAAATTCTCGCCAATCTCATTTTGCAAGAGATTGTTACCGAATCGTACTCACATTTTAAATACGAAAATTAAACTTTTACTGACAGACACGTTCAGATTAAAATGTGATTTTTCTATTAAACTTGTTTTAGAATATAAATTCATATACATACATATAAACTCATTTGATATTATATTTAATTTAATGACACAATTCTAATATTAATTTTAAAATATTTAAATGAATTTATAATGTATATTTTCGCAAGATTTAATTTAAATATAAATATTTCTACATTATATATAGCACTTTCGAGAAAAAATATTTTGTACTAACTTTTAGTGAAAATCAGGTTGATGGTCAGATTAATATGTGGCGAGAATGTTATTATTGTATTGGTGAGATTCATCCGATGAAAATGAGTCCAAACACGACCTGGTTCGGAGTACTATTAATTTTAACTTACTCAAACTGTTTTTGAAAAATTTTCGATGATGTAAAATTAAAAGTTGTCCGAATGGTGTCGTGTTTGTACTCGTTTTCATCGGGAAATTCTCGCCAATCTCATTTTGCAAGAGATTGTTACCGAATCGTACTCACATTTTAAATACGAAAATTAAACTTTTACTGACAGACACGTTCAGATTAAAATGTGATTTTTCTATTAAACTTGTTTTAGAATATAAATTCATATACATACATATAAACTCATTTGATATTATATTTAATTTAATGACACAATTCTAATATTAATTTTAAAATATTTAAATGAATTTATATTCATAGATTCTATTATTGAAAGAATGATAATATATGTTTCACAAGATTAACTTCCAATTCTAAATATTTGTACCAGTATACAATATACGGTATACATGTACAATATAAAATATTTGAACACATGGAAATATATATTATCTCTTCCAATAATAGAATGCATAAATATAATTTCATTTAAATATTTTAAACATGATAATTGAAATTGTGTATTACATTAAATATGACATAAAATGAGTTTGTAGATCTTTATGCAAATTCATACATTTATTAATGGAATTAACTAAATGGGAGCTTTGTAGAGGGTTGTCTGAACCCCTAAATATAATAATTCGCATCCTACTTGAAATATTTCTTATAGTTTTGCGTAACTTAATTTGATTTTAATGTATTCTTGTTAATAAAAATATTTTTATTAAATTTTGTGTAAATTTTAATTCAAATCAAAATGTAGAATAATTATGATTTAGTTTTTTGAAAATTTAAATTTCCCTGTAATTATCACTCTTTCTATAAAAGAATGTACGAATAAAAAGTTCGATTAAAAATTTAAAAATTTGATTTTGGAATTGTGTATTAAATTAAATACGATATGAAATGTGCTTTTAGTGCATGGACTGATCGAAACCGGGACGCCTGGTCGGGTAGTAGTTGTTTTGGGGTGAAATGCTTACCTTTTGAAGGCTATTGGGATTTAGTTGAGTCTTGTCGATAATTTTGATAGCCACTTCTTTTCCGGTGGGCACATGCTTGGCAAGTTTTACCTTAGCGAAGTTGCCCTTGCCAATTGTTTTGAGTAATTTGTACTTGCCGATGTGAGGCTCCTCCGATGTCCGACTCCTCGAGGAGAGCCGACCACCGCCACTCGACACTCCCACGCCATCCCCTGTCTGCAATAAGTGGAAACAAACTGTTAATTACACGAAATTGAAGCAACAAGGGGTTTCACCATAGCTATCGATCTTATCATCACATAAAAGTGCATTTAAAAATTTTCATTATTTTACCCTTCACCCCATTCACGTTAATTTTAAAATATAAAATTCACTCTTTAATAAATTCTAGATTTATTATTGGAACGAGCATACGTTTTAATATAAAAACATTGTATGCATTTACAATAATAAATATTTCGGTCGAAGGAAATAAATTTCGTTCAACGAAATTCGAATTCGAACGAGTGATCATTTGTCTGTCTTTTATTCGTTGTTTACGATGTTGGATCTATATAAAAATTGTCCACGGTCGACGAATAAAAGTTCATTTAAAATTTTCAGTATTTATCCCTTCCCAATATTGGCGGTCAATGTTAACATAAAAATATTTTATAAAAATCATGTAGCTCGATAGAAATTTGTTCACGTTTCAATATAAAAAATTGTATGTGTATTTGCAATTGTAAATATTTCAGTCAAAGTGAATAAATTTCGTTTGACAGTGAGAGTTCAACGAGTGCACGTTTGTTTGTCATTTATTCGCTGTTCGGAATGTCGTATCTAGATAAGAGTAAGATCTCTTTCGAGAGGTTAAGTTCTATAGATGGCGCTGGTTTCTGCATACGTATAGCACTTAACCCTATATCAATATGTATGTTCAATGAAACAGCTTATTTGCACAGCTATATTCAGTTATATAATTTATAACTATATTTATTTAAACAACGATTAACAAAGTGAGGTGCACTTTTTAAAAAAAGTACTACTAGACTCGGAATAATGGCCACGACCTGTAGCCGTTCGCGTGGCGAAGCGTAAGGGCCTTTTCTTGGGACAAAGAAAAGCTGCATGGACGCTGGCGTGAAGAACAATTCACCCCCTCATCGGTAGAGGCGCGACAGCGTGCGCAGCGCCAAAGCTACGGACGCTGGCCACACACGCGATCGGTTGCTTAGAATTACGAAATTCAACGACCACGCGTCGTTTAATTTGTTCCGTGGACCGCGCGACCGCACTTGACATTTCCAGGGACGAACGGGACGATCGTCAATGGAATTAATTAAACCTTGTTAAAGCTGCACCAGATACAGATTGTTTTGAACGAAGCGCGCCGCGCTGTTTAATCGTAATCGTCGCGCGGCGCTCCGTGGCACAGCGGAATCTCGCGGCGAGTATTCGATGGAAATCGACGGGGAAAGAGTAGTTATAATTTATATTCGCAGACGGTCGTTGACACCCGGGAACTGTCGACGGGTTTCCAATGGCACAGGTTAGGCCAATAAACCCAATAATCAAGACTAAAATAATCCATTGTATCAACGAATTTACATACAAATATATAAATATATTACGTGGAAATGGATTTGTAAATAAATTGAATATATTATTAACACTCTCGTGATTTTCCCGATTGTAGAAATAAAACACTAATTTATAGGAACATATTTAACACTAGATATTAACAAAATTAAATCGATAAATGTATAATGTAATGGAAATAAATGTTTATTTCTCTTTTAGAGAACTACTGTAAATTTTCGAAAATTCGGTTGAATAAATTTTGTACTGTTGGAGTGCGCGTAAATTTATTATCTCTACCTATGCGCCATCTGTCGATAAAAATGTAAGATATATGTGTATACATATAAGAGAAGCGAGTTGAGTGTGCTTCGTTGCGAAATACGGTTTTGTTCAAAAGTATCCTATGTAATAAAGTTCTGTTAATAACCAAGTTTGTTTATTGTCAACGATGTAATAACAATTCTTATTAGAGTACACGAATGTTAATAAGAATGACATATAAAAATTGTGGTTTATTATTACGGAGGATGTAAAATTAGAGATATCACATTTCACATTTAAAGGTTGAAGTATATTCCGTTTAAACTGACCTTCGCTTCTACTAATTGTATTATGGTACAAATACTGATTAAATAATTACGAGATGCTTGCGTCACGACATTAAAAAAATATACAACAGTAGAGAAAAACTTCCAAGTAGATGATAATTTTTATTTATAAATAAATGATTTTTTTTTTTTTGTTATCTAGCATTCGGAATAAAACCGGAGATAGAGTTTCGAAGCTCGATCAAAAAAGTGTGAAACTCGGATAAAAATGCAATTTTTGTACAATGCATCGTTAAACGAAATTTAAAAAAAAATGAAATTCGAAACGTTGTAACTTTTCTCGATGAAAAATAACGCGTGAAAAATTTACTTCATTTCGACTCTTTTTTTCTTCTCTAACGAATGAAATATTTTTATGTAATAAAATGTCCGACTTCGCGACGCCTGCAAAAGTCACTCGATCCACGATTTATTCTTTTTTTTTATACCGTTCTTTTAAACTCTGATTTTACGAACTTATTTGACCAACAAATAACCAAACGAACGTATATCACTTTACTGACGACGTTCATTATATCGAACATATTAAAATTTCACCTTTCGATACGAAATATTCTATTCCACATTTGGCACTTTTTATTCCTGTTTAACGAGTAACAGATACATCTTTTTTATTCGTTCATTTTTGTAGGTGCGTAGAGGTATAATATTTTTTAAGATAAAAACTATATCCACGTTTAATTAAATATTGCAGACATTTTGTAAAAAGTGATAGCACCATTAATGCACAATATTATTAGAAGATTAGAGCTCGTTTTTTTCTTCGTTTCTGCCACGCCCGAGTTAACTCGGGCATCATAGTCGCTGGATAAACAAGCGAAACTACGTTTAGCGATTAAACTAATGAAGAGTGGAACGAAGGGAGGGACGCATAATTCCAGAGCAGTAATTGCACAAGTTATCGACTGAACGTTTCGAACAAAAACACAAACAATTTATCTACCAATTAAAAACTGTCATCTTTCGAAAGTGCAGGGGTAAAGATTAATTTTTTTAAATGAACATTTTTTTCGAAGAGAAAAACAAGAATATAACTTTGATTCGATACATTTTTCAACGCCTCGTGTAACTGGTTATACAGGGTGTTCAGTCATCCGTGGGAAAAATTTTAATGGGAGATTCTAGAGGCCAAAATAAGACGAAAATCAAGGATATCAATTTTTCATTTAAGGCTTCGTTAAAAAGTTATTAACATTTGCGCCTGTAGATAGGCAACCTGCGCACAGCTGCGCGCGCTGGCGTCTCACAGGCATAACTTTAAACGTTAATAACTTTTTAACGAAGCCTCTATCAACAAATTGGTACTCTTCATTTTCGTCTTATTTTGGCCTCTAGAATCGCCTATTATAAGGATAAATAAAGTGGGTTACTTTGACACGAGGGATGGTTTCTCCCTTAAAGTCTGTTGTTCTTGAAAATTCTGATGGATATAGAATTTTAATAAATAAATTTTAGTATGTGCAATCTATTAAAAAAATGTTTTTCTCAGGACTAAAGTATCGCTTTTGAATTTTAGTCAATTTGTATTAAATTTGTTGCAACAATTCTGGAATATAGATTTAGAAAACAGAATTGGTACAATTTTATGGTTGTCAGGGTTTGACGGGGAGCTACAATATAAATATTCGTTCTATGTTAAATTAAATTTCCTAAATAATTTGTGTTCGTGTAAAGACAGTTAATGAAACAAATAACTGTGTAAAAAAAAAATATGTATTCACAATTTGCTGCATTCTTATGTTTGTCACGGTTTGAAGAGAATTCGAATTAAAATCTAAATACCCGTTCTACGTTAAATTAAATTTCCAAAATAATCTTTGCTCGTGTAGAGAGTTAATGAAACAAATACTTATATAAAAAAAATGTGTATTATTTGATATATTTTTATGTTTGTCAGGATTTGAAGAGGACTTGAATTAGAATCGGAATATTCATTCTATGTTAAATTAAATTTCTTAAACAATTTGTGATCGTGTAAAGATTGTTAATGAAAAAAAAAATATGTACACGGTGTTCGGCCACCCATGGGAAAAATTATAATGGGAGATTCTAGAGGCCAAAATAGAACGAAAATCAAGAATACCAATTTGTTGATCGAGGCTTCGTTAAAAAGTTAATAACAATTAAATTCAAAAATTTCAAATCGTTCTGGAAAAATTATTTTCGGTTGCGGGGGCCAATTACAATCATTTTTGGTGAATAGACACACCCCCGAAATCCTACCCAGTTTTTAGAAAAAAATTCTAGGTGTGAAACTTTTCGACGGAAAAAAAAAATTTCAAATCGTTCTGGAAAAATTATTTTCGGTTGCGGGGGCCAATTACAATCATTTTTGGTGAATAGACATACCCCCGAATTTCTGCGCATTTTCGAGAAAAAAATTCAGTTCGGGCGGAACTTCAAACGTTAATAACTTTTTAACGAAACCTCCATCAACAAATTGGTATTCTTGATTTTTGTCTTATTTTGGCCTCCAGTATCCTCCATTAAAATTTTTCCCAGGGGTGTCCGAACACCCTGTATATTTACGTTTCGCTATATTTTTATGTTTGTCATAGTTCGAAGATGACTCGAACCCAGAGTCTAAACGTTTCTTCTACGTCAAGTGAAATTTCTTAAATAATTTGTGTTCGCGTAAAGACAGTTAATGAAACAAATAGTTGTATATTTGTCACGGTTTGAAGACTCAAATCTAGAGTCCAAACGTTGGTTCCACATTATCTTAAATTTCCTAAATAATCTGTCTTCTCGAACGTTCGGTTCAATAATAAATTATTTTTAAATCGAATTAAATTTCCTAAATAAATCGCGCTCGCGCGCAGACACTCGACGATATAAATAATTGCGTTAGACATGCGTTTAATTTGTACAACGGTTCAATTACCCGCGTGCGGATACGAGTGACCACCTTGCTAGAGGTGGTCGCAGCAACTTTCGAGGCCGCCAGCTTGACTGATTGACTCGATCGATCTCTTCGATGTCCCGTGAGACAGGCAACAATCGTCGTCGAAACGAAATCGACGCACGACGTACGACGGTTTGTCC